TATCGGATAGTCCGGCTGCAGTCACAAACTAACGAGGAAGTTGCGCGACTGAAAGTGGACAGCTGCTCCGAAGAAAAGTGTACCCGTCATAAAATTGTGCAGAAGAAGTTTGAGACTATCGGCCCTAGAACAGCGGAGCCTCTTTACAACGCCCGCGAGATCGCGAAACGTCGTTTGTCAAAAAACACCACAAAGAAAAAGCGTAAGAAACACGCGGAGATGGCTCGTTAAGAGTTAAACACTCTCAGGTGCAAATAAGGCTTCTCGTAGCAAGCGTTTCCGTCCGTTTCGAAAAACCGAAAATCCCGATCCTAGGTCTTTCTTTGCTCCGAAAAAACGCTTGCAACCAATGCTAGAAATCTCGTTGCCGCTATTGTCAAAAACTCTTGCATTACAACAAAACCGTCTAGAGAGTTACACTTGTTTTAAAAAGAGGAAAGAAAAACGAAAGGATGATGAAAGGAAGAGGTAAAAAAGGCTAACTATGTCCGTCTAGACGTGGCAACGGGTAAAAAGGATACTTTTCCCACAGTGAATTTATTCATCGCTGCTGCCACGGAATTACTGAAACGAATTGAGAATCATCCCGCCGGTTTGGAAAATGGCCCATATTACTGACTAGCAATAAGCTTCTTTTTATAAATTTCTGCTATATGAAATAGAATTCTTTTTCAAAGTGGATAAAAAGAAAAATTGCTGAGAGCCTCTTTGCATCCGCATATTCCATTAGATCATTCTCGGGCTATTAAAGGACAAATATTTTGTTTAAAAGGAAAATTCAGCTCAACAAAATATTAAAGCAGATAGGTCTGGATTCTTTATTAGCTAAAATTTGAAATAACAATGAAGCTTAGAGTGCAAACAGAATTTATGGCAAATACAAATGTACGAGGATTACTCTATAACACACGATGAGCATAAAATTTTACAATTTAACGTTACTGATTCACGTATATTGCAAGTACCCTACTATTTAACTGCTTTACCCATCTTGGCCAATGGACTGCTCTTGAAAAATTACCTCCCCGTAAACGAGGGTGCCAATGGGAGTACCCAGTTCTCAGTCTGAACTACACAATTTTCGGCCAGTTCTCAGTTAACTACTAATTTTGGTTAGCTGGCAACTTTCACTTTCCTTCAGCGAATATTATCCCGTCATAAACCGAATTTTCGTTACTTCAGCAAGTCAAGCACTTTTAAGGGGGTAGGCCGTACTAAAATCAAGGTTTAAAATTAGATGAATTTACTCCGCCAGTAGTACCATTTATAAGTAACTGAAAATATAGAATTAAAAGAACACACAGTAACTATCTTACCGAAGTAGTAAAAATGCGTAAGCGATAGCTATTAAGACTCCAATTAACCGATTTTTGCTTCAAGTAACAACAACAACAGTTTATTCAATTGTCAAATGAGTTAGGTCTATTTTACACACAATTAGCGGAGCTAGTCTAGATGGGCAACAACACAATAATTGTCTTATACAGTCGGCAAAATATAGAATAGTTTATTAAAACTCTCTTGCAGTAAAAAGAACGGAGTTATCGAGTACATTTTACAATCATAAGGCAACTATTATCTAGAGTAATAGTAATCTACAGTTATAACAATGAAAATAAAAAGTGAATCACTTAAAAAATTGAATGTAAAGAAGTCCTTCACTCTCTTTGTCCTACAGACCTGTATGTTCCGGAAAAGAGAATATTTTTGTGTTTTCTGCCTTAAGGTGTAGTTAGGCGCGTCCAGAAGTGGGCTGGGAAGTAGGTGGTGCAGAGGGTGGCTGGGGGACTTCATGTTCGCCATATATTTGTAGCACAAGAGTATTCTTGTATCATCTAACCTATCTAGTTTACCTAACTGTATGACTCTGCCTCGGGGTAGATTATGTTAAGCGCCCTTTTTCAAGATCTGCCAGTTCTTGCAGTTATTGGATAATCAATTAAATCAAACTTCAGAAGAGCTGGTATGTACCCCTCCCTTAGGGACTGGCATGCCACAAACGAGGGGGGCTAATTCCAAAGCAAAATCTTTCAGAATGCTGACTGACTGCTTTCGATGTCTGAAGTGAGGACAAGGACTTGTATGCCTCATACTCTGAAATTAATATTTCATCAGGAACAGATAGCGGGGGCACTCCCTGGCACAGGGGTGGGAAATGGTCAGTCAGCCCAACAAAATAGCTATTGATCTTATTTGCTAAACGTTTGATGTCTGTCATTTTGTCATATCAAAACAACGTAAGTAAAGAAAAAGCGAAAATAAAATGAAATATATAAGGAAGAAATATATAAGAAAGATATAAGGAAGGAAAACACTTAAACTGAATAAGAAGTTCAGGTAGGAACTGGTAATGGTACTCATATCAACATACACCCTATTAGTCTCCAAAACCTTGATCAGTATTGGATGTAATTTACGCTTACCCTTTAATTTGCGCTGCTCACGTAACGTAAGAGGAATTTTGTGCCAAATTCTTACACCACTTCTAGAAAGAGATAATAATAGCTGACTGAGTCTAGATCTCTGGACATAAAAATTACCTGCGACAGAAAAGTACCAATTACATTAAGTCGTATAACCATCCGCTTACATCCAGACGCACCAGTCACACTCTCGTACTGATCTTCCCGACCTGGTCATGCATGTCCTGCTACAAACTTCTTCAAAGTCGCCTTCTTCGCCAATTTGTTTATCTGAATCAGTCTCGTACCTAACTGGTCGTTGTATGTCCTGTATCTTGTTGTTGACCTAAGTTTTAATCCATTTTCAATCCGCGCACTCCATTGCAACGACAAAAAAACAATATCAGTTCGCAAATGTTGCCTTAAATAACAAAACTGGACTAATATTTCTGGACTTCAATTGATGCCAAAAAAAAACAAAAAAGTTTTAGCTTTTTCACAAGATAGCAAATAGCAGGAAATAGTCCCGTGACGCTGGTGGTAAAGATCCCGCTTTATCTTCACTTTATTCGCTTCTTATACTTCGTTGTCAAACACTGTTTACACCGATGGGAGAGACATAATTGAGACTGCTGACAAAGGCATGAAAGTATTTGACACGGGTCTGACTTCGACTTCTTCATTTAGGGCGTGTTTACGTGGAGGTGATTGACCCCAGGTAGGTGAGGTGACATGTCGCGGGTCACCCGGCCTAACATGTAAACGTGCTCATATTAAAATGAGAGATTATATGGACAGGCGGGTTACCCCACCTACCCGGGGTAAACAGGCCGTTAAGCGATTCCAACGTCTTGGGCGTAGTTCAAAGTACTAATATTTTGTTTTGAAGTAAGAAATCACTTGCAGGTTTTCCACCTGCATTGTCAATAGTCCTTCAATGTTACCTTTAACAAACATTGTTTCTCGAAAGTACAAATTCCATGTACTTAACAGAAAGTTGCTGATTTCTTTGAGCCATCAGAACTTCTCTTTTGCCAGATCCAATGCCGGATAAGAGGCACAGCTTTTTTCTTTGGGTAGCCATCAGAACTTGTTTTTTGCCAGATCCAAGGCCGGAGAAGAGACACAACTTTTTTTTTTTAGTTAGCAGACAGTGTTTAACTTGATATCAAAACATCAAAACAGTACGTTCCTTTTCCGTAGACATAAATCTTGTTAATATATAAAGACGAACTGTTGTATTCGTCGAGTTGTCTACGACCAGCCCAATGACTGACACTTTCTGTTTGCCGGGTACTTCCCTGGGGCCTTTTTGCATATACTAATATCAGCTAATGTGCCACCAGGTCATAAGTAGGACAGAAGAAAGTCAGAAAATAGCATTTCTGTTTCCAAAACTTTGGCTCTTTCATTAACATCAAAGATCGTACTCAGTTTAATAAATAGAATCTCACCTAACTGTTAACCTTTCATTTCTCAGTTAACTACTCCTTTTTAGGCCAAAATAAAAAGTTTAACCCCCGCCCCGCTAGCCACTCTGAAATAGACACTCCTTATTTCGCCCCTTCCCACGTCTACATAAATAAATAAGGGCCTGTTTACATGGAGTGGGGGACCCCGGTCTAGTGGGGTTGGTTTCTTATGTTTTTACGCTCTGGGGGACACACAGAAAAAAAGAAACCTACCACTAGACCGGGGTCCCCCATGGCCACTCGAAGTAAACAGGGTCTAAATGGTAGTGTTCCAGTCACTTGAGATAATTATTTACTCCCAGGGGATGAAAAACTGAAAAAGACGGCTTGTGCATGGAGTTTAATCATTGTACAACAAGAGCGTGTACTTTTAATAAATGCCCGATTGCGAGACATATTTGACGATTCTGCCTCTTGAAGATGAGCAAGACCCCACGAACGCAGGCTCGAAAGATGACGTTCCAGCAGATGAGAATTTTATTTTATATAATGTCAATATTGAGCAGCATAATAACTTGTGAGGTTTTTGACTTATACTATGTTCCTTAGGTTTCAATGAACTACAAGTATGATAAGCACGCTGCCTAGAGCGTGAGGTCAGAGAACAACTTTTCCCCCTCTTTTAAATATTGTAATACTATTTTGATCTCAGCTAACATAGATTTGATCCTTGGGAAAAGCTGCGAGAGGGTGAAAACTATAACTATAGCTGATAACTATAACAAAAATGGTTCTTTAACCAGGATGATTCTACCTTGCGTAGCAGGCGAGCGCCTGCTACACAGGCTTTGGGGGAATCCAAAGAGGTCGCTGTAAAGAAACGAGTTAAGAAAGTCTTGTCCACAGTACCTAAAAAAGAAAAACATGCATATACTCCGTCGCTTCAAGGAAGAAAATTCCCTGGACCATAGCTAAGCCCTGGAAGCTGTTGTGGACAAACCGTTATTTTTAATCACTAGAATTATCAATCGAGAGTTTTATCCCGACATAGGAGAGTAAGACACATGAGACACAGAAAAAGAGACTAAGAAGAGGAAGCAAGATGGGAGAAAACGGATACAGACGAGGACGAGGACGAACAAGTCAAAGAAAAATTAGAACACATCATCCCGACAACCCCAAGTATTACCGTGACTACCGTGACTACCGCGACTACCACGACTACCGTAACTACCACGACTACCGTAACTACCGTGACTACTGCGACTACCACGACTACCCCAACTACCACGACTACCGTAACTACCACGACTACCTGCAGGACTACCACGACTACCGTAACTACCACGACTACCGTAACCACCACGACTACCCCAACTACCACGACTACCGTAACCACCACGACTACCCCAACTATCACGACTGCCGTAACCACCACGACTACCCCAACTACCACGACTACCGTAACCACCACGACTACCCCAACTACCACGACTACCGTAACTACCGCGACTACCTCCACGACTACCACGACTACCGTAACCACCACGACTACCCCAACTACCACGACTACCGTAACTACCGCGACTACCTGCAGGACTACCACGACTACCGTAACCACCACGACTACCCCAACTACCGCGACTACCGCAACCACCACGACTACCGCAACCACCACGACTACCCCAACTACCACGACTACCCCAACTACCACGACTACCCCAACTACCACGACTACCCCGACTACCCCAACCACCACGACTACCCCAACTACCACGACTACCGTAACCACCACGACTACCCCAACTACCACGACTACCCCAACTACCACGACTACCGCAACCACCACGACTACCCCAACTACCACGACTACCCCAACTACCACGACTACCCCGACTACCCCAACCACCATGACTACCCCAACTACCACGACTACCCCAACTACCACGACTACCCCGACTACACCAACCACCACGACTACCCCAACTACCACGACTACCCCGACTACAGCAGCACGACCAGTGTTACCATGTCGTCATCTCCATCTCGTCGTTGATGTAGCGACTTCCACGAGTGACGTCAAAGTCGTGACGCATCTCCATCATGGCAATCTACAAACGTGTCAACCTTGTTACGACATGGATTATATCGCTATTGGGGAAGGGAAATATCTCTCACGGCACACAAGAAGCTTGAAATGACCAAAAAGCCTTCTTCGTGTTTCGCGGTGATTTACAACATTTATTTTTCCTTAATATCTTTTCATATTCTCAAATCATTAATTCTTATCTTAAATCGTGAAAAAAAAAAACCTGGAAAGTTCATGCGAGTTATGAAATAATGATTCTTTATAATTGGATTAAACACCTCGCAGCCAATCGCTGGCGTCCTTGCAAACGGTGCATGTTGACTCTGTGCGTTGCGTGTATATCTCACCCAATTTCCTTTTCACGGTTGTTTTGCAACACGAGTTTGTGAAAAGCGAGAAGAAGTGTATGGATATGGTTCTAAGTGCCCTGAAAGAGTCTACGGATGGAACAGAAGCATGCTTTTTGAAGCAACCACCAAGAAGTTGCCTAAGAACCTATGAGGATGTCATATTTGGTTGCGGAGGTGTAGATGGAAGCAAGTTGGTTTGTTACCTTCCATCGGAGAACAAGTGGTACAAGTTGCGATGCCAGAAAGGTTCTCGAAACAGATTTACTCTTACCACAAGTGTTTGCCAGGGTAAATTATATGTTGTGGGTGGAAATACAAGTGGTTCTGCAGCTGCAAGGTACGACCCAGTCATAAACAAATGGTCATCCATCAAGTCTTTCAGGCAGGAAATCACTCATCCTGCTGCTGTTACATTCCGTGGAATTCTGTATCTGATTGGTGGGGTAGATAACAATAAGGGAACTTTGAGTACAGTGCTACGATACAACCCTGATACAGACCTATGGCAAGAAGATGCCCCTCTCTGTGGTCCAAGATCTAGAGCATGTGCAGTATCTGATGAAAACTACATCTATGCAGTTGGAGGGATGAGTTCATCTGAGGCTTATAACTCAGTTGAGAAGTTTGATCCTGAAACTAATTCATGGAATCCAATTGCATCAATGCAGGGAAAAAGAAGAAATCCCTGTGGTGTTAGTTTACACAACAGAATTTTTGTCTTTGGTGGAGTTGAGGAATCTGGTGGAAGCCCATGTGAAGTGTATGATAAAGAAGCAAATATTTGGACTGTGCTTGCAAATGCTTTAGCACCAAGGTTCCCAGCAAGTGCTGTGTGTTTTAAGGAGCAAATTTTTGTGTTTGGTGGATTTGGATCAAGACAGAGTTGGCACCAAGATATGATATTACAAGTCTATGATGTTGATACAAATGAGTGGAACCCTGCGGTAATGCCTCACTTGGAAATTATATGTACAAACTTTCTGCTGGAAGGGTTTTAAGAGATGTTTTGAAGTCTTGTGCAGTGATTTAAATACCAAAAGCAGGGCTCGAAATTAAAAAAATCCTCAAGTCGCCTTTTGGCGACCAACTGGAGAAATATAGTCGCCAGTTTGTTCAATGTAAATGACGCAGCTCATAGTATCAGGGCTTTTGATATTCAGTGCAGTCGCGGAGCCGCAAAATTCAGGTAATCCAGTGAAATTCACAAAAACATGCGAAATAGCGCAGAATTCGCTAGAAACATATCAAATACATGTCGATACAACATGTTTGAAACTTATTTCGGCTATTGGGTCTGTTTAATTGCCGTAAACATGCAAATTTATCTTGAAACTTCGTCACCACAACGAGCGAGCAACGTCCCAAAACTACCAGGCATAAATTATTTTTCGATAAACTGGGCACTAGTCGTGATTTTAAAAGCTTTGCCTTGGGCTCTTTTCTCTAGTGCTTTATTGTTAGAATGGCAAATGATTATCGCTGTTAAAAAACATTAAACACCCTTGTCAAATCAGCGAAATTTGCCCACAAAATTCCCACAAAATCAGCTGTTTTTTACCGATTGTTTTTCGGCAAAGTTAGCCCCATAAATTTCCGCTAATCTGTCTCTGAAAATCCTGCAAAATTTGACTTCCGCGACCTATCAGAAGCCTTGTAGTATGGCGCAATCCATCAGATTTGATTCTTTGAAAATATTGCGGACAGAAGTCGGTATAAATTTGGAGGTAAAGTCAGTGGCAGATCCAGGGGGCCCGGGGCCCCCCCCTATTTTTGGACCAAAGTCTCATCCAATTAACTGCTACATGTAAATTAAATTTGATCTCAAAACCTTTATAAAAACACAGTACGAAAGTAAGAAACAAACATGGTTCCCTGTTGATATAGCATGAAAACCCTCCCAAAACCCTCTGCTTTTCAAATACAATGAGGTACCCCCCTACTTTCTAAAGGCTTGTTACGACCCTGGTTAACCCATTCGCCCCTGAACCGCCCATAACCGCCCGTGTGGATCCAGGTCCTTTCTACCCTTTGTGACGTCATCAGTTTTAACGGTCAAGGACAACGTTCTTCGCTAACTTGTGCAGAGTGAAGGGATCTTTCAAACCATACCAGAATGAGCACAATTCAGTCAAGGACACCGGAGAAAGAAGCAAAAAACCACGTGACAAGGACCTGAAAATCTCCATGAAAATCTTGTTCCATTACCCACCTACCTTTCCTTTCACCTAATCCTAAGATCCTAAAAGCTTTCCTAAAAACTCTTCCCACCAAAATGAAGCCTACTAAATGCCCAGCAAGAGAAAAAAAAAAATGAGGCAAGAAAAGCAAAAAAAGAAGGCAGGAGAGAAAGCGAAAAGTAAAAGTCAAGACTGCTGTGTCACTTTTAAACTCGAAATTTTGCTTTCTGCGCATGCCCGAACTTCACAAGCTGATATTTTGCATCTGGATCAGAAGGCCGCCAAGTGTACGACCTGTAAACCGGTTTGTGGTAAGTTTTAGCTCTTTATAGCACGACAGTTACCAGAAAACCACTCGACTAGCTTCAAAACGCGTTTTTCGGCAAAATCTCCAGGAGCGAATGGGTTAACCTATTGGGAATATTTGTTATATATTTGCCTAGTCTGGGTAATAGGGGGTGTAGACGTATGACATTTCAGACTAACGTTTGCCTCATTAGCACATTGGCCTCATTTGCGTGTCAGTTTCTGATTGAGGTGCCCGTCATGCTAAAAGAATGAATTATGTAATTCTTTTGCTTGCCACCAGTGATTAATGTTTTGATATGATATGAAAGCCTAATGCCCCCAACCAGGCGAGCCTCATTTTGGGGTCAAAATCCCCACTTTATGGAGCTAAACTCTAGTCAAATGCCTGGGGTATGCCGGGGAGTGGGGTGGGTGGTTTTGGATTTGATTGGTACATTTAAGCCCCAATATCGACTTACAAATTCTCCAGACTGATTTCCATTGGTTAGACTTACCGGTTTATTCAATTAAGCACCCAACCTCAAATTAGTGCTCACCTGGAATAAGTGCCCATCCTGTTGGGAGGAAAATTTAACAAGTGCCCAGCCTTGAAGAAGACGCCACCCACAACCCTCTCCCCCACAACAACAACAACAACAAAAAATATTGGAGTGGACAAGAAGAGTTGGCTGTTATTTCTTTTCTGCACTATCTGCTTCTCGTTGTATGACCCATTTGCAGACGTTAAACTGTGAGACATCTACGAGGCAACACCAGAGAGTTCGCTTAACGATCTTACTGACAATGAGATAGAAATTGACCAGGTACAGTGCTACAAAGAGATTTTCCCGAAGACCAAGTTGTTAGTATTTTTATTTTTAAAAAACTTTTAAATGAACAGTTTAAATTCATCTCTGGCACATCTCCGAATAATTAACAATTAATAAATGAGGCTGAGTACAGTATCTTATGAAGAATTATGGAGATCGAGGAGGGTGTTATCCATCGAGGTCGTAGGCCAAGGCGGATAACACCCTCCGAAATCTCCATAATTCTCTTATGATGCGAAAGCCGAATTCAATAATGGTTTTATTATTCATTCAAAATAATTCCTAGTTTAAAAGCATAGCTAAAACATGCATACCTCCATCGATGTTAAGTTCATCTTCAATAGTGCACATTTAGGGTTGTTCAGCTCCGCAAATATTCTCCAAATAGCAGATGTCACCCTTCTTGAAACGAGTCAAATGTCCGCCATTTTTGTTTTCACAACCAAAACAACTCAACGTCGTCCCCACATCGTCTCGGTTAACAGTGCATAAATCTGCAAGGAAACTGCACTTTTGACGTCATTGGTTGATAAATCACAAAATTCTTCCAAATTTGGTCATCAGTAGCCAGTTATGGTGAATTATGCGTGTGTGTTTAGCCAAACAGAATCGGGGAAGTATTTTGAATGAATAATAATGAAAATTTAATAATCGCCCAGCCTCGAAAAAGCGCCTACTCTCAAGACCCAAAAATTTAATAAGACTAAGGTGCCTAATAAAATAAATGCAATTATTGAAACAATCTGATAAAATCATGAAAAATCAAAGCATTTTCTCTTTAGCGATTTTTATCAAGAGATAATGAGATCATTCTCTCTTGTTTTTATTAATTTTCATATCCGTTTGTCTTGATGATGACAGTGTGTATTGATATTGTAAAAGAGAAACGTTGTGAAAAGTGTCCCTCTCTGTCTGTTCAATTCAGTTGAATGCGCATTATTTTTACGAATGCAGGAGCCCATGACTAGTCATGGGCCCCTGAGGGATGAAAAAGGAAATTATTTCGATATGAGAATCATTGTTATATATCTTTTTAAAGTTTTTAGTTAGTTTGTTTGCTTGTTTACAGTCTTTACAATTTCTTCAACTCGAATACTCTTGTTTTCTAATATCTCTACTACGCGTGCGCATTATTTTGGCGCCTTGCGAGTTATCACAGAGTAGTACAGTGTTCCGTTTGCAACAAATTTCTCCGATCTCGGTTGATTTCCTGGGCTTTGTTTTCTTTACCTAGCTGTCTAACGTCACCATGGGTTCTCTTCTTGAACCAATTATCGAATATGACAAAGAAACGTTTTGTATAGAAATAATGAAACGCCTGGATTGCCAGCGAAGGAACGAGCTTTTGTGTGATGTGATTCTAGAAGTTGGATCTGGTGAAGATCAAGCTCGCTTGAAAGCTCACAGAAACGTGTTGTGTGCTGCCAGCCCGTTCTTTTACAACGCCCTCAACACGGAAATGAAAGAAAAGAAAGAAGGAGTCATTCGACTAAAAGATACAAGCAAAGTTTTGATGGAAGAAGTTCTGGAGTATTTGTACACAGGGCATGTTGATATCAATGAAAAGACCGCGTATGAATTGATGGCTTTAGCAGATTATTTTCTTATTCCCAGCCTGAAATATGTCTGCAGTAAGTACATTGAACGAAACCTATGTACTTCAAACTGTGTCACGGCGTATTATTCTAGCCTGAAGTATCAGTGTCCTGAATTACAAGATATAGCTGAAGGCTTTATTCTTGCAAACTTTGTGCCTGTAACGGAAACTGAAGACTTCCTTAATTTAAGCATTGAGCGTGTTGAAGATTGGATTTCAAGTGATAAAATCGTTGTGAAAGGAGAAGAAGACGTTTTTAAGGCCATTTTGAGATGGAATGAGAAAAATGATCACCTAAAACAAAGTTTTGGTTTCTTATTTCGTCATGTTCGTCTTACGTATATCTCACTCAATTACCTTGTCACCGTCGTTTTACAACATGAACTTGTGAGAAACAAGAAGGAGTGTTTGGATTCGGTTCTCCATGTTATGAAACAGCTAACAGATGGAACAGACGCTTGCTTTTTCAAGCAATCACCGAGAAATTGCCTGAAAACCTATGAGGATGTCATATTTGGTTGTGGAGGTAAAGATGGTAGTAAGTTGGTATGTTACCTTCCATCAGAGAATAAGTGGTACCAGTTGCCAGGCACGACCTCCCATTGTAACAGATTTGCTATTGCCTCAAGTGTTTGCCAAAATAAACTTTATGTTGTTGGTGGGAATAAAACGGGTTCTGCAGTAACGCGGTATGACCCAGTTGTAAATATGTGGTCACCCATAAAGTCTTTTAGGCAGGAAATCAGTTTCTCTGCTGTTGTTACCTTCCAGGGATTTCTTTATGTCATTGGTGGATTAGATGGGTTAGATGGTAATGAGCCCTTGAACATGGTGCAGAGATACAATCCTGATGCAGATCTCTGGAAGGAAGTTGCCCCACTCAGTGGTCCAAGATCTAGGTTATGTGCAGTGTCAGATGTAGACTACATCTATGCTTTTGGCGGGTTGTGTTCATCTGGGACAAGTAACACAGCTGAGAGGTTTAACCCTGAAACGAATTCCTGGGAAGCAATTTCACCAATGAAGGAAAGAAGGAGAAACCACTGTGGTGTAAGTTTACACAACAAAATATTTGTCTTTGGAGGTGTTTTTGAAACCAGTGGATGTCCCTGTGAGGTCTATGATAAAGTCACAAATGTTTGGACTGTGCTTGCAAATGCTGTTGGACCAAGATTCCCTGCAAGTGCTGTGTGCTTTAAAGAGCAAATTTTTGTGTTTGGGGGATTTGGATCAAGACAGAGTTTGAATCAGGAACTGATATTTCAAGTTTATGATGTTGATAAAGATCAGTGGAAACCCTGCAGTAATTCATTACTTGGATCATCGTTGTACAAACTGTCTGCTGGAAGGATTTCCAGAGAAGTTTTAAATTCTTGTGAAATGATTTAAGTACTGGAAGACTGTTACCTAATAAGGGGCAATGGGATGTTAACTCTTACCTTAAAACCCTAATATCAGTCAAGGGCGTAGCCAGGATTTTTCCACAGGTACGCACAATTTTTCAAATCTCCCTCCCCCCCCAACTCCAAATTTGACTGGCAGAAGCTCTCGCTTAGACATAATCATGCTCTCCTTTGTCTACTGTGAAGACAGGCCTGGGTGAAAATAACGTGTTCACGTTTTATACCATCCTGCTTGCTTTCTGCGTGCATCTTTAAGTATATCATTCAAGATTCCAACAAAAACTGACCTCCTGATGTGGGAGATAAGAGTCTGTTGTTTTGAAAACAGTCCGTCGTTTTAGGAAAAATACTCTTAGCCACTAAAGAATCAAACAGTTAAACGGAATTGAGGCAATTTATATTGTCATTGTTATTGTTTTAATTTTTACATTTTCTTTTTTGACTTTTTCGGTACACACATGTATACCTACCTCCCTGTTAGTCTGTTACACAGCTGTTTTTAGTGCCGTTACACAAGTTACGCTCCTCCCCACAAAAGGCTGCTGAGAATTGAACCACATTCCTTTCCCTTTGTGTTTTTGGTCTAACAAACAAACCAATCATTATAAGAAACTTAACAATACATGAGCCGCAGTATGCTAGGAAGCAAACACGCTTCTCAATTTTTGGCAAATCGATCAATCGTCGCTGAATTTGGACAGGCTCTGTGTCTGCAGGCAAAGAAAAGGTTAATTTGCAGAAAAGTTTGTTTAAGTTCCAAGCGAAAAAAAGGTTTGACAGGCCTACAGGACTCTTACCAGTTTTAACTTGCATACATGTATGTATGATGAATTTCACGTGCTGGATGTGCTTTTTGTGTTGCTGTACATGTGAAGACTAAACTCTCAAGGGTACTGATTCAAACAAAAGCAATCTTATAAATTATCTAAGAGCGATTTCCCGAAACTATACATGGCAACTTTATAAGCACATCCATGTTGTGCATCACATTTCCTCGACTTGCTTCCTGCTGCTGCTTCTCTCTTAAATTTTGAATAGGACACGACAACAAAACGCTAGTCTAGTAATGTTGATTGCTTGTTTTCATGCAAGGATTTTGATTGTTCTGTCATTTACGCATGGGACACCGATAAAAGCAAAGCTGTGATTGGAGGAGTCACTGTACCACAAACGGGGCATGAACACCTTCCAGAAAATGGGAGCTGAATTCTAATTGGCTAACTGCGGGAAAGGAATGTAATTTGATTCTCAGCAGCTGTTTGTGGGGAGGAGCGCTGCGTGATGGCTGTGTAGCAGATTACCCTAATATTAGCATGCATATCCTTAGCCTACATGTAGCCGCACCCTCCCCCCGACAAAGGCTAGCATATCCTCTGTAACGGTTGTCATACATTACGTATGGTACTGATTAGGAGGATTTTTTTCAGAGTCAACACCTTTATTTTCTTCTACTGAGTCAGATTAGCACCAAGAAATGACATTTGAAGAAGTTTATGGCCTTGGTAACAATGAGTGGATGCCTGACAGAAATGGTACATTGAGAATTTATTAATTTTCTACAGGCTTTCAGCTGGGATGAGTTGAAGCAGAATTTTGTGTTCTTGTGTATTGGTTTAAAACTCACTGAAAAGGGTTTTCCTTAAGATCTGTTATGTGTTAACAAGACATGTTCTTTGATAGACCTTTTCATTATATTAATCACAATTGAACTCAAGGCCCTTGTTTAGATAAAAAATTGCTACTAAAATTGTGTTTGTTGTGTTGTTTATTCAATATTGTGAACACAACAAACAGGATTTATCTTTTTGACTAATACATGGGATGAAATAGGTCAGCCAATGAACACAGTGCTATTACCTTCCTTTTTAAACCATAGGAATCATTACCATTTATTGCAAAGAATATTTTCAGGATTTGTTGTAGCTCTTTCTATTGTTGCACTGCTCATAGTTCTAATTGATGTAACCTTTTTTTGCTCCATAAGTCGCTGGGAAAATATAATTTTTTGCTGGATTGTTATTAAACAAAGTTCTCAGCAAACTCTATTTAATCACCTAAAAATTTAAAGTTTTGAAAAGTGATGATTTTTTTTTTACCATGGATGATACCTTAAGCTTTTGAGCCACGGACTGACGACCTCCTAACCCTTTCAGTCTGGCTGTAAATTGTTGATTACTTGAGAATTCAAAAAAGGAAGTGTTCCAAGACCAAATCTGTTAGCCCTGGGTTATCGGTCACTGCTTTCTTTGCATGCTGAAGAACAGTCTCTCTTGTGGACCATTTGAAAAAAGACGGGGGAAGCAGGGGTGTGTGTGTGTGTGTGTGTGGCAGGGCAGGGAGGGGGTGTTGTTTGTGGCAAAAAAAGGAAATAAAACTACAGTGAAAAATAATACATACAAACGAAAAAAAAAGGTTATACATACATGATGCATAAAAAAATAATAGTTTACATGTAAAGCAGAAACTCCTCCACCCTCCATATCAGATCCTTGACAGTTGGTTGAGCAAAATGCACAAGAGAAAAGAATGGCCATGGGTGTAATTGAGGGCACGAGATGAGAGAGATACCTTCACGTTTTGCTTGGGCAACTTCCCTCGCTTCTTGCATCTCTGCTGCTTGCCCCTTGTGGGCATACCACTCCCAGGGGTTGAGGGGGTACTGTCATATATGGGCTATATAGGTATGTGCCACTGTGAAGGGTACAGTATAGGGTCTTGGATAGGGTATATAAATCAGAGAGTTTGGGTCTAGAATAGGGTATCATTTTCCAGGAGACTGAACAATTGGTTGAAGATTTTAGTTTAGACTACGGAAGCCAGGAATTGCCACTCAAAAATATAAAAAAGTCAAATTGGCAAGTTTAAATTTATGCAACTCAGCCTAAAAGCCACCCTAGGATAGGGGGATAGGGTAGCAAAATTCAGCTGAACTAGCTCTGGTATATAGACTAAGGGTTCCAGTGGCAGATCCCCACCCACGAATTCCTTAAGTACCCCCGGTATACCACTCCACTTACTTTGTAAAATGGAGAATTAACAAAAAAGTTCTTATCATTACTGAATTGCATCATATTTTGAACTGGCAAACACAAATTTTAACTTTGTTAAATGTTAGGCTGAACAGCTTTCAAAACCCCACAAATTTTAATCTTAGTTTTGCCAATCTGTCCTTTTTTATTTATTTGTTAAACCTTCCATTGATGTTCTAAGTGGTTATTTGTAGGTTTGCTCAATAAGGTGGACAATTGCCAGTGGCCGAATTTCATCAAAGAGCTCGTTTAATGCTCAAGTGGTTTAAGACCTGGGACTAAGGGGTTTACCTGTAGAAAAGATTTATTGGCTATAACTTTGGCATAGATGATGGCACTGAATCAAAATTTGGCACATATAAAGTACTTATTGTCCTTAACATTTTAATTTAATAAATATTGTGTTGCTATGTCACGTGACCATTTTGCTAAAAATTGTGAAATATTGACCAATTGGTGGCCCGTTTAAGAAAATATATCGAGCAATAGCGTTGTTCTAATTCATACTACATATTTCTAACACTTCACGCTTGGAATGACCATCCATTACACTTCAATAAAAAAAAATATGAGGGAAAACATCATTTTAAATGCCCAAATTTAATCTTAAATTATTTAAAACTTTAATATCAAACTTCGCGTACATTCATTCCAAACGTAGAAAGTTAGGTGTCTTTATCCTCTTTCAGAAATGCTAATTTGTTTATCCAAACAAAGTAAATTTGCCACCAATGCACCAATTTCCTTCATTTTCTAGTTTTGGTCACGTGACAGGCCACGCGACCATAATTAAACGTTAAGGCACAAGAAAACCTCAAGATTGACTTTTTAGGAAAAAATCCATTTTGTTCTAGATCTCCGAGAGATATTGTCAATCATTTATATGCTCCAAACACACCTTTGATCCAGGCCTTAAACCCCTTGAGTGGTCAGTTTGTTAAGAGGTACCACACCATGCCCAGCACACTGGATATATTTGTGTGTGTACTTTAGTGTTCTGTGATTCCATTTTTTTGGGGCGGAGAGGAGATAGAAAACCCTTAGTTCTCTTTCTGCTATTTGGGATCGAATAGGAATGACGGATGGCTGTTTTTTTTAAGAGATATGAAAACCGAAGTACCCAGAGAAAAACGTCCTTGAGAGGACAAGAACCGACAACAAACCCACAAATGATGCCTCCGAGATTAGAGGCAAGGCCACATTGGTGGTAGGTGAGTGCTCCCCCTACCGCACCACGCTTGCTCTTAATGTACAATCAGTGCTTTAAGTCGGCTGTTCGTCTGCAAAAACAGCTATATCTCAAATTAAAAGGCGACTCAATTCACAGGCTATTTAACTGTGGACATTCCCACAGGGAAATCCTCTACAAGGTAGCATAGCCATGGCCTTCACAGGTATCATATTCCAGGTATATTTTGTATCTGGTAAAAAAAAAAGAACAGCAACGGTTATCACGCTCCCCTCCAACTAGCTTGCGAGGAAGCTCCCCTGGGGTTCCCTGGGATACGGCCAAAGCGCCCTGGAAGAGCTTTCTCGCACGCTACCCTCGAACGCGTCCCTCCTATCTAACGTTAAAATAATAAGATTGTTGATAATAATAGGATTGTAAGTGAGAGAACAAAATAAACGTAGTTCTAATCAAAAAACCTTTATTCATCATTCACGTTCTGGTTTCTTAAATATAAATAGATTAGTATTTGAAAGCTAATTTACAAACGGAATGATAATAATAACGTCAACATTTATCACATATTTAGCTGAAAAACGTATAGTCGTAGAAGTAGTTGGGAAGGCAACCACAGAAATGCAGATTTTAAACTTGTTCTAACTGGACCGGCGGAAAAAAAAACTTTTTGTGCACTGAATTCTGAGGACTCAAAAGACAAATGGTGTTGTGTGCGCGCGACATTTGGCCGATAAAACTCGGGAGGCGAGCGATAGATAAAAGCAGAGGCTTCCCCAACATTTGACCATAAGATCGGAGTGAAGTTAACTATCACACACGGCACGTTAAGTGAATTCTGCCGTATCAGCCGCTGAAATAGTTTCCATCAGACCCCTTCCACATTGATGCGTTTTTATTTGAAAATTTGCACATATTTTTATTATACATCATTAAATATTTAGGAGATTTAAATTCAAAGGGCAAAGTAGAGTGCCTTTTCATCCGATTTAGTGTTTCATTATTACACGTAACGTGTGACAATGACGAGAACACGTTAACGTGGAGGTAGGCGGAGCTTTCGATGCGTTTTTGTTAACACGTAAACGCATTGGTTTGGATATGAGCTTAAGTTTTAACGTTTTCAAGCCGTGAACTTTTAAACCATTTATTGATCTAACTAATTAGTTCTCTGAAAGGAATAATTTTGATTCAATCTTTTAATGCATGTACATTAAGTCTCACGAGGATTTAAGGCCAAGCCAACCCGGGAAAAGACGAGAAATGAACCCTCCAACCGTCAAATGACCTAAACTATAACACAAAAATGAAGTGTTACTTTTCTTTCAACGAAAAATAAACACTACAAAAACTTCATCCAGCAATTAATTCGTCTCCGTTGAATATACCTTCAGAAACTCCGCATAAAGAAGCCAAAAGGTTATGGTCTACAGACCGAAAATCATGTCTAATTATTATTTTACCTGCATGCGCAACATCTCTGAAATATTTTTTGGCCCTTGGTATAATAGGGGTAAAGGAAATCAGAAACAAGGGAGATGTAAACATCCAACATCCAGAGTTAACCCCTACTCCTTCAATCTAGTGCCTTGCTCCAGTGTGTCTTTCTAATTAGTCGGTTTTCTGCTTGGTTCACTCCGACGAACCTTGGCCTCTTTTTATGTCTGTTACCCACTAATCATGAAAAGCGATACCAAAATTAACTAACTGAATCTATCCCAGTTTCCCTTTCTCTCCAGTCCGAATAATTTCAGCCGAAATCTCCCGACCGGATTTCAAACAAACGGGACAGTAATATTACAGCAAATCACGATCCTGCATCTTATTAAAATATTGTTATTTTTTCCGACATCTATTTACTTTAGAGTCTCAACAATACCCTTTAAAAATATTCTGACCGGAATGGTAAGAACTCGAACCCATGAAGATTTTAAAAATAAATAATCATTTTTTTTTTACAGGTAATACTTCAAATTAAATATTTGATTCCTTTGCCTTCTTTAGCTTGTGGACTAGTTCATCGACGTGTGTAAAAGAAAGGAGTGAGCCAATGGGAGATTTTAGCTTCTTGGAGATCTTATCGGTTTCTTGTGCTTTCAGTTCCTTTGATGAATCTTCTTTGTCTATGCTGAGCCTTCGGTAGTTCTCGTGAAACCCCAGCAGTATTGGAATACAGCCTGCGCATGCGCCAAACATACACCAGTTCATCCATACAGTGCCTGAAAAAAAGGACATGAGACTTGTTTTTATTTGACCAAACCAAGACTGTGAGCGCGCCATTTAGTGTTCCTAGTAAGTTTGCAGTAGTCGAAAACTACTTTTCGCACGAACCGTTTTAGAGGTTTAACGAAACATGCCTATTTCCAGTCTGTTCTATCGACAAAACGCACGTGCCATACGCGAGCGCATGTTTTATTGAATTGTAACGCACAAGTCTTACGTCCTGATGCGTGAGAACTCTTGTTAATCCATTCGCCCCTGAACCGCCCGGACGGACCGTTGTCCCTCGCAGCCCAGTGACGTCAAAGACAACTTTATTATTGTACAGGGGAAAAGATTTTCAAACCAAACCACAATGAGCACGATTTAGTCAAGAAGGTCGGAGAAAAAGGCAAAAACCACGTAAAGCTGACCCGAGAATTCCGATAAAAATCTTGTTCAACTACCCACCCACGCTTAGCATCATCTAATACTACAACCCTAAAAGCTTGCTCCCCAAAACCATTTCCCTCCGAAATGAAGCCTAGTACATGCACAGCAAAAGAAAGAAAACGCAGTAAGGAGAGCGAAAGAAGAGGGGAGCAGAGACGGCGAAAAGAAAATATCAAGACTGCTGTGTCCCTTTACACCCAAAATGTTTCTGCGCATGCTCAAACTTCGCAAGCTGATATTGTGCATTTGGAATTGAACAACCTGGAAACGACTGTTTGGTATGTTTCAGCTCTTGATAGCCAGAGAGTGACCAGAAAACGGCTGGACCAGCTGCAAAACGCTTTTTTCTACAAAATTCCCAGGGGTGAATAGGTTAAATATACATTGTTTGGTCTTGTAAGCCAACGGAAATTTTTCAAACAATTCCAGGAGAAGCATTGAGGAGTTGCAGGCCGGTTCTTGAAGCATTTCTGGTTAGATCAAGTCACATTCATAACTCAACAATGCGCGAGGAAACAGTTCAAAATTGCTCAATTCACCGGTAGGACGTCTAAATTCTAACTGGTCTTCACTTACCGACTCCTGGGACCATTAAGATGATCAAGAAGATAACAGTGAATGAGTTGTTAATGAGGGTTAACATTCCCGTAGTAATTCCTTCAGCTATGGGGTATGTAGATTCCACAGTCAACTCATAGAACAAAGGAATGGTACCACTCACGAAAAAGCCGCCTAATATACTTGACTTGTACAAAGAAGCTGCAATATCAAAGTACAAGAATACTTAGAAGAATCATTTAACCGTCAATTCAATTAGCTGACGTAATAATTTAAGAATTTTTTTTTTCCTACAGAAGAGTCAACTTGAGGTTTTTCATGTTATTTACGATCTAAATGATGGCTTATAAAGCGCCAGTAGTTAACAATTCTGCTGCTACCGCTATAATTTCAAGTCAAATCGTTGGCGATCCTCCTGCAAGCTACGTTCAGCTATTTCAGGATATTTTTAAAAATGGAGGATCCAGGGAGAGGCTGGGACCTCTCTGGCTCCCATCTTTAGGCTTGACTGAACCCCACTAGGATGAGAAAAATGTTTTCGACGCTTGGCCACCCTCGTATCTTAAGCTTTTGAACGACAGCCCCCTACCCCAAATTTAGATGAAGACCTAAATCCGCCACTGTAATATTCACCGAGAAAAATAATATTCAATATGATTTTCCGACAGATACATATCGCTTTATGATTTGTAAGTCTCTGTCTAGAGGCTACCACAAACCTTGTCATTGTGTCCAATGATAAGAGATTCATCCAATGAAAGTGTTAACATGGACGTGAACAATAATTGCATACAAATAAATCAAAACAAAGGTTTACTTAATATGTAAGTACTCTGTAAGTTGTTCCTCCCTCCGTCATGTGTATTGGCGTATACAGAAACTGCAACTGGCAGTATCAATAAAGTACGTTGCGCTCGAAAACAAGAGTCTACGAGATTTGCTCTAAATTTCTGCAAACGGCTACTAATGAACCAAGCGCGGATAAAGCGTAGATAGATGTTGAAAGAAAACTGGGGACGAGTGTCCAGTCTCACTCTGACAGAATTTTGGCAAGTAAAATCCTTTTCTACCAAGAAAAGGGCAGATGAAGTGTCTTACCTTCAACATAATCTATCATCCTGAGGCAGAGAAGGGAGAACCACAAAAAGCATCCAGAGGCTCCAAAGAACAACACGAGCAGAAGAACCTTCATTTTCCCGCCAAACAGATCAGCACATCTCGCCAGAAGCAAACCAGCTCCAATGCCGGCTAATGTTCCATAGAAACCGATCCAGCCTGCCTCATTCTGGAATTGAAACGAGATAGGGATGGGCGTTTGGAAATGTAAAAATAAAATAGCATAATATAAAATAAAAATTAACAAACATTTCCTCGCTATATTTCGCTGTATAAGATTATCCACTGAAACTTAATACGACCAAATTACGGAAAGCAAAACAAACTAAATCATAAACATAAACTAACGGTGCATTTTTAGTGCTAGGCGTGCCTGAATCCAAGGCGATATCTTCTTCTTCTTGTCGACGGGCATGAATCGAAGTGTGACAAACTCGGTAAAGTTAGAAGCCTTTGTATGGGAAAAAACACCTTCATTTTGTGTGCGAAGAAGAAACTATAGTATTAACTTACCTGACGGATTGAAAATGTCTCTAAATTGACCGCTAAAGACGCGCCCCAACCACTGTAAACACCTTTAACAAGAAAAGATGAAAAAGCAAAATAGACAATCAAATGTGCTGTGCTCACACGTCCAGGATTGAAGGCTTACGAGATTCATGCTGTTTATCATAGACATCATGCGCGAAGTGCCCTATAAATCTAATCCTCAACTAAACGTTAGCAAGGCCTAGGCCAAGCATCGAATTTGGGTCGACCTTACTTACTGAGTTAAGATCGTCTGTTGGGTCAGACGTCGGACTTAGGACGCGTCGAACCAATTAACCGAATCAGATCAGTAATAAATTTTCTCCCGCACGAGGCTAAATAGATATTACCATAAATTTTTAATTTATTCGTTTAATTCGTCGCGTACGCCACTTCTACATTTCCCATAATGCACCTTATTTGCCCTCCAAAATTCTGAACAAGCATTGTTTTCAATTTTTCTTGGACGGCTGTAATACCCAGGAGAAATGAAAAACAAAGGTTATGCAAAATTTTGGTGGGCAAATAAGGTGCATTATGGGAAATGTGGAAGTGGCGTATGTGAAGATAGACGTTTTTGTCCCAGAGACGATCTTCAGACTTTCTATCTGTGTGAAGACGAAAGAACGTGTTGGGATTTTTCATGAACTTAACTCACTAAGTTTAGTTTGTCTCATGAAAAGTTTTACGTTACCCGATTTTGCCAAACATGAAGTCGGTCATAAGTAAATTGCAAATAATTGTGTCTAATATGAGGTACATAATTTCCGACTTGCTTGGATCTCTGGACATAAGCAGACAAATGAGCGCTTCTTTTAACTTACTAATGACGATTATTATTATTTTCACTCATTCAAGATGGAGAAAAACGGGAAGAACCAACGTAAAGAGCCAATGAGGATGTGAGAGGGAAATGTTCAAAGGTTTTTTTTTTACGGCTTGTTTCACCATTCCATTTAATTTTACCACTAGTTGGGTTTTGGAGCAATGTTGCTTGTTTTGGTTGGAAGAAACGTTTTCACGGATACCCAAAAATTCAGACCCCAAAAAGATGTAATTCATCCGGTTCTGGACACAAAAAAATAAGGGTTGACTCTCTAATGTCAAACATGTACGTCGCTGATAAAGCTACTGTGTAAAAAATTTAACAATCATACGTAATGCGATTAACAAAGAAGGAATTAGGAAGTAACAAACTTACCAGTCGTAACACCGTATACTAAACCAAGAGTCCAAAATTGTTTATTCCTGTGTATCAATCAAAAAAGGGTAATTTAAAAAAGAACGTTATTATGTGTGTACGGAAAGGTAGAATTGATATACACAGAGATACCATTTTTTGATTGTGTGCTGTGCCATGCATACGTAGCAGACCTGTCAATAGTCCAGTTTCGAGTTCGCTATCACTGCTGAATAAAGGAACTGAAGACGCATTTTTTACAGCCTTAACCTCCGTCTGAAGTAGTATATTCACAAATTCCAACGAGAAAAATACCCGTTTATTACTCTGTTTATTGTGTATATTCAAATTTCAAACACTTACTTGCCGGAATTTCTGAATATTTTACTTTACGTCGAGGCTAACCCTATATGAATGTCTCGTTAATGTTAATTTTACCACCCACGTTTCAACCAGTCTTGCAACAAATAAGGTTGCAAGGTGTTTTTTTTGAGTGGTAAAAAGCGCAACATCGCTATTCAACTCGTTTCGCAGCAAAGCCACAAAACAAGTTGCAGGTTTTTCTTTTGCCCGTCTTACCGTGCCTATAGCCTCACAAACTGAAAATGTAATTTATGCAATTTTCAAGACTCGACAGCAAATTGAAGAGGATTAAATAGCATTTCGCTCTTAGCTGGGCTAGTAAGATAAACCATTAAGGTTATTTCGCCAAATGCACAGTACAGCACACACAAAAAATATAGTCGCTAATATGTCTTACTTGAATATTTGTTTGGCGCCAGCGAAGAAGTCCTCTCTTTTCCTCTTTGCTGATTTACTTGGAGGTAAGGGAGGCTTGTTTGGAAAATACACCACAACTAACAACAGCAGGAAGGTTACAATACCGAATTCTATAAAAACAGAAAATGAGTACATTAGGTCTATTAAGCTGTTACGAAAACTGCTGTCCGAATATTAGCCAATCAACAAAAACAACCGTCCTAAACATCCAATAGAGAACCTCCTTTATTATGTGAGATCGACCGACAAGCGGCTTGACAAGCCAAAATGGAACGATATCTTTCCTAGACCGTTTAAATTTGTTTGTAATATTCATGACGCTCTAGACTGCAAAGAACTGTCGCTTTTTTTCTCAGGAAATCGGTTTTCCAAGGGGCGAGGTGCCGGAACAATTTCTTAAGGTAACTTAATCCAGGGAATACATTACATCAATCATAACAAAAGGCTTGATTAGCAATGGTGGCATCAACCGTTAAAAATGGCAACGAGAGGGAAATAGGCGGTGACGGCGAGAGATTTTCGCGGGAGGCGTCAGCCTCAACCCTCCTGTTTTGCAGTTTAATTTAGACAGTCCCTTACCAAAACGACCACAGCAGGAGAAGAAAAAAGTTGCTGAAATAATATTTTTTGGAAATGGACTTGTTACTTTCGAACCGATCAACCAAGGAAGTTAACATAGAGAGACAAATTTCTTTTCTGAGCGTGTTTGTTCGATCAAAAGTTTTGTCCTATTTTGACTCAATCAAAAACAAGATATTTTGTGTCCTTTAGCTAAAGTGGGATACGTACCAGCATAAAGTAAAGTCATTATCTCCTGTTTGCCTTCATTGATAAGTCTTTCTTTTTCTGAAATAGAATACAATGGGGTCAAGAAAAAAAAACGCCTTTGTGGGGGGCTAAATTCATGGCTGCCAGAAGAAATCTACTTATGGGAAGATTCCCGAGTAGCTTTACGCGGAATCTGACTTTTCTTATCCCTTCTGGCTTCTCCCAGGCTCCGAAATAGTCGGGTCCTCTAAACTGAGATAGCGCGAACACGAAAATAAAACGGGAGGAAACTGGGGAGAGGATTCCTTTTTCCCGCCCCGCCAACCTTTCGCGCGCCTTTCACTTTCGCGTCTTTCCCACTATCTGAGAGCCTGGAACAGGCCATATCCCTAATGATGCCGTTGATCCGCTAAAGCTTGGACTTTTCAACCTTTTTGACAATAGGGTAAGTTCTTATTCAAACTTAATACTTAGGTTATTATTTTACTTGTTTTATACATTGCTACTGAAGGGCACTATTAAATTCATCAGCAGGTTTACTAAGTAATACGAAAGAACCATGCGGGGATGAGAAGGAAGTACGGTAAAACAAAATGTAAGAATTAACAACATTTCTCCTACCTTTTTCTAAATCAGGCCCTTGTCCTAATCCCGCAGTCCGCTTATACACCGCTTCAACTTCTTTGGGATGAAGTTTTCTATTCCACACTGCTATCTCATCGTACGCAGCTTTAGAGAATATCAGCTCATTGTTGGGTCTTCCGAACGTAAAAGAAGTATTATACACTTCCTCGGGTTTTGTTTTTTTACCCTTTTGGTCCGCCCCCGCACTGGACCCATTTGAGTATATCACGAGACCATCACGTTCATCCCACGTGAACGTAACGTGCGTCCAACTGTCACGCGGCACAGGAAAGCTTCGTTTCCACAGCATTGTGCCGTTCTCTACTTTAATAGCTAAGTGGTCCTCTTTATCGTAAGGAAAGTCTTGATAAATCAAGAACCCCTTAAGGCCTTCTTTTGTACCGCTAGTCCCTATAAAATACTGCAGCCCGTTGTTGTCCAGTATTGCATATTTGATCCACAGAGCGAATGTAAATCCCAACGGGCAAAGCGAAGGCTCACTCACACATGTGTTGACAAAGCTACCAAAATTTACCCACGCTCCTTTGCCGTCAGTTTCTATGCTTTGATTGACTACACCTTGCGACGTCACGCACTCATTGAATACAAGCCCTTCCCTGTTTGACTTTAAATCTCTCAGTCCTTTGGTGACTTTAACACCCCAATATTCCCCTGATATATTGCTTGCCGACGTTTTGTCTCTCTTACTCAGCGAAACATCTTTTATAGTGATGTTCAGATTGTCTAAAGGCCAGTAATGGGCTGCATCTCTGTAAATGGAATCTAAAGTATAATAGAAAAAAAAAATCATATATTTAGTGAATTAGAGTAGAGGAGACTGGTTAAGAAAACCGGCAAACCTCGCCGGAGATAAAAACAACGCTACTGTAGTTTACTTTCAAAGCTCCCTGACAGTATACAATTCTTTTTTGTTCACAAATTGTGACTGACTAAATCAATACAACGTTTAAAGCCGTCAGTTAATTCAAACTGATACAGGGGTCGAAATAATTTCCGGAGAGTCTCCGGACACGACGACCGACGTGAACCCCGATGCCTGGTTTCAATGCGCAAATTGTAAACCACGGTTCTAGTTGCATTTCACTCAGGATTTCATATCAAAGTTCCGCAATACAAAGCAACTCGCTACATACAGGTAAAAACTGAACAGCATGGACATTTTAATTTATTTCATTTTCAATACGATCGATGTGACCGGTCAACATGACCGGCAAGACGAAAGGTTGACCGGTCAACTCCTCAATCAGTCCGGGCATCATCCGTTGACCTGCCGTTATTTCGAGCCCTGTGATGATAGGGATGTTATTGAACGTTGTGCAGGGTCAAGCTCAAAAAAGCTAAGCAAAACATACAACAGAGTAGTCTAACGGGCTACTCGTAAGCGGACACGCTCGGGACTAAGGGTACGAGTCCGCTTTCGGTTCGATGCGTTTCCAACTGAAAGTCCATAATTTTTGCTACCAAAGTTTCTAAAGAACAACTACGTTAAATGTTTCCGTAGACTGCCAGACTGATTTTTTTTAAAAAGCTAGTATAAACTAAATTTTGGTGAAATAAAAACGGTAACAGCAGCCTTACCTGAATATGGAAGAGTTCCGTCGAGGTACAAGTCTAGAGTGTCACTGAGAAAAATAAAAGAAAAATTTCTGAAGTTAAAAGGCATCTTTGGTAAAACCGGTAAGCACGACGAAATCCTAAATTGTAAACATTTAAGGCCAACTTTCTGCGGTACTGATCTTTAACAAGTGTGCAACTTGCGGCTGGTTTTAAATACTTATCTTGGGGGTTAGCCTGCGAGCAGGCAATCGCGATGAATCACGCCCGAGCAGCATGCATGCGAGAGGAGATGCTAGCTTGCCTGCAAGCTACTTAATTTTGGGTATTTTGTCCAAAGGTAGGGAGCAGTTTTTCCTGCGGTGTTGTCTTTTAATGAGAATTATAAGGTGGTGTAAACTTTAGGCATTTGGAAAACGTTTCGGACTGCCGTTTTCATTTAAATAAGGGCTGCAGAGTAAAGTATTCGCTGGGAAGCTGTTCACTTCGAATTATTTTACAATCTCTCCGATAATTATCAATGCTGACCTGACATTAGAAGAGAGGTTTCCCCTGCTGGGCGTGATTGTATCCAATTCACATTTGATATCCTTTACAACCAACGGACCAATTACAAACGACATAGCTACACCTAGTGAACCGCACAGAGCCGCTACAGCTGTGGAGGTTGTCCGCTGTTCAGGTGGAAACCAAGTTGCTGAGACCAACGTGGGCGCAGCTTGGGTAACAGGACCCGCCAAACCATTCAGTAGCTGACCCGCTCCCATGGACCTGCGTAGTACAGAGGGAATTCATGTGATACGTTTGTTACAGGAGTTACGCAAGGTTTCTGAGCATTGGAAAATTTGGCCTACATTTATCAAGTTTCTAATTGATAATTGTCCATTTTTAATGCCCTTCACACTCAACCATCCTAAAACGTTGACGTATACTATTACCTCTTTGGTGTTTTTCTATTTTTCCAAACTAGTATATTGGGTTTTACTTTAATTTTAAGGCGATATGAAAATTGCAAAATACTTACTCAAATGAAAATCGTCATCTAGAGTATACTCGAGATTGCATCGATACTGAACAAGAGTTCAGTGGGGCGAGGGGGAGGAAAGTGGGGGTAGAACCTAGAACCAGGGAGCTAAGGGAACCATGAAGACCGTAGACGGCGGCAGTAAAAATACGCTAAAAAAGAAATTTCCGTTCGTTCAAACGTTGTCGTGTTATTTTTCCACGTTCAATTTGTCAAATATAGGTGGATTTTCCCGCTTCTGAATTCTTAAGCTATGGACAGAAACCAAGTTCAAGAAAGAGAAGAAAATTTGTCGTCGTGAACTCACGTCCTCCAAAAAAAAGGACTTGGCACTGGAAAGTTTTACAGAGTTGTCCTTTTCTTCATAAAACTAATTTGTTCCCTTTATTGTTGAATCAAACAGGACATCGTTCTACTGAAGGTCTACCGAGCGGAGTGTCTGGTCTACTACTGCGTTCTTAACAGGTGGCTGGCCAGCACGTCAGTGAATGCGAAATGGCTTCGGTTCCAAGGGTTGAAATGGCCTAAAGCAGTTCACTTACCAGATGGCAAATGATGAATTTGACGTCACACATCTGAGTCCAGTTCCAAGAAACATGAATACACAGGAAACAAGAACGCTCAATCTAAGTCCTGTCATTGAGAAGAACGCCATTTATGAGAGCGGATTTCATAACTTCCACTACAGATAGCCTGAGTGCCGAGCCCAAAAAAAGGGGAGGGGAGGGGAGGAGGAGACACAGCTCTCTCCCCAATCACCCTCTCCTAATTTCTCTCCCTTCCCCTCTCCTTTCGGCGCCTGCCACAAGGTTACAATAAGGGAATTTTGTGCGTTTCAGGAATATGGAGTAAAGCAGATATTATCTGAGGCTTCTGAAACCAACGAAGAAAACTGCTGGTAAAAGGTTAATTTCAAATAAGATAAAGCACAAAAAATAAACTGGTTGCTATCGCTTTAAACTATTAAATCTGTAGACAAAATCCTATGGTGTTGCCATTCAAAACGGAATCTTCTTTGGTTAAACTTTTTGCACAGCCCAGTTATTTCCAAGGATCCTACAAAGAGAACTATGCATTCTTAGGTAAAATTTTTCCTTGACCACTATTAGGAGATAAATGGTTAGATATCTCTTGCTAACAAAGTTCAAGCGTCGAAATTAGTAAGATAACCATTATATATCTGAGGTTTATCAGACGCAAGGAAAAGGCTAACTTTCAAATTTTGCGGGCTGTACGGTAGAAATTTCTACGGCCCGCAAAATTAACTAGTAACAACGCGCGTACTAACTGACAGATACTATAATAGTTTGAAAACAGATACCTTTCTCATCCATCATCCAGGAGAAGAAAAGCATCGAACACAAATACGTGATGGGATCCATACTGGCAAGGATCGCGACCTGAGTGTTGGTCCAGCCGAACACCATTTTAGCCGTTGTAGCAATGGGTCCAAAAGTATTCCATGCGCAGTATTGACTGAAACTGATCAGTGAAAACAGCAGCACAATATAGAAACGCCGCTTGTAGCTTTTGTACCCCACTGCGGGTTCATCAAAACTGTGATCTTTGGTATCGGAGAGTAGTTCTTGGTTTTCTTGTTCAGAGTAGAATTGTCGGGCATCTTAAAATAAAGTTTAACAAAATTTGAGTTGACACGAAGTAGTAATAGACCCATTCCCCCCTAAACCTCCTTTGTACTGCTCGTAAACTGCAAAACAGTCGGTTTTTTCTCAAAATCACTTTGGTGTGGGGTCAGAGTCTAACACGCGCGAAGCGCGCGAGCCCCACACGCCCGTAGGACGTCTCTCCCCAGTCTCGCTCTCCGTTTTCAGCCTCGCTCCAGAGCTTTTGTTTGACTGTTCCCATGTATTTGAATACGCAAAAATAAGGACTGTTTTGAAGTCTATACCGCTCGTGACGTCATCTCTTATCGGTCATGGACAATTCTGACATTCAGTTTGCGCGGGGAAAAGAAAGGAAAAAATGACAAAGGAGGAAAGACAAGCGGCCTTTTTTTATACAGCATCACTTATTTTTATTTCTTCTTACAAGAGGGCAGAAAGAGCCCATTATCAAACGGAGGCAGCTACTGTTTACGTATATTGGGATAGACTCAACATAAAGCTAGGCTTACTCTAGGATTTTTTGGTGACTATGTAAAAGATTATGATAACTTATGCTCTTTTTTGGATTAGGTAAAGTTTCGCCCTCTTTCTGTGGGGTGGGAAAACATTTACTTTAGACTAAGAAGAAATCAAAAACCACGTGCAATTATCCAGGCTCCCTCAATAAGAAGAAAAAGACTAGCAAGCTTTCCCCGGAGAGCTTGCTCGCAGGCTAGTGTTGACTTCACCGCCCATTTTTCCCTTTCAATTAACGAGGCATTGCTAATACTTATAGCCCACCGCGCTCATTTCACTTCACAAAGAGTTGGCCTATAAACCCCTACCTCGCGCCTCCAGCAACATAAAATATCATTCACTTTCCCTCAACAGTAATTTCTTTGTTCACGTCAAAACTGCTGTTTCCTAAAGTAAACGACCGAACAAAATGAGAGGAGGTACCTGCATGCCTGACATATCCACGTCCGCGCTTGTCATAATCGATATCTTCCCTTTTTACCCAGGGATCTTCAAAGGCCTCAACCATTCCATTCTCCGTAGTGTTGGGCGGTATGAATGACTCGCGGTCAGCGGAAGCTCTCCCGTTAGTAAGGTGCATGCTGGGACTAGTCTCTGGTGGCAACGAGGGAACTATGCAAACATTCAACAATTTTATAAAAACAAAATTTTATACATTGAAATTATGGAATGGATAACTCGCGGTCTTAATTTAAACCCAGAAAAACTGCACGGAAGAGGTCAGTTCACTTGTCCTGTCCCCATTTTCTACAAGTCAACTGACCTAAAATTATGTCGGAGAATAACATAAGTGTCAATCCATAGAGGTCAAATATTTAAACGAAAAAGGTTTAAAAATTAATGTTGTAGAGTCTAGTTACTATTGTCGAATTAAATTATGCAAGTATTTATCATAACCACACTACAGAATCTCATATATCTGTTTTTCACTTTCCTCAAGCAAAACCGATCACTGACCTATGTTACCTATGTTGCCATTTACTTCACGTCCGCTAAAATCCGTCACGAGCTCGTGTTTTAAACCCCGGTAAAACACTGTCAATCTAAAAAGCCTGGGGGCGGCATTTGATTTCAGTCTCAGGCGAGTGCGGGGCTGATTGCATTTTGCTTCATTGATATTCTTTATTTAAAAATTTCATCCTCATTAGTATTCTTTATATAAAAAATACTAACAAGGATTACATTTTATTTCAGCACAGCAACAGGGTAAGCCTTTGTTTCCATATCTCAATCCGCCCTCTCCCTTTTTACTTACACTTACATGAAATTTCTAAGTTTCTTGACTCAGAGACTTAGTTTCCGCTCAACAAATGTTGTCAAAGTGCAAGTCTCTTCAATTATAAAGGGAAAAAAATTCATAATCACGCGCAGAATTCGATCACGGAGTGCCGGGTCTGCAGTCTTCCATCCTAACCACTACAACCACCGAGGATTAGCTGCAGGAGCTTGGTTTGATTTAGTACTATAGCGAAAACCCTAACCCTAAATAGAAGCTAAAAAATTAAAGCTAATCACTATTCTAAGTGCTTAACCCTAATCAGTATGGTCAGTGCTTAACCCTAACCGGTATTTTCAGTGCTTAACCCTTATCAGTACTGTTAGTGCTTAACCCTAATCACTATAGTCAGGACTCACTCATATATATGAAATTACTTTGTGCAGGCATCACAAGGTTCCCAAGGGCGGTTTTAGATATGGAAACAAGCATTTAGCCAGCAACTGACACAACAAATGGTGGGTGAATATTTAACGTTCTTTCAAAATAACACACGCAGTAAATTTACTATTCCAAAAAGTTAAACTTTGTTCTTTCACCAATTTAAGCAGCCAAAAGTTCAGTGACACAGCGCTAACATTGGCTATAGCAGTGTTCAGGGATTGCACTCAAGACGTGCCACTGAGTTGTGAATGCGCAAGGCTCGAGTACTGGATTTTTGTTTACCTACCATTCGGCCATTCCAGAAAAATCTTTTTAACGAATTCTTTTCAGTGAAGTAGTTGACTTTGGGGTACCATTTTCAATTAACTTCCTCTCTTTCTCGGCATTTTTAGACTTCCGAAAAGCTGTGGAACAAGACCCTATGTCCTCTTCGGTTAGTGTCGTTAACAGACTGGAAAATTGCTAATGACGATTGGGTTTTGATTTTCTTACATAATAATTTCATACGTAATGTTTTTTTCGAATGCTAATTTCCAATGTTCACAAAAGCGTCATTGTTATCAACTCCCTTGAGCCGCGCCTTTCCAGGAATGATTTTGAAGTCTTTCAATAAACTCGCGGGTCGGGTTTTATCGGGGTAATAAAGCCCTCAAGCTCGTTTATTAAACATTAAATAAAACATAGTTGAAAATTTCGCAAATGCTTGGAGCAGCTTGAGTAGCGCCGGACTTTTCATACCCTGGGTACCAGAGGTTTTTCTCGCGTGCGGTGGAAATTTTCGGTGTTGGCCGAACGGCCGAAGCCGCGGGTCACTATACAGACTTGACAGAAACCGGAAACCGCGCTAGACAAGTCTCTGGCACCCAGGGTAGACTTTTCAAAAATAGTTGAAGAATAAAATTATTCCCATTAAGAAATAAATTTCTTCCTCCGTGTGAATTCGACTGAACATTTGCCCAACATTAACAACGCACATATATATTATTTTCCGCACGGGTTGCAAATTGCAAATTACTCCGTACAGTTGAACCCAGTTTTCATTTTCAAGCTGATCAAAACTAAGTACTTCTAAACTAATGTCAAGTAGAGAGTTATTTATCAGCATAATTTTGATTATTTTCAATTTCAATTGCGTGCACATTTCGATTCAACGACGACCCAACTTCAAGTCCACGAAGAGTAAACAACCAAGGTCCAATAAAGACGACAATGCACTTAATTTTGCTCACAGAAAGGGACAGAAAAAGCTTTAGATTAATGAACAGGTACCAGCGAAATGATACGCATTCTACGTAAATAAACGCTGGGCGTAGCAATTAAAAACTGCAAAGCCAGCCCATTTGAAAATCACGCACAAAATAAAAAAAGGCCAATGTTTCTTTGCGGCTTGCGACTCGATGTAGTACCACTGTGTTGGCAACGTTGGTATCTACCTCTTCAAAGAATGAAATCATGAGCTCTCCGGCACAGCTGGATGTATACATCGGCAGCGTAGTTTTAATTTCATATTTTTGGTACTGAACAAGTTTAATACGGATGACCGGCAAAGAAAAAAGAACTGAACTTGATTTGTGCCTCAAAAAATACCCGACTCGTGAAAGGTCTTTGAAAAAAACCAGTTACCAATATAGTAATCAACAACAACACCCTGACGAAACTGACGAGACAATGCAGCTTAAACCGGCGCATGCACATGACGTCCATGATAACAAAAAAATGAAGTTGACTTATTTTAATTCAAATTAAAGAAATAATATCTTTTCGTTAGGCCAGTAGGACCAAGTTTGAAGTTATACACATGCTCATACGACCTTTAAGGACAAATGTTCTTGGTTCCACCTCTTTAAGTCATTTTATACGTGTTGTATAACTTATATTTTTCACGTTGGTTAAAGCAGATAAATATGCCGATTTCAACACAATAGTTCTCCGGAAGATGTTTAAAAGGCCTCGACCTTTTCCTTCGGTCCACAATTGTGGATAAAAAGCACAAAATCGAAACATTGTTGATCCGGGATTTGCTTTGCGGCAATGAATTAGCGTGTTTTATATAAGGCGTTCATGAATCGATTTCAGCGGGATTCTCCTTTTCAGCTAAAAATCTCTCGTTTTATCGGAAACTTTTGCCTAGAGAATTAAAATTAACAAAATCGCTCACATAGTCTTGGTTCGAAAATATTTCAACACACTCAGCATCCATAAATTTAAAAACGTTTATGTTAATAATAATATTGAGCAACTTGCCAGTGAAATACAAGTCACCAACTTGACATTTCTGAGAGCTTAAATCATTAAGGGCTTAGATATGGTTTCTTAAATTCGGTTAAATAGGAAAAATATTTACCTCAAACAAAACTGTCGTAGCTTCATCGAGAACGCATGATAGCTTGGACGCGAAGATACATTGTCAACGGCCTTTTTCTCATGAGCTGTGCGCGATTGTCACAATTCCACATTGGAAAGTTCCTGTACGATTTTCCTTTAAAGAACCAAATTCAAAACCCTACATGCAGTATTTCCAAGACAAAAAAAAAACATTTCCCAACATAAAAACTTAAAATAGACATCCCGGCTTTGCGTTTCTCTTGTTTTCTGCTTCAATATATTTGGACATTTGCATGTCAACTTCAAAACAAGAAGTTCGAAACAATAGAAGATTGACAGCTGCCGTAATCCGAGCGATTTCATTGGCTTACATAACACAAAAGGCGGGTTTTTCACGTGGGGCAGCCGTGATCCAACACCGGTCTTTTGTCACACAATCTAATAAAATATTACGTAACTCGTAAATTCGAAAGAGGAAAATGTCTGCTTTGTGCAATGAAAACCGCGTGATAATAAATTTCTGATAAATTTCTCAAGTAAATTCTGACATAGTTTACTATTCTAACAAGGAAAATTTGCATGAGAAATTTCCTGCTAAAATGAGAAAACTGAATATGCCGAAGGAATAGTTTTTTTTTGAAGGTCGAGATTTTCAAGGTGCGCCCGGAAGTAATGGGCCATTACGTTCACCCGGTTTAAATCACCCACATCAGACAGTCAAAGAAAAAAACGCGCTAATCTTTAACTTGTAGAAAAAAATTGATAACATTTCTTAAGTAAGCAATAACTGATAAGATTTGAATGTGATTGTTCATCTTCCGATCTTCGACAACTTGAAGTTTAAAGTCCAAGGTCATTCTCGTTTCCAGGGCCGCCTGTTGGCGCCCGGTCAACACATTATCAACAGCGCTAAGATGATTTGTAAAAGAGCAAGGGAAAAAAACCGAAACTATATTTTCTTTGTTTTCTGGCGCTTACAAACTAATCATAAATGTTTTCCGCAACGGATGGCTATCACGGTAAAGGAAACCACCTAATTGAGGCAAAATTGGTCAGTAGAACCTCTCTTTGTCGTTGGCAGGAGATCATTCTTGGTCAAGAAAGACAAGAAACACCTATATGGTTCTGTAACTTTTTAAGGTTGGTTTGAAACTTTAAGATTTCAATCTTGACAAAATAGATCTTTCAAGCTTGTATGTTTTGCTTTACATTTCAGACCATATGATGTAACCCTAGAGAACTGTTTCTTTCAAATGTCGTCCTACTCCTACTATGCTAAAAGTGTATGCATGAGTTATGAAAGACAAAAAGCAAATTCCCTCGAGAACATCACGTGGTCTGAATTGAGAAAAAACACACAAGCTATTTGCCTCGCTTTCATTGTTTCATCCGGGATACGCCTACAGATAAAGAAAAATTGTTACCGTACTTTCTCGTGAGTAAACAGGCGAGTTAGAAAGCCAGTTCGCCATTTACAGTCGTATGCAGGTCTACAGTTTGCAACTGATTCCGCGCGCCAAGATTGCGGTCTTAGCGAATTGACATGAAAATGAGCGTTGCTATAATCGGCGCGCGTATTACATAGATATTAAAATTAGAGTAGTAAAATCGAAAATGCATCGTCGATTACAGTATGAAATGCCAAAGATAAACTCCAATCACCTGTTCTAACCTTTCATAAACTGCGAGCAGTCTCTTATTTTTCTTGGTGTTTACAATCGAGCTGAGTACTCAGTAAGATAAGGACTGTGCAGATTTTAAGAGAAAAGGGGGACTCCAAGCAGCCTATTTATTTTTTATCGAGAATCAACAGTTTAAACAGTCACTACATTTTGTGTTATCCCTTGAATTTGAGATGGCTGATCATGATAATAAACAAAAAGGTTCGCATACAAAATTATTATGCTTAACGTTTTGCTTTAATATTTTACATGTTGATCTAAAGCATTCTTTTTTTGAAAAAGGAATAGAAATATAATTTTAGCAAAATTGTTTCACCACTACGCGGAGCGAACAATTATCACCTCTCGGGCATAACATTTGTTTAGAGTTGAAAGAAAAGAGGCAGTTTCACCTTTACTGCGTCGAATACCGAACAAATCACTGTTTGCAGCGATTCATCCTGTCCGTATTTTTAAGTCAAGAAAACAAACCAAAAAAATCTTACGTATTGCACATTTTTATAGTTCATCAAGTGGCTTACCTGCATCCATGGTCAGTATGGATAAGTTACGACTCGAGACTTCGTTAGCATCCGAACAAGGAAAAACCTTTGATGACATTTTTAAAAGTCAAGGAAAACGCAAATGCACACTATAATTTCTTTACCCCATTGCTGCAAAAATTACTATGAGAGAAACGCGTTCTTTTGAACTTTCGAAGAAGTTTAATTAAACTTCTAAAAATTAAACACTTATTAGAAAGCTACGTCATTATAAAGTTTGTGAGATCATATATTAATTCAATCAGTTGGTACTAGGAAGAATGCAAGTGAAAGACATGTTGAAAATGTTCCTCGAAAACTTGCGACAACTCAGCTTTTAATTTGGTCAACATCCAAATTGATAAAAAATCCGAAATTTCATTTTGTAAAATCATGAAGCAAACCAAAAGTATCGAGTAAATGCGCCGTAAAAGAGGTACCATTTCCACTGGAAATGAGTCACACCACAAAATTTTAACTACGGATTCAAAAGTTACAACTAAGTACTACACAAATAGTGCTATGTCAAAATACTGCTGAAGAGCTTTCATCCTGAGACTCTGGTGATCGTTTCATTTGAATGTCTGAAATGTTCACACGATAAGATTTAGACCGCCGACATTCACTTGTACATGTCTTATCTTGGTCCCAGTTATCATTGCAAATAAGGGAGATAGAAGACTTTCCACTAACGTCAAAAACTGAACGATACTTTGTTCACCGTCATACCACGGGAAAATAATGTTTTACACACTGGCGGCGCGTCAGTAAATAAAAAGGTTGGACAGAACTAAACACTGGATAAATCGCTATCCAGCGGACAAGGTGGGGAGGGGGGAGGGGGGACTGTTACGAGCGCAAAGTTGGCGAAGCTAAATAAGTATTAAGAACCAATTGCGTTATCCAGTGGGTAGTGATTCAGTCCGGTGGATAATATCCACTGGACTTTTCTTTTTTGAACAACTCTTTCACGATCACGGCGTTTGACGATTCACATCAAGAGTAAAGGTCACACTCTGTGGTCAGACTTTGTGCACTAAACATTTGCACTAAGCCCATCATATGAGTTGACACCATCCATTCCGGTCTTCTAGCTCATCCTATTCCGGAAATTTCACCGGCGAGTTGTGCAGGAATTTTAAGTGTCTGTTCAATCAGGAAAAAAAGAGCAATGCAGAAAGACGACACACAATCTTTTATGAAATCGCTGTCAGTTTTAGGTCCTGTTTAGAAACCAAAAACCAAAACGACAACACAGCTTTGGGTGGCCAAGATAGATGAAAAGTTTATGACGTGTAATCAATATTACATGAACTCTAATCAACAACTCAACAATTCCATCACGTCGTTCTACGGTACTTGATGAAGAAGGAGAAATATCTTATTCGCTGGACTCGTTATATTATATGGCAAAGAAAGCCTCTTTTTTTTCGACAAGGCTACTTTTAAGTTACTTGAGTTTATAAGTATACTACAGCAAAAAAATGTTGTAAAGACGTTTGTTCCGAAACCGTCCGTGAATTTCATTCCTAAGAACACCATCCTTCACGGGTGTCCATATATCATTCAATAGCTTTGTCTCAGCGAAACGAGCAAGCAAGCGAGCCTTTCTTAGTGAAACGTGCCTGCTAATCAACACTCAGACTTTCACGCCATTCGTGTATTGTGTGAAACGCACGCGTGGACAGGTTCAGCAAGGTGCGTTCTTTATACATGGATTTCTTTTCCGTTTTGTAAAAATTTGGCTGATCTCAGGTTACATCTAAGGGCATAGCACCTCCCAAAAGTTTGGAATTCACTATTTTCACGTTGCCCATAATGCACCTTGTTCACCCCCCCCCCCCCCCCCCCACCTCCCGCCAATTTTGCATAAGCTTGGCTTTGCCTTGAATCTCTCTTGGGACAACTGTAATACCCAAGAGGGTTATCCTGTTTTTGCGGGAAAGGGGGCGGGGGGGGAAGTGTACAAGATGTATTACGGGAAATGTGAAAAAGGTGCATTCAGTAGAAATCATGAGGAGAAAAATGAAATAAATTCATAAAACTGTTCAGTTCAATGATCAAAATACGAAATACAAATCGTTTACGCTGATGTCAGTAAAGAAAAGCTTATATTTTCCGACCTGTATTTCTGAATTGACCTTTTAGTTGGAGGCTCACATAAACATGGTGGACAAGTTCCCTTCTTTCTTTCTGCCAAGGATTGAAAGCTGGCAAATTCTTGTTGTTTTTGCATAAGTTCAGAAAAAGTAGGATTGTTTTGTAGGGGACTAAATGAAGCAAGTGCGCCTGTAGAAGAACATAGAGCACCCAGAGGGGTTATCTCACCTAAGGCATCTTAGCCCGCAAGGAAGCAGGTACAAGAATATCAAAAATATCAAAATATTGCTGCTGGAATGAAAAGGGGCTCCGTCTTCTTGAAAAGAACTTAGGGCATTCTACCCTTCCTCCTGTGCCCCACAAATCTTGTCAAACTTGCACTTAGGCTGAACAGTGCTATGCAAGGAACGAGTACATTTTGTCAGGGGAATCAGTTGGACAGATTACTTGATATATTGCTTAATGGTTTCAATTTTTGATGAAACTCAAGATTGCAACTGTGTTTACTCTAGCCCTCAAAACAAGAAACCACAGTTAGGTCAGTGAGATAAAAGGGCAGTCCTTTGGAGAGTTGACAGTCATGAGCTGGGACTGCCTTAGAGAAACAACCACTGTTATGCAAGGGGCGCGATCCATTCGACCAAAATTCAGACTGGTCCGACCGAAAAAAGAGGACCACCTCAAAAGGTGGACCCGTTTTTTCGAAACTTTTCCGGTTGGACCGAACTGATCCATTGAGTTTTGGACCGAAATTTCCGGAAAGTTTGGTTGAATGGATCGCGCCCAAGATAACCTCTTGATACTGATAAAACTGGTCTTCCTGTGCTAGTGGTTCCCAGCATGAAGTTGCCAGTAAAAGCACTGCATGCTGCTGGATGTAAGATAGGAGAAATTGAGGAAGGAGAAAGGGCATGATCACAATTTTAAAACATGGCGGAAGAGCACAGAAACCACTCTGGTCGGATCTGAACTCCATTGCTCTGACCATTCGTCATACCCTTGAACCACATTGAATGTACAATGGTGTAATTTATGTAATGGACTGCGTGGGATCTGCCTCTCTGGAAACCACTTAAGTTTCTTTAAACTTGACCGCTTGTTATCATCCATTACCACAGAAACAGGATATATTTTTTGAGGACCTATAAGAATACAAATAAGACTCACCAACATATTTACTGTCAGCCTTTATTCCTGATGGAAACCAGCGCTTTTTCCTCAAACGCATCGTTTGACCCGAAGTCCGCTTTGCTTTGGATTTTACTTCAGGGGCCATGGTAGTTTCTGTAGTTGGACGAGCGATGTATGGACCTATGTGCGAAATCGGGCATAAAATATGAAACGTTCGTAATTATTCACCTATTATATTTTTCTACAGAAATAACGAGATTTATAAAGTCAATACGAAGACAGGCTAGCAGATCATTGTACATTAAAAACATATCGATAGCTTCAGGAAAACAAAAGAGCATTTTATAAGGGGGGTTTTGAATTAACCTCCGATCCGGTAAAAGATTGTTATCGAGAGGATGTGTAATGACCTTGTGTATGCATTGCCGGCGAATGAAGCTCGACATTGTTCCGGCAGAGTATCTTAGCCTTCCTGAAATGTTTAGAAACGGAATCACTAATGAACGGTCGAATGGAACCACAATTTCCGATCCCCTTGATTCACTTGTCACGTACGGATTTCATCTGCGAGATAAAAATAGCAACTTTGGGGTATCCACTGAAATTATATTTCGTTACATTTTTGAAATATTAAAAGCACCTTTCAAAATAAAGTGAATATTCAAATTACGTATTATTTCGAAGGCATTATATATAAGAGAGAAAAATGTATCCCCATGCTTTGCAGGAAAGAAATGACACATGTAACAAACGCAAAGTAAACGCATGAACTGGCCATGATGTTGCCACATGCACACTGGATGGAAACCACTGGGATTGAGTAACTCACATTCTCGATAAATAATTGAAAGCAAAACATTCACGTGGTCTCTTAAACAATTTGGCGCCTATGTGTCCAAAAATGTTTCTCAAATGCCTACCTCAAAATGAATTCAGGCTGGGATGAAATGCGAAGAATTTAGTGGAGGAATCAGCCAGAATAAACTCGTGCTCCGCTCCACAAGACTACATGCACTCTGCTTGCTCCTCTTTCCCGCATTTGTAATATGATCTCAATCCCATCTACTTGACGGGAAGCCGTCAGGGAGGTTATAATTACCAAATTTTCAAACAATAAGGAATTGTGACTGATTTAGTCAAACAAAAGCTCAGAAAAGCAAGCTTTTCAGGGTCTACTCGTTCAAGCTAAATATAAACAAAACCATCCCAGAATTTGCATTTCACCAGCATTTTGCTTCATTGTAATGGACACGTCTGTTGTGTAATTGCTCCCAAGTGACTCTAGCCTCCCCTCCCCCAATTCTTGCCAATATATTTCTACCCTTTAGGCTTAGGTCAGCGAATTAAACAGGACTTCTTGTCACAGCCTTTCCACTAAAATAGAGATCAACTTTTTATCTTTCGTTAAAATCATATCTTCCCGTCACGTTGTTAGGTGGGGGTGGGGCAGGGGTTCAGGGCGGAAAAACGTAATGAGCATGCGTGAACTTTTTTGCCCAGATCCCCTGGCCGGGTTTGAAAAAAATCGCGGGATTTCAAATATTTTCTTGCCTAAAAATAAAATTTGTCTTCAAAAGTTGCAAGCTGTGGCTGTAACCTTGTCGTTACTTAATTTTCTCGAAGAATACCTCATAGTAAAACGGATTTTAACGACATTACTTTCCTTGCGTTGTACTGGAAATGTGCATGCGTAGGTCCGATTTTTTTCAAGATGCATTCACAAAATGTGTTCATTTAAGGAAGTTCCTGGATATATAAGGTCCCGAGCTCCACTGTGGACACAAAAACAACATATCTTTGGACAGTGATTTGCCAAAAAAAATTAACGCTTGCCCACCATGTGTTTGAAGTCACTAAACTTTGTCGCACTCGAGCTGTTATTTTAAAACCCTCGCTCGATCGGACACTCGTAGTTTCGCAGATCACTAAAATACAAACAAAATCCTCAATGTAGAAGTTATTGCGTTGATATGTGAGCAGAAAGAAGGTCAATCTTTATCTAGTAAAATCTTCCCAAAAATCGGTTTCAAAGCAACTATAGTTTTTTAAACTTGCTCGTTTCACGCAGATACATAAATTTTGCTTTGTGTTGTCTAGTTAAACACGCATAACATCTGTCAAAACCTACGCGTAAGTAGGATTTCCTTCAAACGAAGTTAAAGTTACATTATTTCAAAAACCTGTTGCTGACAATGAAGAAATGAATTTTCTGTGCCAAAACAACCTACCTAAAGATCTTAAAAGCAAAAGATCACTTGCAACTTGGCAGCCAAGCCATGATTCACAATTTAGCTATTTTCAATACGCTTAACTGGTCCATGCAAGGGTCTTCGTTTAAGCAAATTAAACTCAGCCGATCATTAGAAAATACAGAAGATTGCACATAAGGGTTTGTTTTGCTCGCCTCAGTCAAATCAAGCTGCAGGAATTGTTTAGGGGGAAAGAGTCAATTGTTTTGAAGTCACTGCCGGCAGTAATGACCAGTAATCGTTCTCTACTTCACAGCGAGTGAAAAGGACAATTTGCGTACAGAAAGTTATTCTTATAAAGAACAGAAACTTTCACAGTGCACTGGAAAACAAAACTATGTAATGAAAAATGAAAAAACTCTGACTATTATTACTTGAGCAACAGAAAAATGATCTTGAGTAAGCTTGCTGGCCTTCTATTTCCGAGAAAGTTTAATAAGCGCACAAGTTTGTTCACTCTGATGCGTTATAACAGCAATATGGTTCTTTGACTGAAGACAAAGATAAAGCTGGTTCTGCAAAGGTAATAAGTCTGGGCATGTAAAAAAAGTAACCGTAACTACTAATAACAGAATACAAGCGGGTTTTAATTCAACCCGGCGAAATCAACTCATAAATTAATCGGATGCACAATCAGAAAAATACTCGCCTTGTAAGAAATGTTCAAAACCTTTTATTCCACCTCAGACTGACGGAATGATCCGTTTTTCCTTTAACACTGGTTTTTCTGAATCCAAAGTAATTTTCAAGCGAAGAAAAAAAAGCAAACATGTCAAATAAAAATGCTTTACAGGGAGCAAACGTTCGCACCTCGTGCATTTCACTCAGAACTCCAGCAACAAACAAGCACAGTTAACACTAGTCAACACACAGAAAAGCCCGCCTTGAGCCTGCGATAAGGGACACGCAGAAGCTTGCCCAGAACCAGGGGCCCGGGGGGGGGGTGATGAACTCGTCAATCGCTCCTATAGGGATCGCGCGGCGGATGATCTTGGCCATCGTGACGTCACGAGAAATTTATCCCGGGAACTTTAAATGGATTCAGCGAGCGAAATTGTTTCGTGGTTTCAAGAGGTAAAAGTCGAGACGTTGCGATGAAACGACCGAAGGTATGTGTTTATCTATTAATGCTATATAGTAAAATTGCAATATATTCTAGGAAAGAGCATTTCCATCGTAAAAAATCAAGAACTTCCCGAGATCGACCAGATGGTACAACTCATACCGGCGCGTCTTTAGAGACGCATAACTAAAGACCCCAGCAGAATTTAGTCTCGAGAAAAACAAATGACGTTAATATGGTATGGGTCTCTCAATTAGTGATAGAAGTGAGTCATCTAATAAGTTAGCAAAAATGATCAGTGGGATAAAAGTCGCAAACCTCAGGGATGTTTACAAAAATTGCGAAAGTGGCGTGGACAGGTCACGAAACATAGCGTCATGATGTTCATACTAGACTATCAAATTGTGTAAACAATTCATTAAAACTAAACAAATGTAAGAAGGAAGTGGGTTTTTTTATAGAATATGGGCTATAATCTTCAAGGGTTTTGAAAGGGTTTCCTGTTTGAGTCAAACGTATCAAAATGTTAATAAAGCGTATTGAATCAAATCGTCGGGCGATAACCAGGGATATTATTATAGCTTATTGTATTGCAACTTTTCACTACAAATTACGATCATTTTGTCGAAACATTCATTGCTCATGATGGAGATAAGTTCACATTGCCTTTCTCTTTGCTTCTTCGCCCCACAAACAAAGGAAAACATGGTTTTTATCCTGTAAATAGTCAAACAGAATCTATCACTGGGGTAAAGTGCCGTGAGCTAAACTTTTTGATCAACATCAACATTTTTAGGGCTTTATGCAGAGAGTTCAGGAGGAGAATCCGCAGAAAGGATGGGTATGTAGCTTTGCCTTAATCGCTTTACAGAGTTAATAGTAAAAAACTAGAAAAAGCCAAGAAAACGGACACTAGTAAGCGTTTCAATGGTGTAATATTGAAAATGTGTTTCCTCGGGCGTCCGCATCTTAAAAATGAGGTGGGGAAAAAACTTCTAAGGATATAAAAAATTGCAGGATTTTCATGCGATGAATATCATCATCCTTCTCACACTTAAACAATATAAAAAGAGACTTCTTTAATGATACATTTTTTCAGTTTTCCTTTTTGTGTAGTTCAATAAAGACACCAAAGTTCAAGAACGACCATATAGTTCAATAACTACACGAGTTCAGAAAATGAAACGAGTATCAATGTATGTTTATTAGTTAATGTGAAGGCAGGGGATCTACTGGGAGTGGGAGTGCAGGGGCATCAGTTTAATTTTCAATCATTGATGCTTTTTAACTTACTTGGACTCCATGCTATTGTCAATTACATCAAGTGACACTGTCCAGTTCCAACAATCTTCGGGCCTGCTCGTACAGTTTTATCACCCAGCTTGTACAGTTTTATCACCCAGCTGATGTAGCTTTGTGGTAATTTCTCAGTAGGCGTAACTTATTAAAGACCCAATCGTTCCATGACTATAGGTGGTCCATTATAATAGCTCTAAAGCCCCTCTTTAAAATTTGCTGTTGTACTGCCTCTGCTGATATATTTCACATAGCCTTGCCTTTTAGCTATTGGTTTAAGATTAGAAATCAGTCTTTGGATTATCCTGATAGGTTGCTTGAAGTTACAAAAATTTATAATTCAAGGGAGGCATATGTTTTTACCATTGCTTGGGGGGGGGCAGGGGTGGTGTTTGTGGTTTAACTCACCTATATTAATGTGACGTTTAGGGAGTAGGTGAGGAAAACCATTATAACATCTGATTTAAGAGATGCTTAACAAATAATTAGGGATTTTAAGTGACAATATTGCCTTTATTTATTTTGTTTTGACTTTTGTATATATAAATAAGCTCTTTTTATCTGACTGATTTTATAATTAGGTGCTTCCTTAGTTGGAAATACTCTGTAGATGATGAGAAAAAACAAGCAGTGTATGATGGAGGAGGTGCTGCTTACTGGATGTCTCTAAAGATCTAGTATAACAGATTCCACAAAGAGAGTCGTGCGGTGTGGGAAGTGGAGGATGTTAGATGGAGTGGATTCCATGGAGCAAGAAGAGACCATACAGGATACAAGAAATTAGAATAACCAGTTTCCTTTTATTTTTTATATACTGAACAAATGTGTTTTCTTTCTTGCATAACAGGTCTGACTTAGACTTGTTTACATTTAAAAACTTTGCACATTGACTTTTGTTAAAAGAAACAGTTTGTTATCAATAAAATTTTCTTACACTGGTGTTTTTCTTTTACCTCTTCTTTAATTTTTGGTCTCTTCTAGAATTTGGTTAGCCAAGCAGTCTAGCTGCCCTGCCATTCGTTGCAGTTGGGCAGCTACCCGCTTCGCCTCTATTACTGTGTTTTTAATTTCTTTTGCTTTTTGTTTTAACCTTTCTTCTTTTCCTTTCAACTCTTTCTCTTCTCTTTCAATTTCCTTTCTCCTCAGCTCAATCTCAGTGGCTGCCAGTCAGCTCTTTACTTCCATTTCTTCTTCCAGGGATAGCTGTAAAAATGAGTAACCCACCTATAATAATCTGTCTATTATTGTTAACTTATCTTACCCCCATCTCTACGATAATAAAATATGATGAGCTCATCCTTTAAAACAAAAAGCATCCTATCTCAACAAACTGTTGAAAGCCTTGTTTCATCAGGTATGGGGAGGGGAGGTGAGGTAGGGTAAACGCAAATAAAAATAGCCATAGGGGAATGGGGCAGGTTTCGGAGAAAAGGCCTGTTTCCATACGTGTTGACCTCATTATGGTACCATTCGGCTGAGCCCTATGTGCCTTTTAATATTTTAAGATGCCTTTTGCTTTCCCAGAAAACCATGAGATTGGGAGTCTTGCCCTATCAGCACTTGGCCGGTGTCACCAGGGGACTTCTGTAAATTATATAAATGAGTTACAGTAATTTATGTTTTTATTCAACAAGGTAATATTTCAATTTAGAATATTTCCCAGAAAACCATGAGATTGGGAGTCTTGTCGTGAGACCCTGAGAAAAGTTAAAAAATCGTGAGACTCACGGCAGAATTGTGAGAGTTGGCAGGTCTGCCTCATATGACATTTTCTATCGAAACCTGTATGTAGTAGGAAGAAACTTTGTATTAAGTGGGCACTACAGCATTCTCTGCGGTGTCCGCTTACATTATACAAGTTTCACTGTACATGTTTGACCCCATTCGCACTAACTATTGATATGGAACGATATGAAATTGCTTCATGCATAACAGATGTACATGTTTGGAGCTGTATGTAAATCTTATTAATTTTTTTTGCTATATGTAAGCTTATAGGTATTACAGAGAAATATCCTTTGCTTCAACAATATGGTACAACCTTCAAGTGTTAAAAATATATATATTCCTGGTGTAATTAATATAGATACATAGTGTTGAGGGAAGTCTTTGGTTTACTTTTTCTTAAAACCGAAAAATAATTGACTTACATTGTGCCGGGGTAACCGAGTCGAGGTCATCTGTTTATATCAATTATGTTAAGCGCACTCGAATGGACTGATCATTTTTACTGCTAATTTCTCCCATTAAACATCCAGGACAATGTTTTCCACTATTGCTGATCTACCCTTCTGCTAAGTTTCGAATTTCCACACCAAACCGATTTTCTAAGACATGCGATGTTAATATGCGATCATGCAAATTTCTGCGACAAATATTCCTGAATATTCCACTTGAAAAATTGGCTTAAACCGTTTAGACTGTTTACGAGGTAATTATCATCAGAATATAATACAATTAACTCTCCTTCTCGGAAAGAGCTGTTGCAACTATACTTTCCCTCTATCAGAAACTACTTTAAAATTTACTTATCCCGAAAAGACAGCTTGAATAGGTGATACTATTGGCATTATTTGGAGATAACAGCAAAGTAATGAATACCATTGCATCAGCTTAGAGGCTACGCTGGCACACTCGAATGGACTGATCATTTTTTCTGCAAGTTTATCTCAATTAACTTCAGAGACAATGTTTTCCAATAGAAGTAACCCATCCTTACGCCAAGTTTCGATGTTCAACACCTCACCGATTTCGAGAAAATGCGATATTACTGTGCGAACATGCACACTTTAGCGGCACATTATTCCACTCGAGGAAATTGACCGAAACTGTTTACAGCTCTCATACGCGTTATTTTTCGGATTAATACACATTTCACTCACCTTTTCGGAAAGAGATGTTGGAACTGCACTATCCTACCGTGACAAAAACCATTTTGGAGCGTCAATATCCAGGAAAACCAACTTTAAAAGTAGCATTTGGAAATGACAACGTCGCCATTTTCGAAAAGTCCTCGAAGTTGCGCGCTTCCCTCTTCGTGACGTCACGATGGCCAAGATCGTCCGGACAAACAAACTACCAAGTTCACCACCCCCCGCCCCGCCTGGCCCAGAACGTTTTTCCGCCCTGAAGGGCAGGGGCTGCATCGTTCAAAAAGTGTCTGAAAAAGACTGGTAACGACATTGAACCCGAGATTCAAAGATGGCGGACGAAGATGAAGAAGACTACATGTCGGAAAAATTTCTGCTTGGCGAAGCGCAAAATGCCCCAGGATTAGTTCCAGATAAGATAGCAAAAAAGTACAAAAAAGAGTCAAAACATAACGAGTTAAATGAACGCAACAAAATCAAACCAATTCGAATGCGTGAGTCTGAACACAGAGAACAAGGTCTTGCGAGTGCTTTGGACAGCAGCAACAAGGGATTTGCTATGCTGCAGAAAATGGGCTTTAAACATGGAATGGGACTGGGAAAAGACGGTATGGTTTATTATTGTCTTGCAAACTAATAATTAGTGAATTTTTCAATAATAAATAATAAATATTTCGAGCACACAATAGTTGTCAAACGTGGTAGGTAAGCTACCACTTGTTACCTCTTCTCGCTTCTTTCCCCAATCCCCTGGCTCAATGTTGTACCCGTAACAACTTTTTTGTCGGGGATTGTAGTTTATTACAGTTGGGCACCCACACCAAGCATTAATTTTGACCTTCGTAAAGAGGGACACCCACCCACTGCCAGTGGATGTAGCAGTTTTCTACCACCTCGCCATTTGCTCAGGGCCCATTGAAAAAATATTTTCTACCACCTCCATTCTTTGTAAGCTTACAACATACTTGTCCAATACTCTGACAAATTTATGGAGGGGGACATGGGGGTTTACGGTATTGCGGTATTGGGCTTTTTTTCATGCGGTATTTGGGTAATTTTAATTTTAACGTGCGGTATTGTGGTATCGTTTAGCCTTGCGGTATGCGGTATTTCATCATTTTGGCTGACGGTATTCGGTGAAATATGATTGTTTACGGTATTGCGGTACGGTTGTTTGCGCTTTCCTTTCGATACAAGACGCAAAACAAAACACAGTAAGACATAAAGGTCAAGAAAAGTTAATATTTAGAAGTCTTTAGACATAATGGTAAATTATTACACCATTTGTGGGTCATTTTGTGACAGTTAATGGTCGATAATAATAGGTCAAGATACAATGAGATTGTTGTTGCATCCAATGACAATGAGTTGTCTCAAGTTACCTTACCAGGCACGTGTGCCGGTAATTCGAGGTCTTACACGTTTTCTCACGATGGCTGAGGTCGCTTTGGTTCAAGACGGTCAAGACGGCGAAGTCATCATTGACTGCGTTGCAATTTTTTACGAAGAAGGCAAAGGAGGGGAAAATTATCGCAAGAAAAATAAATTTCGATGCCGGGTTTCAAGTACAGAAAAACGGCTTGTAAAGTTAAAGGAGAGGAGTTGGTAAGTTTGCTTCTTTAGTTCTTACAGGTGCGGCGTGTGAAATAGGTCAGATAGTCGAGATAGGTGACTCAAAACTCGCACTAGACGTGCGTGGAAAGGGTTTTGGTTGGTTTGTTTTTTGTTTTTGTTTTCAAGCTTTCAAGAGTTATTTCCATACGAGTTAATTAGCTGTTGGATCGACCAATAAGACCCTATAACCAGAATTGTCTGTGAGCTAGGTACTCGCAGTTTGCCAGGAAGGTCAGGAAGCCGTTTAGTCCATTTGAAGTTTAGTCGTTTAGTTTTAGTCCATTTTCTCACGAAAAAATAGGGAACTGTGAACAGTCTAAACCGGTTGTAGTAATAATGACGCCATCATGCAAATGCCCTTTAGAAAACCGTTTTAAGGTAAGAGAATTGTTCTTCACTATTAGGACTGTATTAGGGATCACGCCTCACTGTATGCTTTTCATTTTGTATACTCCTACCAAAAGGTTGAACGAATGAAGTTTACTTTTCAGTGAAAATTTGCGAAAAATTTGCGAACTACCAAAATATTAAAAAAAAACATGGACATCTTTGTGCATAAATGCCTGAGATAATTAAACGTGATAGATGGAAGCAACCATAAGTATGCGGAACCGATTATAAATGTAATTAAAATATGCGGTATCGGTATTTAGTCGATTTGCGACGCGGTATTTTGGTATTTGCCATTTTTTCGTACGGTATTGCGGTATTGGGTACCCCCCAATGTCCCCCTCTTTATGCATGGCGTAGTTAAATTTCTCATTGTTTTGCTTTTTTCTTTGTTGTTATGCTTTTGTACAGTATTGTAATGTGAAGACAATACAATACAGTGCCATGCATAAGTTTCTCGGAGTATTGGACAACCGTCACTTACAACCCATCATCTACTGAGGACACTTGTCCACTCAGGGGAATGGAATCCTCACTTAGGTGCTCATCTTTTATATAAAGAAAAAAATGGCCAATAACCAACTGTAGTTGCCTGTCTCATAGAGGTGCGATTTTAGAGAAGATTGACTGGACAATTATAAAAAAGATGTTTACTTTAAAAAATGTATGGGACTGTTCCGAATTTTTTCTCTTTCACACTGCCACTCACTCAACAACACAGTTTCTTTGAAAACCAACATCATTATTTTTCCTCTAATAGTGTCTCTGTCTTGATATTTTTTCATAGGGACTGGCAGAGCAGAGCCAATACCATTGTCTATAAAGGCAGGTCTGTAACATAATGTCTACCAAAATTACTTCTGCTGTTTGCAATATTATTTATCATGTCACCAGTTGGCTTGATTCGCTCAATGAGTTAAAAAGTTAAACCTTTTGCTGTGGTCAGTTTTTTAATTCCTGACCAAAGTATTGATTTTTTTCTGCTGCTTGAGTTGGTAAGGTGACTGCTTCTCTTTTTCACAAAGATCGCGGAGGCCTTGGTCATGATATGCTCTTAAAGAGACAGAGAGAAGTGAAAGAAGTGTTGAAACATGAAGCTGCAAAGAAAAGAATGAAGATCGAGGAGAATCAGAGAGACAGTTTCAGGCAACACATGAGTGGAAAGTTTGCAGAGAGACAAACGGCAAGTGACTTGTACAAGAGTCAGAAAGCATGCGAACAGTTGGATAGATCAAAGGTAAAAAGATCTGACAAGTCTGACAAAAGTTGCTTTACAGCTCTTCATAGAATTAAAGGAAAACATTTTAATCACCTGGAGCCCTTGTGCAAATGTCACAGATCTATAACTGCAAAACCTTGCGAAAGTTAATTTTTCATCGATTATTCATGGAAATCCTCAATAGTTGGTACTAACAATGTGTACTGTCATGCAACCAACTAAAACACTTTCCCAAGTTCCTGGGTAAACAGGTACATGTGTACCGAAAAACATTATTATTATTATTATTATTATTGTTATAGTAATTCTATTACACAGATGTCCCTTTTCAATGTGAAAGAAAGGAAATAGGAGATAATCTTCCTGCAGGCTTATTCACCTGTAGTTTTTAAAGTTCACTCATGCTTATTATAGAGGCACATTTCTTGAATTTTTTATTTTTGTGAAGTTTTTCTTTTAAAATAGAAAAAATAGACAGTAGCTTATGAGAGTGACTTTAAGGTATCCAAGACTCACTCTTGTCCCTCCCTCACCCCCAACCTCAGGAGAGCTCGCTTGTAGGCCAAGATATCCAATATCAGTAATAATCTTGATTGGTTTTTTAGATAGTGGTCAATGTTATATATTACAACTGCAGAGTGAAGAATTAAATGTAAAGAAGATTATTACGATTGTATATGCAACTTATTTTCAGTTGCAAAAGGAAAGCCTGAATAGGAGTCAAACCTTTGACCTCAGCGATTATTACTGATGCAGCACTCTAAAATTAATGTTTGAGTTAACCAGCCAACTGGGAGCTGGTTATCATTCGTTAATATTCTTAGTCATTGTTGGTTTACAGGACTTGCCATGTGTTGTAAAGTGGTTTTGGCCGGAGACAAAACCTGATAAGGAGGAGAGTGAAGAGGAGAAGGAAAAAGATGGTACGGAGGATGCAGATGATGATGAGGAGGAGGAGGACGAACCAGAGGTCTGCCGTAAAAAAATCAGTGTCTTTTTTTATTATGTTATTCACTGCCAGGAGGGTCTACTTTCGATTTTTAGACTCTGCTATCTAGCAAATTCCGTTAAAGTACTACACTTTTCAAAAACACACGCACTCTGAAGTTCAAAAGCCAATTGACGTTTGCATTTTTCACTGCCGTCAATCATCCTAGTGGACCTCTTAGGAAACAGAACTTTACTTAAATGGATTCAAAAGGTCATGGTTTGTGATCTGTGATTGGTGGATTTCAATCCGTTTTTGTTTCAGGGTTTGTTGCCTGTGATCGTAATAATTACGTAATTAATTATTATGATTGACAGCAGTGAAAAGTGCATTAAATTGTGAATGCAGCTTTTGAACTTAAGAGTTCGCGTGTTTGTGAAAAGTACAGTAAAGAGTTATTACTTTTGGATCTACCAAGGAGGAACAGGGCTGCACTCATGTCGAGCTTGGTGGTCCCTGGCGCCTAACTTTTGTGCACAGGTGACCAGAAAATCTTAGTTTTTTCATGCAAATCATATGCTGGCCACTCTAGATTTTACAGGCTCAGAGCATTGGGCTCCGTTCAATTTCCCTTAAAGAACAGCCTTGATGAAAAGGGTGGAGTCTTTTCACGATGTAACATTTTAAAAACTAGTGATTAACGTATTCCTGTGCCATGGTTAATATTGATCAACTTTGTTTATATATTTGCTGATTTCTTGTGTGTTTGTGTTAGCCAGCAGAAAAGCTTGTCCACCTCACTATGTACCTCAGACGAACTCATCAGTACTGTATATGGTGTGGCACCAAGTTTGATGGTAGGAATCCTTCAATTTGAACAAAATGGTAGAAATGTTGCCTGTAAGCACATATTGACATTCTAGTAGTAGGATGTTCATTCACGATGCAGGATGTTTGTCACATGAACCTAGTTTGTGGTCTTAGCTCCCATGAGTCTCCGGTCACTTAGTGGTAGAGTATTTGGACTAGTCATAGTAACCAGAAGCCGGGGTGGGGGGGTGGTGGGGAGAGTACTCTGGATTTCAAGTAACGGGAATGAGCGAAGGTTTTTTTGGGGTTTGAAATCTTCAATTCTGGGATTTTTGGGGGGTAGGGAAATTTGTAAAGTATTTTTTGGGGTGGCTTGATTTAAGTGGGGGTTTTGTTCGAAACCCTAGGGATTGTTTGTGGGTTTTGATTTTTCCCCCATTCGATCATCCCATCACTAATGAAATCCGGAGTACCCCTCCCCCCGGGGCCAGAAGGTCATAGGCTTGTTGCCTGCAACAAGTTCTTCAGGGACACTCTAGAAGCGGTGTGAAAAAAGTACCCTAGTTGAGAGTACTCAGATAATTTCTTCCCAGGCACCTATGTCATTGACTGAAAAAATATATTTCCCGTAGTCACCAGGCTCAAAATTCACTATCACATTTCTGTTCCATTTCAGATGATCAAGACATAGCAGACAACTGTCCGGGAGACACCGCACAGGATCATGAATAACAGATAATTAATGGAGAGACAAAATACTTGAGCACCATCTGCAGGAAAAAAAGTTCATTAAAGCAAAGCGTTTTATCCCCTGCACAAGAAATATGAGCAGCTGAAAAACAGAAGAAAGGGGTTAGTTTATGAAATGAAGACCTGAAGACGGCAGACCGGGAAGAGAACAATAAACTGATGAACGTTTTTGGAGTTAACATCGGGTGACTTTCATGGTGGAAAATTTCCGCGTATATATCTGCTGTTGTTTGGTCCATTATGCAGAGAACATTGCCACTCGCTTGAACATAGCGCTTTGGGCATTAAACCCCGCAATGGACTCAGATGGACCGCTTTGCTTTCCGCCCAAGAGCGAGTATAATCAATATGCCTACATCCAGCTGGTCCATGTCAGATCTGAGTATTGCCGTAGACTTCGTTTCACTTACACAGTAAACAACTGTGTTATGCGACATGATTTGCCATTAAATATGTAGTAATGTAATTCCATCCTAGAATTTCGCAATATATAAAACCTGACGAAGGTATCTTTCTACATTGAACATCGAAGGTGTAACGCACTTCCGTACTATCTGTGAAGATTTTCAAACGAGTTTATGCTTCAGTTTCTTTTTATTTCAGATAATGTTTTTAAGAAGTATATTAAAAGATAAGTAGAGATGAAAAATAAACTGGCGTTGTGAATGTACGGTTGAGACTTTTGCAGTTTCTTTCGGAATGCGTCCGATTTTTTATTTTATTTTTATTATCATTATCATCATCATCATTATTATTATTATTATTATTGTTAAACACGGTTTATTAAAGCGAGTTGTCGGCATGTATGTTTTCTCACGATGCTTAAGACAATAATCAATAATTATATCAGTTGACCTCTTGGGAAATAAAACTTGACTTAACCTCATTTTAATTAAATGAAAGACTTTGGTGAATATTTACCACCAAACATTAGTCTGAAGCCATCAGAGTGCTATTTGCAGGACTTCTGAAGTGGGGGTAACCAGCGGACCGGGTTTTTTTCCCATATTGAGAGGAGAGGGAACTGGAGAGAGAGATGAAGGGAGGGTATGATCGCAGCCTTGTTTGGCGGGTAGGAGTATAAACACGATTTGTTGGAGTTATAAACGTGATGAAGCAGAAACGCTACAAATGAAAGTATATATTGTGTGTAATTGGGACGTGTGAATAAGCTTAACTGTTACGGCTACTGATTTTCAATACATCGGATGATGAAAACATTTCCTTTAACCAAAATTAAAGGACATGTTAATTCCACCTTACGCGTTAATGAACAAATTTGTTGTAGTGAAGTCCTCTTGCTTACGGTATTGATGTACACATCCTCTGCAATCAGTAAAGCTCTGTATGAGCTGGCGGGTCAACACACTTTCTAAATTTTCCAGACATAAGATTGGCTGTAATTACATTGTCTTTGTTTTATCAAGTGACGTTTTTGCTTACTTTATGACTGTGGATGATGTTTTATTATTCTACATTCGTTACGATGGTTTTAGTCTTGTGTCTGGCCGCTTTACCATTTTGTGAAGGTAAGTAAGATCAGTGTCTAGCGACAAGCCCCCTGACTAACGTCCTTTTGTGATGCCGACTGTGCCTAATTTATAGATATGTCGGGTTGCTTCGCTTGATGAGTTTGCCTTTTCTAAATAAAACTCAGTGAATTTACGGCTTTAGAAGACAACTTGTGTTTACAACTAGAGCAGTCTTCCCACCCTCCCGCATCCCCCATAGGTATGGTGGAGAGTTTTTTGTAGAATTTATTTTTTATTACATAATAATTTCTCTTTCCGACTCAGGATCAAAGACAAACGGTTCAAGAAATGAATACGAGACACCCACAAACCTGTGTATAGCCCTGTTATTACTGTTTATCGCTTGGCTTACTGTTCTCTTAATTATCTTCTTATACTGTCGGCGTTATCTGCTCGGGAGTCGTCCAAACAGGTTAGTCAAGGATAGAAAACGGGTCAAGTTTGATCTCTTGATTGGGAGAATTTGTCGTACTTTAATATGTTTAAAAAGAAATCCTGAAGAGAACACAAATCTCGTATTTAGAGCGCGTGGCTTTTCCATCAGCAGGAGGGTCTGTTTACACGCTTATAGGGAAGCCTGAATTCGGCCCTAGGTATCAACTGATCATTTGGTAGTTTCAACTAAAAGTAAAGGTAATTTTATCATCCCGGCATCCTGGCGTGCGCCCTTTTTTTAATTGGATAGGCACCTGTTTTACACAGATATCTGTACTATGTAGTTTTTGGTCAAATTTCAATAACTTTTTGAAACTGCCCTTTTTGCAATTTAGTGTCTACTTTAACTGAGTCTGCAAACTCATGGTGATACTTACTATTTTGGTTTTGCTTTTTTACTTTTACAGAAACGCAGTAAGCCTTGAAACACATTTGGGAGAAACAGAAATGGAGGAATGGGGTTCCACACAGAGAACACTTATGAACCTGTCGCACAAGGAACCAATTACGGAGAAGCACGATAGGTCCACACAAACAGAGCACCTATTGATTGAGTCCCTAGCGACACCAGAACGACAAGCAAAGCGCCTCTCTCCCATTCAACACAGAATCTCGACTGACCATTGATGAGTTCAGTGTGCTATAAGTCATTGAAGGACTCAGTACTGAAGAATTATATTCGAATACACATGCTGTTGGAAATATCCCAGTTAGAGATACCAAAAGTATTAGCTTTGCTGGGACGACTTCGGACATCCGATAGGCAAGGATGCGCTTTTGGAAGTGATACATTGGAACCCGTCTTACGAAACCCCGTTTGGGCGACCACCTCTATATATGACCACATTAATTTGAATATTTAGAACACAATCTTCGAGGTTCTGTTTCACAAGGCAGAACTTTTCGCGCAACATTCTGTGAAGCTGTTGCGAGATGTTGTGTGAAATTAAGTTTACAAACGTTTCTTATCTTTTTGCAAAGAAGCATCGGTATTCCCTAGCGGAATAAGACAGACTCACAGGGCGCTTATCTGGGTGATATGTAAAATAAACTTTACAGTCTAATGTGTTTCAAACACTCGAACAGTACAACAATTAAGTTTGTGTGCAGTAATCTAGTAATTAAGCCAGTTTAGAAGAACAATAGACTCGAAATAATTGTGCATTGAAAAGAAAAGTTAAATAACTAGATTTTATTCAGTAAAAGCCTCTTACAACGTGCAATTTCAATTTAAACGGTGCGGTTCTATCCGCAAGAATTCTTAGAAAAACATTTAGCTTGTTGAGGTTCTTGTAGACAAGAAAGGGAATCCTTAACTTATTTCAAGGTAATTATAGTCAGGTGAAAGTAGAATTAATATACGAAATTAGTCTCTTTAAAGTTTCGATCGAAGGAAGCCCTGAAGAATTTGCACCACATACACTAAGTCGTGTCAGCTGCTTTTTGTATTCAAAGAAATAAGGTATAGCCAAAATGTTTGCGTTATCTGATCTGAAATGGGCCGCACAATGTCATGAAAGCTTTTTCCAGCGGCAGGTTTCGTGAACCTTTTGGGTGAAACAATCGTGCAGTGTACTGTTTAAGTAAAGGGTTCGCGAACCAAAATCGTATAAAAAGTGAGGCTTAGACGCCAAAGTTAAACAAGACAAGGCAAGTAATTAAACAGACACAGTCAGCTGCGAGGAGCATAAATAGAGGGCAAACTCGGTGATGTAGCCTGTAAAGGAGCTGTGTTATGAAATTTATCAAAATCAGTCAAACAGAGGGAAGGACACCAAATTGAGTGAAACAACAAAATAATGAAATAATCACTCGCAAAATTATATACAAAAAGAGGCAAGGATGGAAAAACCTGGGGAAGATTGAAACGGATTGCAATTGTGGTTTTTGAAAACTTTTTAATAATCTTGTAGTTTTCAAAAGTTAATTGTTATTGCTTTTTGACGTTTGATATAATGCTTAGGAGACATATTTTGTTTGACACAAAGCTGTGATTGTGTCCGGCATTCACAGGTAATTTCTCAAGGTTCATGATAGCGAACAAAGACGAGTAACTGGCATTAAAAACAAAATGAACATGGAAACCGTGATACAGCCTCTTTAAATGTTCATTCTCTCGTGATGTTTAAAACTGTGGCATGGTCCACTGGGTGAATAGCTTTCTGATACAATAGAGAACTTAAGCAACGACGGCGGCGACGTAAACGAGAACGGCAAAAAAGCAATAAGTTGGGATCGGCAAAACAACAACTTTGCGCGTGCATCACAGTTTAGTTCTTTGTACATTACTTTGCCGTCACTGCTCGACTAGGACATGAAACGTCCTAATTTCAAGTTTTATGGAGGACGTGAACACATCACAACGATTTTCTTCTTGTTTTTGTGAACTTAGATACAGTCCTTTAGAATTCAACTCCTGAAATATCGCCAACATTTGACAAATTAAAGCGCATAGTTGGAATAAGCCGAGAGCGATGAAGTTTGAAATAGCGCGAATTTGCTTTTCCGGTGACGTTTTAGCTGCCTTTGCCTTCCTTGTTGCTTGAGCTCCCTAATATCGCCATTAATAAAACAACTCTCTGTTATCCTCTGTATAGCATATCCGTTTGAAACAGGTCTGTAAACCCCTTGCTTATTTCTAAATATTTTCTTCCAGGAGACATATTAATGGCCATCAGTCTACGCAGGGTTGTAAGGGCAACGTTATATCTTACTTTTTCAATCTGCTTTTCAAAAGGTAAATTAAAATGACTATACTGCACCGGAACTGCATTGCTGTATTTTGTACTCCGCTCTCCATTGATCTATTGTGCGCACTTAATGTGGCTGGGTATAACTCATCTTTAATAGCTTACCTACCGTGTGACATGAAATTTTTGTGGGAGTTTATTTTTGCAGATTGGCAATTTTTTGTGTTTTGCGCGAACTAATTTCTGCTATTAGAATAGATTGGCTTTTCTTGCTGGGAGGAAGGTAGCCTGCGTGGCAGACGTTCGAAAGGGAAGGGGAAGGGAATTAGGGCGCGAGACCACGCTCTCGTGCGCCCAAATTCCCCCTTCCCCTTTTAACGCCTGCCACGCAGGCTAGGAGGAAGGAACCTAATGGGACGGGCCTGCTACGCCTTTTTAGCCTCGTCTGTTGATTGTTTTCTAACAGATTTTGTTGTTCTCAGATATGCAAAATGACACAGACAGGGTTGAAGACCTCGAGGATCATGAAGCAACACGATCCATATTCTTGGCGGTCTTCCTTTTGATTTCGCTGTCTATTGCATTACTTCTATCATTCATACTATTGGTGTTTGTTTGTGTAAGACACAAGAAGCATGGACACAGGCGCTGATAAAGTACTGTTAATTTCAGATACTACAAAATAAACACGTAAACATGGGCAGAGAGAGCTCTCGTGATTTTATAAATAATCCAGCGGCTTCTGCATGCGTGTCTTATCCTGCGATCAGTCCAAGTTTTAACAGCCCCCAGACATTCTCTTACGTGGTCGCTTCTCTTCGCTTTGCGGAACTTTATTAACCAAGCGAAACGAAAATAGTAGCCTGAGAAAAAAGCCGATATTTCATGACGTCACCACTGGTTACCAATGATTTTCCCGCGAAATGGAATCTGAGCAGCGACTGCGGAAATTCTATACTGAGGACGTGTCACTACCCAGATCTGGGTAGTGCGTCTGAATGGTCGTCTTGCGACAGAAATTTGCCTCGACCAATAACAGATACCCAGATCTGGGTAGTGATAGGTCATCAGTATGGAATTTCTGCAGTCGTTGCTCGACGTCATTTCGCGGGGAAACCAGTGATGGCGATGAGAAACGTCGGCTCATTTCTCAGGCCATGAAAATAGGACAGGATTTCAGGTTAAAGCCTGACTGGAATCATGTGGCCTGTTTCACAACTTTGGGATACCAGTAATTCGGAAAAAGTTATTCTCAGACTCATTAATAATTCATAAAGAAAATACAAAGGAAATTAATGTTTTTTGAGTGTTTGGAAATCAGATGAAAAACTGCTCATTTTTGCACCCATAATTCCTCCTTCGTTCCCCGCGAACTTTCTATTTTTCGATTACTGCTGGTTTTAGTGGGATACCCAGCGGGAGCCTATGCGGAGGAGAGAGGTTTCATTCGGTGATGAAACAATGCGTCTCGCGCTTGATACGTTACTTAAAAAAAACTAATATTCAAAGGAAGTCACAGTGAATGTGGATAGCTACCAAACTACACCGGCCACAATTAAGGCCGTCTGCGCTGCGGCTCAGATGTAGTCTTCTTGCACGCGTATCATCTATTTCCGAACGAAATAGGAGACATCTACTGGCGGGGTAAATCAGAGGGTCGTTACCAGAAAGTTCACCGGGAGGCATTTTGTCCATTAAGAACTAATGTGGTAGGGAGAGGTCAACAATAATTCAGAGATTCAAAATTGGTCAGATTGTTCTGCTTGCTAAAAATTACATCGGTTGGTAGGGTCAGCTCTAGAGAAACGGAACCCATGATCTTAACTTTGAGGGTCAAAATGAACCCAAACGGAATTACAGTAAAGGGAGCATACTCTTCAACTTTGATAGAGTCAAAATAACGATACAAACTTCAAACATTTTGAGCTTTAATCGCTAAAAGTAATGTAACGAAATCATCCTGGTCGCTCAGCTAAGAGAATAAGAACTTCCAGCAAGTCCACATCTTTCTGTTTTAGTTGATATATTAAGTATTGCAATACTGCGTCAACGTATGTACACAAAACCATTTTACACAACTTAACAAAACGTCTTTCTGACCGTTCCTACGATGGATGAAGGGTGGTCGATCGAAAAGGAAAAAAATTATGTTCGTACAATAGCCTGCTAGCAAGCTCTCCGGGGCGTTCTGGCGGCGGGGCGCCCTAGAGAGCTTGCTAGCAGGCTGTTCGTACACCTAAATATAAAACCTTTTCACGACAGCCGTATTTTCTGGTCTTGATGGTGCTCTTAAGCGGCACAGTCCACTCTCTCTTAACGGACACCTCTGTAAGAAGGATACGTCGATAAAACGGACACCTAGACTTTATCCCCGCCTTTCTTTACTCCATTTATTTTACTTTGTATAACACGGACATCACTCTTCAATCGACTCTTACTACTGGTCCCAAAGGCGTCAGTCTTAGAGAGAGTTGACTGTAGAATCAAAGACATAGATGCTGCAAGCAACTGTGCAGTGGAACCTCCATATAACGAAGGGTCAAGGGACTGGAAAAATTTGCTGGCAACAACTAGATTTTGTTATATCGAGGTTCTTTTTCATATATTCTGCTATTGCTGGGGTAAAGAAAATCGTTCGTTATATAGAGGTTCCCCTGTAGTAGCAGACCGATTTCCCCTCCATCGAACTCGTTTGACAAACGTCTCAAGTGCGAATAGCAAGGAAAGTGAATATGATTCTTAACAGAATCGATTCACAATGGCTAAATATCCTCGCATAACCAGGAGTAGCTAATCAGGACGAAATATTCAAACAGAAGGCTTTTGGAACTGGTCCGAAGCTCCCGGACTGCAACGATTTTGGATTGGGAAAGGCGTTAAGCAAAGGTGTTTTTGAGCGATGGACGGCAACTGAAATTGAACTTACGCATTTTTAGGCGGTTGTTTTGTCCACATTTCCGGGAAAATCGCCTGTATACATGAAAAGAAACTTAGCAATATAAAGTTGTCAGCATCCACATCTACTGAAAGGGAAAAAGCCTCACATCCGATTACCGTCCGTCGCTCAAAAACGGCTTTGCTTAAGCTCCCTAATAACTCACTTCGATTAGCTCCCTCTAAGTCTGCGAGGCCATTTATCACCCAACTGAGCTCGTAAAACTAAATCAGCCAGTCTTTAAAAACCACAGTACACAAAGTCTACTTTTTCTGTTGCGCTCTAGTAACTCTTTTTGTGACAGTTTCTGGGGACTGTACTGACGTCATTTTCTTCGAGAGCTTCCTTTGAGGAGCAGCCGCAGTAGGTTTTTCCTCGACATCACCTTCGGCTGTCATCTCATCTGACTCCTGCGACAAATCAGTGCTTCCTTTCAATGCTTGCTTAGATTTTATTCTACGTGGCCGCCGAGAAGAAACATTTTCTTCTGGCATGTCGGATTCCACTGGAACCTGAACATCTACGTTTGCACTGTCTTCGTTTGCGACCAACGACCTCCGAGTTTTACGCGTGCGAGGTGTATGCGGGTCTTCCTCAACAGCTGAAGAGTCAGCATCATTTGTTTGGGGATATGGGACATCTTCGTTTTGTATCGGCAAATTGCGACTCTGTCTTGTACGGCGAGTAGGCTTTTCATCCCTCTGTTGAGGAGGGGAAGGTGGTTTTATCTCTTCCTCTTCTTCTTGAATATCCTCGGATATATTTATTCCGCCTTCGTATGAGTTACTCAATTGTGTTTTAACATTGTCTGTACCTTGTTCGATATCTGATGTATCAGGCTCCGAAAAAGCCAGTTGCGCAGACTTTCTTGTTCGCCGATTGCTGGCGCCCTTTGCTGTCTCCGGAGTAACATTTTGCGGGGTTGATTTGCGAGTACGTCGATAAGTCGAAGATAGCTCGGCTGTTGATACTTCACACTCGTGTGCCGTGCCCTCAGTTGGCGGACTAACCAAACTTTCCTTCGCTGGAAGCACTTCTGGTTCTTGTGGTGGTTGCACTGCAGACTTACGTGTTTGACGCTTAGTCTGCGTCTTAGCAGGCTGCTTTTTACGTTCCTGTGTGACTTCTCCAGATTCAACCCCTTCACTTAGTTCCGTTAGCTCTTCCTTGCCCGTATCCATCGCAACGTTTTCAATCTCTTGGCTAGATGGAAGCCTTGGGGATTCCTCTTCTGCAGCACGTACATCGGCCATCTCCACGTCTCCCTCCGCGGTAACAATAGGTGGATTGTCTACTAAACCACCTCCAACGCCGGACTCTTTGTCTTTATTGTGTTCTTCCTCTTCTGCCGCTTGTTGTCGAGCTTTCTTGAGGGATGGTTCAGCAATGGTTGCAACTGGCATTCTCTTTCTACCCCGTGTTTGTCTCCTCGGCTGTTGTCGTGCAACATCAACATCAGCAGTTTCTGTTTCGGAAGAGGATGGAAGTGAATCACTAGGACCTGGAGGCACGGAGTCACTTTCGGTCTGCGGAACAACGCTACTGCTTTGGCTTAACACATCTGACGACTCGCCTATGTCAGTGTCACTCGTATCCACTCCACCTTGCATGCTTTCCTGATTGTCGTTTCTCATGCCCAGCCTATTTTGTTTTTCACTGACTGGTTTTGTCATGCGGGACTTTCTGGTCTTCCCAGTAACTGGCATAATTTCCTCTTCAAAACTAGTTGAATGTGCATCCTCTGTAGTATCGGTGCCGATGGGTTCAGATCTCCGCGATCGCCTTGTCTGCCGAGTGGGAACTGCGGTAGGTGGACTTGATAACTTCTCTTGTCTTGTAGAGCGTCCAGAGCGACCTCGTCGGGTTGGAGCCGCCCTGGTTGTTGTTTTCAGTGTTTCTGGTTCATCTTCAGTGGTACTGTCTTTGATTACTTCTTCGCCCGCATCAGTGACAGCTTTTCCTGTAATATTACTTGTGACAGCTACAGTCTCACTGTCGTCAGAAAGGTCACGCATCACGGCATCATTGGCAGTTGTTGTAACACTGTCACGGGGCAATGACTCGATGTCACGCTCTATAGCATCATTTTCCCTGATAAACGCGTCTGTTTGTTCGGTGAAACCGGAGGGATCCACTACCGACAGGGAAGCTGAGTTTTCTGAAACGGATGAGTTTAATGGCAGTTCAGCGTCTTTCTCAAGTGCCGAAGACTCACTAATAACTTCACTAGAGCCAAACACTGAAGAAGAAAAAGAAATTAATTTGTTTAGGGGACGTAATACAAATCTCCCTGCCAGCAATAGATGATCTGTTCTCAACTTTCGTGCTCTTAAAAGCATCCTAAAAAAACGATGAAATATATAAAAATAGATATAAAAATACAAAAAGTCAGTTCTGTTAAGAAATCCCAGAAAATGGAAGATCAAGGATCAAGGATAAGGCGAAAACAACGAAAACGGAAAAGGTTCGCTTAGACTTTCACAAATTACTTTATGAAATTGTTTTGTTTTTGTTGTATAGTGACGGTAAAAGCGACATATAAAATTACGCCTTTCTAACTCAAAACTAAAGTCCTGTCATTTTTCAAGTAGACATGGTGCATGAGGAAATAACAAACCTATATCCTCATCTCCCGGCGGTTTTTCCTCAAACTCTGGCATCTTTTGTCCTTCGTCTGTCAGTGCGTTGGGTTCCTCGTTTAACTGCTCAACTGCTTTCTGAAACTCTATCATCTTGTCCTTCTCATTACGAACTCGAGCTTTGGCTCTGTCAATCTGATTCAACACCATCTCAAATCGAGCAGCTGCTACATCATTGACAACATCTCCGGCAGCTTCCTGCCCGGTGGCTACGTTTTGCTGTGCTGTTGCTGCCGCTGTGGCTGCTGAATACCCAAGAGCTTGGTACCATGACCGAGGCACCCCCGGCCTTTGGGGTCGGACATGCTGTTGGGCTGGGTAAGATGGAAGTCTAGCAGGAGGGGGACGATAGCCACTGGCAGAAGTAGGAGGGTAACGTGAATTGACTTGGGGCATAGACTGAGATTGAGCATAGTTACTCATAACAGGTGATGTTGGTGGGGGAATAGAAGAAACAGCTGGAGCGGGGTAAACGGGTGGTACCCGAGGGGGTGGTAAGGCAGGACGTGGTATCGCTGGGGGTGGTATTCCAGGAGGTGGCAGTCCAAGGGTAGGCATACGGAGAGGAGGTATACCAGGTGGAGGAATACCTGGGGGTGGTATCCTAGGGGGTGGTATTGCAAGTGGAACTACCCCAGGAGGTGGTATACCAGGTGGGGGAATAACTGGGGGAGGTATCCTAGCATATGGTAATCCAGGGGGTGGTATGGTAGGTGGTGTATAGGGAGGATAAGAACCTATGGGTGGTGGGAATGGAGTGGGAGGATAATATGAACCATAATAACCAGGGTAGGTAGGTAGAAAGCTGTTAAGAAAAGAAAAAAAGGAGAAATTACAAATTGGTATAAACCCAGAGCACAGCTACTTGTAACACAGACTTGCTTATGTTCAATAAAAATCAGTATGTTCACAAAAGTTTCAACTCTAGTACATAATAACATATAATCTGGCAATGTGTCTGTGAATAACTGCCGGGATGTAGGTGACTGCCCTTAGCAGATGAGCCTACTGAATAATTTTCAAGACAGATAATCTCGCTAAGTGCGCAAGGGCAGCAGGAAACCATAACAGAAAAGCCTTAAAAATCACCAACACTCTTTCAGAAAGATATCAAATGTGTCTAAATAAACAAATTACCTAAGAAAGAGACAAAATGGCAAAGGTTGTGACAAACCTTTTTATATTACAGTATAATAATGAATCAACAAAGAGTTACTTTCTGAAGAAAACAGCAATGCTGTATCACAGGGCGTGTGAAGACAACAAAAGTAGCACTTGAAATGCAGCCACCTCGCTACAACCGCCATTTTTTTGGGCGGACAGCCCATACATTCACTTTTGTTTCAACCTCTCTACAATGGCCACTTTCTTCTGTCCCCAAGGTGGCCATTGTAGAGAAGTTCAACTATATCAGCCTTTGAGTATTTGTCTGCTTTAGTATCGGACTGGCATAACTTTGGCAGGCATCCTTTAACTTACCCAAGATGAGGCACTGGTGGCATAGGGGGAGGTACACTCACAGGGGGAGGGTACCCTGGTGGTGGAACACTTGGCCGGTGGTAGGGTGAGTAAACAGCAGGTGGTATGTATGGTGCATGAGGTGTCTGGAATGCAGTAGTGGGTGTTGATTTATAGGGCGTAGCTGCACTTGTGGCAGCTGATGTAGTAGTAGACGATAGTCCAAAAATCATTTCAAGGTTTGTCATGGACCAGTTCAGGTTGAAGCCATATTGGCATTTCTGGCACTGAAAGGATGGAGGCTCACTGTCACCTAAAATGCAACAAATAAAAAGCAAATTAGACCTGGTATTGAAGCTGATCATCCAATAACAACCATAACAAAAACAACTGCTTAAATCATCATCACCAAGACTGAAAAATTAAAACAATAAAAATATTTGAAAATTATTACAGTTCACAATAACAATAAATTGTTAGAAAAAAATAGTAATAAATCATTTAAACATCAAAGTTCTCCAACATTCTTCTTGAGTTTTTAAAAGAGTTTAGTTTATCTGGTGTTGTAATGATGTCTACATCCTCTGTCTTCAGTATCTTGTTAGGTTCTTATTAGAAATGCAATAACAAAATATAAAAAACCGATGGAAAAAACGCCAAAACAGCAGATTCATTTGATTTCTTCTTTGTCCTCAGACCATCTTTGGAATGGCTAAACTTGAAATAGCATAGACGAAGATGGTGGAGTAGTGACGACAACCCAAGTCAGCGGCTGATTTTATAAGTTATTGGCCATAAAAAAAAAAAATCCCAAAGAATGAGTGGGTAATTGCTGGTAAAGAAATTATTAGAATTTGCTTGCACCGATCCTCTATATGATCATTTCGGATTCATCTCAAACTGATGGACCAGATTTCATTCTAATTGATTCATGAATCAGACAAATAACATATGACCCTGATTTAACTTCAGCGTAGTACGTGTAACATAAAGTTGAATGCAACCATTAAGAGAAGTGTTTCAAAGCTCATGATCAACAGTGGTCAGGGGGATATACACTGGTATTGTGCAGTATTGACTAGTGTGTTTTTGCTACCTTTTGGATAGTGGACATTGTGGAGTACTCAATAAGGGGGGATAAACCAAATGGTTGATGTCTCTGGTGAAAGGTAAAACCAATTTAGAAAACAGGGGCAAAATGTGAGCTTGAAAAATTGGAATAGGATCTTTCAAAATACAAAACTGATTGATTTGTGTTTTTGAGTCTAAAAGACTTATTTCTCAACAGAAATCACACAAGTCATTTATACCAAGTCTGGCAAATCAACATGCACCTGGGTTTTTCAAATTAAAACTCTTACCAGACAAAATGAGAAGTTACATGAAGTCTCAAGCCTTAGATTTATTTATTTTTTCTGACAATTTGATAAGTCCTCATAAACAACACTACGGTGGGGTCTTCAAAAAGGAAAACTACCTGTGTGTACTTTTAAAGTGGTTTCTCTTATTTTCAAGACAATGTTTCTGAGTACAAACTTCAAGTATCATATAAAAGCCATGCAATGTAAAGTGGCCAGTTTATTTCAAGCATTATTATTATTATTATTATTCTTTATCGAATCAAGCCTTCGTCAGCGAATGGCACATTTTAAGCCCTAGCTCTTTCCATCCATGCCACAAATAATAGTAACTCAAATGCAGACACTATTAAGATTCAATTCTTTAGAGAGCTTCCACATTCATATATTCTCAAAACTAGTTTAGGAAAATGTAAAAATTTTAAGTTATTGCAAATACAAAATAAATATTACCAGTAAAAAAATCCCAACATTTGATTAAACTATACAAGAAAATAACTGGTCTTAATAAGAGACAAGACGTTAAGAGGAAAGAATTTTTTCTCAACTTTCCAAAGGCCTAAACACTGCTGACCTCTGTGTGGCATCAGGGTTTATCAGTTTGTACCTCAAGTCCCAGATTCTGTTCTAAGCCAAAGCCATCATTCCAGTTGGTGGATCAGTCATTCATTGGGTTATTCCAGAAAAAATCCACACCCCCCCGACGGATGGGGTCCTTTTTTAACCCCCCCTCTCACCTGGATTTCCTGAAGCACAAGACCCCCCCTCCCAACTGGATTTCCAAGGTGGAAGACCCCCTCCCGCCTGGATTTCCGGGAAAAAAAAAAAAGGCTTAAATTTAATTTCTTTTTAATGGAAAATACACACAAACACGTCTAAATGTTTTTGTTTTAATTTCTAAAGCTTCAGCTTATATTAAACTAAGAATTCTATCGCGGGAACTAAAAAAACGAAAGGAGCAAAAAACAAAAATGCGAATCGACACCTGAACGAGTGTTTACATAATTTCTTAGCTTATAAAAATCACTCTTAAGCTCTTGGCGGCTCTGGGTACGCAGTAGAAATGTGTCAGGCTTTGACGCTCTTAAGTGACAACAACGCTTGCGACGAGTTCCTTCAGGCCCGTTCTTTAGTATCTTGTTCGCGTTTTCTGCTATAAAAGGACCTGTAAAGCAACTTAGATTATCATTTATGTCAGGTGAGAAATATATGAACAAAACATTTTGACTATTTTCAGGGTCTGAAAGCGCTTAAGTGTCATCGAACTAAACGTTTGATTTGTATCAACTATCGGTCGAAATGACCCCTGCAGAAGACTTTTTTAAGGTCAACCCCCCCTCCCGCCTGGATTTCCGGAGTCTTCGACCCCCCCTCCCGCGAGAATTTCCAGAATCCCATCCGTCGGGGGGGTGTGGATTTTTTCTGGAACAACCCATTTATTCAAAACGGCCACAAGTATAGAATACATTTCACAGCATATTTTAGGATTACCAGTGTTTTGTACAAAAATTGTTTAAAAAATTAACTATAAATTTGATTTTTCTAGCAGGCCAATCTCTAGACAGCCTGTCTTTTAGGGCCTGAAATATGTACCTCCCATCCTCGCCCAGGACTTAACAGAGCCTCTATGATAAACCAAGGGTGCTTACCATTTACACAAACTATCACAGTGGAAATCTTGTTCATAAAAATAACACTACAAAATCTGACGCGTTGGGAGAACAACCCACTACAAAGTATATCCAAATCAGCTAAACAAACTTAAGAGAGTAGAAAAATTGCATCGCCTCTTCTGAGAGTTTCCCACATGGAATGGTGCAAGCCATTTGATTTTTCAACCAGAATTTCTGGTTCTCCCATGTAAATATGGTAAGTACCCCAAGACTAGAAGGTGAGGTCTAACAGCCACTAGATCAAGTGTCATTAAGATGCATGCATAAGAATACACTTCTCCCTTTTGTTTTTCTTCCCAATGCACCTCACCTTTGGCCATTTTAAAAGCATGATTGCCCGTAAGCAGTTGCTGAAGACTCTGCGGCAACTCAGAGTCTTTTGTGTTTTCTGAAACCACGATAATGTATTTCACATCTGGTGAGCCACAGTATGGGCAACGACCAGTGGATGACACAGGGTACTGACTTGCAGTTGACGATGCCGATGTGCTACTGGTTGAAGATGATGACCTCTTAACTGTTGAGGTTGTTGTAGATGCCACTGAGCTAGCTACATTACTAGAAGAAAGAGTTTGTTCTGAAAAATGTTCAGAGTCTGTTGCAGCCTCAGAAACACTCTTGCCTGCACCATCATCACCCTTGCCATCCTCCTCATCATCATCACCATCATCAGCTACGGCATTTTCATCATCACTGTTTTCTTGGGAAAGTTTTTGTTGTTCTTTAGCAAGCATTTGCTTGATTAGCTCTTCCTCATCAAGTTCATCATCATCATCATCCTCTTCATCATTTTCTTCTTCTTTGTCGGACGAACCTAATAAGAGGGAAAGTGTTATTATTATGAAGCTACTTGCATTTAACCACTTACAGCTGAATTTCTATAATTTTGTTACCTAAGAAAGGAATGGAATGCTTTAGTACAGCTTAAACAGAACACACCAGTAACATTAGTAATAACAAAGCATCATACACTAAAAGCAAAATAAACAAAAATGAAACCAAAAGAGAATCAAAATGCAACTAATTTACATACATACTTTGAACTACTGCTGAAGTGTCGGACATGTTTCTTTCGACTTCACTTTCACTGCCTTGAAAATCATCTAAGACAACAAACGGATTGTCTGACGATTCATCTTGGCTAGAATGTTCACCACCTTTGTATCATGAGGAGAAAAGCAAAATTCTCATCAATAAATAGACTCAAATAAGTGTAAAAAACATTCCATACTAAACTGATCAGTTGATAAATTTCAGTCATGTAAAAATAATGTCATGCACAACATTTACACAAATTCACAAATCACAAATGTGAGACACATACCACTGAGAAAAAGGGATAAAAATGTCTAAAAAAGTGTAGATACAAGAATAGGACAAAAAATAATACAGTACTAACCTTGAGTTTGAGTTCCTTGAGGGCTTGATACAGGATTAATTGCCTTCTTAGAGTAAAATAATGCAAGAAAGATATCATGTTTGATCGTCTATTCCATCAAAGTGATTGATAAAGAACCAAGCGCTTGAGGAGATCGCCCTGTTTCATTCCAAACTTTGAAACAATGCCTAATTGACTACAGAGGTTAATCATTTGCAATGAGCTTTAGCCGAACACTTAATAAACAAGGTAAAAAGATTTTGCTCGGATGCAACTGTGTCACAGCATTAGGAGAAACAGAAAATTTTATAAAAAGCAATGTTTTAGTTATGGTAGTGAGAAAAAACAGGATTACAATTATCATGGAAATAACCTGCACAATAGACTGGTTAATAATTATTATATCTGGTGTGATTGATACCTGTAAAGGCCGATCCAGAGACTCCAGGATTTTGTACACTGATACATTGTCCCAGTTAACATTAAACCCTGCACCCAGTGGGTCAGGAGGACAAAATCCGCGACACAGAAATGTGGGTGGGTCCTGTATAGGTATAAATTAGGTTAACAGAAAGGAAACAAATACAGTATCTTAAATGAGAGCTCCTTGACTCAGAACAAAAAACAAGGGCCTTCAGCCCAAACGCTCTGGTGGTTATCCACGTGCAGTAACCAACTGTATCAACAAGAACCCAGAAAACGTGAAAAACCCCTAAAGCACAATTTTCAGTATTAAATCAGTATTAAACCTAGTTTGATGCAGAGTTTTATCAATTTTGTATCCTTACTCATAGAAGACAAAAGAATTCTGGTGTAATGGCTGACGACAAAATTTAAGTTTTGCCCTTCAACATATACACTGCTTTTAATCATCTCATCATATTTTGAATATGACGACTCACATTTTCTGTAGGAAAATTTGCTCAAATATCAACTTCTACTTTGTTTGGCTCATAGCATTTTGTGCACCACAAGTTAGGGGCCATCCTCTTGGCTTTAATATACCCTTTAACACTATTTTGGAGAAAACTCTGCAAGGTCAATGCCTGTTAACAAAAATGGAGCTGTAAAGGCCTTGAACAATGAGGCAGAGTTAAAGGACAAAATCTGCCTTGCAGTCAGAAAAAAAATAAGTACACTGCAGTTTAAGTCAACAAATTAAGCTTTAAGATATCTCCTGCTCAGCTGTAGACCTTCATGTGAGTTTATTAAGGAAATTATCTATCATACATTCGAGCACTGACAGCACCAGTTCTCAGGTTGGAGCTATCAGCCAAAGTTGAACATTCAAATGCAAGTCTCACCTTGTAGCCTTCTCTCTCTTGACTTGACCAAAGGATTGCTCTTCCTTTGGCTATGAGACTGTGAAGAATTTCCGGCATATCGCCCATGGGGAATAATCTGTAATAATATTTAAATTAACCCTTTAGTCCCACGAGTGACCAACATCAATTTTCTCCACACAAAATCAGTATATAATCAAGGGAAAAGGTTATGAGAACTGGTTATATGATTTATTTATTTATATATTTAATCACTTCCACCATACGGTGTCAAACACACAACAGAGCACTGCTCCAGTTTATGTGTGTCCTTGCAGATAACCCACCCAGCCCAGAAGAGGTTGGCCACACCACTGGGGTCTACGTCCCCTACTCTTTTTGGAGAGTGGTGTGGGTTCTTTTACGTCCCTTAAGAGCCAGGTAAATGAAAGTGCTGTGAGAAGGGACCTACGGTTTTTCGTCCTTATCCGAGAAGGCTAGAAAGTCTAACCGTTTGCAGATGTCATTGCAAAGGCAGCACTTTCTCCTCAGTTATTTTAAAGACCCTGAGTGTTGGTCTGGCAGGGGTTTGAATCCACGACCTCCTGCTCTGCAGACCGGCATATGCCTACACTCTCCCAACTGAGCTAACCGTGCAGCACCAAAGGGGAAAAGCCCTGATTGTTTTTCAAATTCTGCCGACTAATTCTCTAAGAAAATGTATAAAGAACAGTCTGGAGAATTTGTATGTTTGTGGACATTGGGGATTACAGGGTTAAGTGAGAATCAAATCTAACAGAGTGAAAAACAGCCTTGACAGACTCACAAACACTTACTTGTCCAAGATTACATAAAGTCTGTTTGAATTCCCACAGCGTGGACACAAACCATCTTGGGAAACTGTGTATGTCTCTCCTCGTAAATGAGAACCCTTCACCTTTTCTTCCATATCCATTTCATCCACCCTGCAACACACATGCCATAAATAATTAAACTGTGTTTTAACCTTTTCTTCCTAGACCGCAATATGGTGAAATTACTTGTCACTCTAACTTGTTATATCTGTGGAAAAAATCATGTAGTATTACCATTCAAATGAAATGCCTTTGCAAGGCCCTAGTTGTTTAAAAGGTAAATAGTACTGTTCATTGAGAAAATTGCTATTCATCAGGCAGAGGAAGAAACTGTTCCCTCACTAAAGGAAACAGTTTCATCCCCTAATAATGCCAACAATGCTTCGGATTGAAGCCAACCAACTATGAGTGAGATTCGTAGTTCATAAATCTATAGCAACAACGGTGGTACAAATAGTGCCAATAGTAAGTTTAGCCAAAAGCTTCAATAACAATCTGCTTGAGTGACTAAGAATCTGCTTGTAGTTCTAAAAAATACCAGCTGTAAAATGCAAATTATGGTGGCGGTGTTTTGGTAGCTTAACTAAGCTTCAGCTATAAGCAAACTTCAGCTGAAAATATTAGTTTCAGCTCAGCTGTTTTTAGCTCAGTCAGCTACAATTCAGTTCTGCCAGGCGGTTCACGGACAACTAACTATAACTTACTCTGTCCCTCCCTGGAAAGTTTCATACGCACACTGTTTTACAACCTAGCAAAGATGATAAAATCGCGAAGACCAGTTAAAACAACATCATATCCTTAAGACGACATGTTGAGAGACAACTCAACCTACCGCCATGTTGCTTGCTATCCCACGGGGCCTTGCAACAAAACTGTTGATCATGCGCAATTGGAAAAGCGCGAAAAAAAACAAAAATGGCGGACGACGGGAGGGTTTGTGTGGACAGCAAGCAATCGGTGCTGAAAATTCATGAAAAATTAAGGAAGGAGGTCCATAAAATAGCCGAAAAGAAGTCTTGGTCTGCTGAACAAAAAGAAGAATTCGAGAAAAAGATCCTTGAGGTGGGTCGCTAAAAGTTGCCACCTCGATTTGTTATAAGCTTAACTTACTTTTGTTCATCATTAAACTTAAATGCTCTGCTTGATCGCATCTCTGACTTGATTTTTTATTCTTGTGTAGCTTTATAAAGAGTCAGTGGAGGAAACTGTTCAAGCAAATGTGGTCATTGGAGGACAAGACTGGAACAATGTATCCCAGTCTGAAGATTCAAGCATTTCTGTAGTTCGGGAGGGTAAGCTTATGAATTATCTGTAACAAACGAGTTTGATTCTTCAGATCAATAACTTTATTTAACCATGGAGTCCTTTTCATTAAAAAGTGCTCTCCCAAGGAGCTGTGCACTTTACCAATAAGTTACGCATAATAGTTTTTAATACTTAAACCTATGTCATTACAATTATAAAAATTATCTAATTTTAAAGTTGAAGTACGAAAAATTAATTAAACTAGTAGCCTACTTAGCCGTTACTAATTAATTCAATTAAAAAAATTATTTGAACTAGTCGCCTGCTTAGCCTCGACCGACAGACTATTCCATAGAACAGCACCCATATGCCAGAAACTCTCCTTAAATGCCTCAGAGTATGGTCTCGGAACGAAGAGATTGTGTTGTGAGCCCTGCAATGTCTGTGAATGGAACTGGTGTAGGCAAATTTCTCTATATATATTTGGGTACTTGCCTGTTCACTGTTTTGAACAGTAACATTGAATTGGTTTTTACTTCAGGGTAAAGGTTGACATCATCGCTACTTATCCAGGATAAATGTCATTTAAAGGAGCTTTTAGTTGTTCCACTTTTCACTAGGAATAGAGTCATATTTAAGTTGTAATCAGCTGAAATCAAGTCAACATTGCCATTGCGTTCAAGCTTACATTTACATGGGTTAACCTTGCAAGATCATTGCGACATAAGTGCAAGCTTATAAACATAAACAGAGTTTGCTTATGACTCTGTTTCTTATTGCCTAGTGATAGTGTCGCAAGCAAAGGTGAATGAATATGCCAATCACAATGTACAGGAACAGACCTTGTGATTGGTTTCTTCTTTTGAGGTTTATGGTCATCTCTCTACCAACAAAATTGCCACGAAGAAGTCAACTCGCAAAACAATAACTCTGAAACAATTGACACAGTTTACTTACCTAGTATTGCTTACGTAGGATTTTTACTTTTTTGTCAAATCTAAATACTAATCTGTCAATTTTAATTGACCATCGTAAGATCAATTTCACATGTTCTTGGCCCGAGACTCGTGCATGTGCTAGGGAATGTGACGTGGTATTTCCCAGATTACCAAAGGATCTTTACATTCCATACAATTTCTTTTAAAAAAGTGACAGAAAATTATTTTCAAATTAAATATAATTAATTAACAGTTTAGGAAGTTAGGCAATTTTGAGACTCCAACATCGAAAACTCATCTTCTAATTTTTCTCAAAATTAAAATGCTTTTGGCAGGAACAGTCTACATTAGGTTTCTTATCTACCTAAAAGCTATCTATGGACAGAAAATGAGAGAAATGGAGTTTCAACTCCTGCCACGAAATTAAGATTCTGCTTAATTTTTCCTGACAGTTGTTCTTAAGTCTTCTCCTGTGTCTTTGAATGACCATCACTCTGGTGGTCTTCTTACTGTTTGATTACAACACATTGATTTTTCCTTTTCAGAACTGGAGCCCCTCAACAGAGACAGGGTTGAACAAGTCTTTGCAATATGTTCAGAACTGGAAGATTTAATGAAAGACACAACATTCAAACGGAAAAATTATCCACAGCAAATCACAGAAGGAATACAGAAGATTCTCCAGAGTAAAAAAGAATTACTCGTAAGTTTCACAATGTGGTATTAGAGCTAGTCGAAAATGTTGTTATTCATGAATTAGGGCTAGGCGACAAACACAATTGAGAATCAACCTAGGTTAAAAAATTTTTACCTGAATTTAATTTTGACAGGTATCAATTCCAATAGAGAGAAAAGGAAAATTGCTTATCCTGAAAATGTATTCTTTCTGTAGGAAAAGTACCAACCAGCAACAAAGACTGATTCCATATTGAGCAGTTTAAATTTCTTAACTTCAGGTATGACATTTCTATGTTTCTGTTGGTTACTTCCAGAGTGTAATAATATTTTCTTACTCGTGAACATGAGAACTAGGTGATGTTTATCCATTTGCTGTTAGTTGTAAGTTTCAAATTAAGGTGTTCTTCATTGAACACAACAGTGTCTGTGTATAGTCTGTGCATTGCAGCCATGTTGGAGGAGTAAACAATAAAAAATGTTGCATGAAAATAGAACTTTTTCTCAAGGAAAATCATTTTATTGTCTTACTCCTCCAACACAGCCACCTTGCTCATACGCTATTATGGAACTTAAGCAGCAACCATGGCAACGGCTACGAAAACATCACTTAAAAAGTGAATTTGTGCTGCCTCAAACTTCAAATTTTTTGGTGTTGAATTCAAAAGGACTATATCAAAGTTCAGGAAAAGAAGAAGAAAGTTGTTGTCTTGTGTTCCCCTCCTCGACAAAATGTGAAATTAGGCATTTTCATGTCGTGGTCGTGTAGTGACAGCTAAGAAATGAACAAAAAAGCATGACACACATGCAAAATTATTGTTTTACCAATCTAAACCTATTGCTTTTTTGATGTTCTCATTGCTGTCGCCATCGTTGTTGCTTAAGCTCCCTCTTGTGAGGCAGGAGTTTATTGTCTGTTGGCCCTTTATGGTGTTCTTTTTTACTTACTTACATACATACATACATACATACTAACTTTATTCAAGATGTAAACAAGCTTATTTACAGGAAAAACATAATCATAATATTAAAAAACATTTTGAAAAGGAAGTTGAGAGGTTAGCCCTATATTAGAACTCCCAAACAGCAATAGAAAATGCTAACTAAAAACATCAAATACAATACAAGTATTCAAAAATCAGGGCGTTAATTAAAGCACGGTTCTAGTTTAAAATTTTGACACTGTCATTATATTAATTCCTTAGACTTTGATGACTGCATTCAGAGACTACAATCATCATCCTCTGAGGTTTCTCAACTGTCAAAGGTTTGTATACACTATTTTTTGTTTTTATGAGAATACTCATGACTCAAACAAATTTTGCTAATCCACGTTTGCTTAACGGATGGAAATTAAAATTAAAAAATTGCAACATACTAAGAGTTTGTCCTTATCATTCATCCATCTTATCGCTTTCCACACATTAATTACACGTATTTTGATTAAAATTTATTCAGTTCACTTCTACAAGTTTCTCTTTCACTTCTGCAATTACCTAAAATCACAACAAATTTTTAAATGATAAGTAGCTTGCACAGCAAGAATGTGAATTGAAGGTAATGAAGTACATCTCCTCTTTACATGTAACCATCACAGAGTTGCAAGGTGAAGAGAGAGTTAGGGTGAAGGAATAACGGAAAAAAGAGTGTCATAACATAAAATGATGCAGAAGCAAGGGGAATTCATCTCCATCGCTCCCAGATGCTGGTTGACTATTCTAGCTCAAGTTGAACTTGTACAGTCTAGATGCAGGCTCTGTTACAAGTCTAACAACATTATAAATAGCAAAGTTAATTTAATGGTAAAGAAGCTTGGCAGTAAGGTACTGCTGTTTTACATAATGATTTTACATACAGGCATTTTAATCAGCAGTTTAATTATCCTGTCTGAGTAACCTGTTTCTATTTTCTCACTTTTTCAGTCATTACCGGAACTTCATGGAAAAGTTCTTCGTCTACAGGAAGTTGTTCAAAACCACAAAGTCATGCAGAAGAGTGAAACAGATGCTGTGTTATTCGGAAGGGACAGTAACAGTGATGCTAATTTATTACCTTCTTCTGGTGAAGTTCCCATATCACAGGGTGACCAAACTAATGAACAATTCAATTCCAAGGATTATATTTGGTGGGGATCATCTAAGCGAAAGTCAAATCCTCCTCAAAGACTTGACCCTTCTAATTACTCACAGGTTTAGATGATGATCTTTTAATTTATAGCATAATGTTTAATTCTAGAGTAATTATTCTTTTAAAGTATCCTGAAAGTGAAAGTGAGCTCCAGCGTAGTAAATTTTATGAATTTCAGAGCTTACAGTAATATGATCTATTGTTTCATTCTTGGCCTTAAAAATAACTTATTGGGTACTAAACCAATTTCTTGGTGCATCAATGTCACTGAGACCCTCAAAACCTTAGCTTGTTCGACAAGATTTTGCAACCCTACTCTAGACTTGGCAACAAAATACCCTTCTCATGCCAGCTTGAATTTTTCTGTTATACCAAACAAACAAAACTTATTTCCATCAATATAATTTATATCACAACTTTAAAAATCAGGCCAACATTTTTAAAGTTTACCTGATTGCAATTCTGTCTATCTGTATTCCTCTCTTTCATATCTTTTGTGTCATTCCACATTTTAAAGAAGTCTTTAATTTGTCATTTCAGTAAATTATAGTAAGATTGCAACAGAAAGATTTGGCACTATATACATACTATATAGGGTAGGAAGAAATATGTGTTTTACAGTCTCATAGGATATGTACACAACATCCCCTCCAAATATTGGAGAAAAGCTCTTAGTCAATGCTTTTCAGTGATGAATCTAAGACGACCCTGCATTTTATGTTGCAGTGTTGCTAAATTCTCCTACAATTCTAACACAGCATGGTTTTTTTTATGAGGGAGCTTGAATTGAGCAGAGCTTATTCTTAGAATTTTACAGTATGTGACAATTTGGTGGGTGTTGCAGTCGTAGCCTCTATAATACCCCCTCCCTCTAGATCAGTTTTCCTACCTGAACTAAACTGCTTGAAATAATATTGGCATATACATGTACCTTGCGAGCAGGCTTCACCCCAGGGGAGATAAATCCGATTGTCTGTTTTTATTGATGTCTGTTGATCAGATTAGTTTTTTTTATAAGACACTGTGTTTATCCCCAGACCAGAAAGATAAACCATTGTACAGTTGTGGAATAATAGTATCCTAGCCTTTGAGTGAAGTGAACGCGAGGCTGAGGTTGACCTTGTTTTGGTACAAACCTTCTTCTTTTTCTTATGAAAATTATACTAGAAAAATACCTGTTAATACTTGATTGTCTTGCCAATGTCAGTACTTTATTTATTGATTAGTATATTTTTAAAGGTGGTCCTCTCCACAAGCTTTATTCGCTTCCTTGGGCTCCCTTGCCTCATCTTTTTCTTAATTTTGTGTATATATTTAACTTGTATCAGTGGGAAAAATGATAATAAAACAATAAAGCATCAATACTGGATAGCAAATGAACTACATGATGTACCGTACATAATAAGGCAGGAACAAGGTCAACTTCAGCCTCGTTTCCATTTTATAATGTAAAATAAAATGCCAACTTTTCAACTTTTGATCGGATATCCTCTTTGACAGGGCACCTTTAAAATAGTATGAACTCGAATGAACAGTGTTATATGTTGAGAAAGTAAATTGGAACAGTGAACTGGTACTGGGAAATACACGGGGAGGTGGGGAGGTGGGGGTGCTCCCTTACATAAGCCTTATAGATATGAGCCGCCCCAAAGGGTATGGTTTTTGCGCCTTTACAGGTTGTAATCGGGTATGGTTTTCAAGGGAACAACGGCAGTGTATGTTTCAATTCCAAATGAATAGGGAAAGAAAGAGATACACATGTATGCGAATTCGAAACGCATTTTAAGAAATCTTTTTGTAGCCTGAATTTCACCCGATTACTTCGAGTCGTTATTACTCCTTCAGTAACTGATAAGAAAAAACGACTCGAAGCAATCGGATGAAATTCAGGCTAATCTTTTCGTTCTTTTTTGCGTTTTAATCTAAGTAATGATGACATAAAAACGGGTGGGGAAAATGACATTTTTGGTCTGAAATATGATCAGGATTTGTAGAACCGGTCGTCACAACCCCACCAAGAATTCCCAGGAGTGCCTGACCCGGAAAATACTTATAAGTAAGAGTATACAAGAAAATGTATGTTGTAAATATTACAGTTCCAAGGCACTTGAAGATTTTAGTTTTTATACCAAGTACTTCATTACTGACCTACAAAAAAGAATGAAAACGTAACCCTTTTATCTCCTAGAGTCAGTAGCAAAGTTTTGCACCAGCATTGTGTTCAATTTCTCTTGGGGCGAAAGGCCTATTGTCTCACTCATTCACTAGCCAGTTTTGTCATCGATTTGTCCAGTTTTAATCAAGTCGGCATTTTTTCTGAATGCGTCTAATTCAAGCGTTAGTCCCCCGGGAAAATACTCATAGGTAAGAGTATACAAGAAAATGTATGTTGTAAATATTACAGTTCCAAGGCACTTGAAAATTTTAGTTTTTATACCAAGTACTTCATTACTGACCTACAAAAAAGAATGAAAACGTAGCCCTTTTATCTCCTAGAGTCAGTAGCAAAGTTTTGCATTACTTGTTTCAATTTACTAGCCAGTTTTGTCACCGATTTGTGAAGTTTTAATCAAGTCGGCATTTTTTTTCTGAATGCGTCTAATTCAAGCGTTAGTCTAATTGTTCATTGATGAACTGAGTGCTGTTTTTCTCAATACATTGTCAAGTCTTATGCTTATCCACTAGTATACTGTTTTCAAGCAAGAGCTACGTTATGTAATCGAGCGAGTCGGCAAACTTTTCTCTTTGAATGTGACCAATCTATGCTTTGATTACCCATTGTGCGAGTGCGTGCTTTTCTCACATACAGTTTCAAGAAAAGATTTATCAAAAACATTTCTCACACTGGTTTGAATTTTAATCGAGCGACCGTATAAATGGAGACTCCAATTTCAAGTTGATTTAACTGTGTTTAAAGCCAGAAACCTCCGTTCCTTGCTTTGCCGGCGGTGTAGTGAAGACTAAACTCAACTAGGCGATCTCTGGTCTGGAATGAAAGTCAAGATTCTCTTTTGCCTCCTCGAAAACAGCAGGTTTGTTCTTAGTTCAACTTTAACTTTTAGTTTCTCTATCGTTTCTTTGTTTTTCTGAAAAAAAATTGTAAGTCAATTTAAAGAAACGGTGATAAGCGTCCAAATTGATTTAAAGGTTCTTAATGGTTGTTTTTGCTGCAGAAAGAAATTAATCTTGTAGACTCTACACAACGATTTTCTGTCATAATTCTGTCCTCTGAGTGTTATTCAATGTGTCGCCCGAAGTTACGTGTAAACATGCATGGTCCCTTTGTTATGTTGGCTCGATGAATGTTGAACTGGAGGGACAAAAATGTAATAAAGGTTTACGTACAGTCAACAAGATAAACGCGAGTTGCGATTGTTAGGGTCAAATGGGCCTATTTTGTTTATGTCTATGCAGTTAGAATTTTTCGCTTTGATTAAAGAAGTGTTCACTTCTGTAGACTACACTTATAAAATAAACTTCAAACGTTGGACAGTTTTTTATTACCCTGACTCAGCCTATATGCTTTTATATTTGATTAACCGCGACCTTATTAATTAATGTACGATTTGAATGTAAATTATGCTTTTATGCCGCACAAACAGGATGCCAACAAACCAACTGTTGGCAATTTTAGCGTAGAGTGCTTAGCTTGTACCGGGAGAGAATTGCAATGCTTCCCGGGACGGTTCGGTCTGACGTAAGATAACAGTCAATAGAGGGGCAAGACAGGTGTGAATAAAACTGAAGGTAACGAGAAACCAGTTAAATAGGAAATAAGGTTAATCGGAGTGCAATTTTTAACACGCTAGTACAGTAGTATTTACAACAATAAATAACGCTTTCCTTTTTTTAACAGGTACTGCCCGACCATAAAGAAAAGCAGAACAATTTCCTTTCCAAGAAAGTCTTCAAAATAACAATAAAAGTACTGCCACGGTCCTTAACAAGGATATGCAGCCAACTCATTTGTTTGTCTGTCATTTATTCCGTATATACCAAGGCTATGGTAAGTTAAGATTTTGCGCAACACAGTCGTTTGGTCGGGTCTTCATGCAATTTTCCATTGTTTTGAACTGGTTATTATTTCAGATAACTTTTAAGAACAGGTCGTTGGGGTGGAACAGAAGATCATTATTAGAAATAATAACCTACTGTTTCAATTCAGTGACCATAATAATAACCTGCTGGTTCTAAACCTATGGAACAGTACGCCCTCGGTCAATACTTTTAATAAGGTTTCGGGACTACGCAATTAAGCTAGATTTCTTTTCATGTTGCATGTTTCTTTCCAATAATTTTGACGTAAGTTTTGTGATCTCTCTGACAATTCTGGTTTGGTATATACACCAAGACCACTGCATGTTGTATTTAGTTCTAAATAAAACCTCCTCAGGTCATACAGAGAAAAATATCAGAATCTAAAAGAAGTTTACGCTTATGAATTCAGCCAAAAACGTTCGGTCTCGTAGACAACACGACACCTTACCCAGAGCTAAATTCATCAGCGCAAACCAGCAACAAAACAGTGAAATGAAGAGTAAAAGTATAATTAAAAAAAACCAAGGGAATTACAACAAAAAGCCAGAAACCAAAAATAAATCAAGAAAAAGACCACAAAGTGGAAAAGGTAGGTAAAAAACGGTAAGTAACACGGTAAGTTTATTCTTTTTTAGCCCTGGGGACTAAGTGCTCCGCCCAGAGGGGGGAGAGCCCTGGGGACTAAGTGCTCCGCCCCAGAGGGGGGAGAGCCCTGGGGACTAAGTGCTCCGCCCCAGAGGGGGGAGAGCCCTGGGGACTAAGTGCTCCGCCCCAGAGGGGGGAGAGCCCTGGGGACTAAGTGCTCCGCCCCAGAGGGACCCTGGGGACTAAGGCTCCCAGCCCCTGGGAGGGGGAGAGCCCTGGGGACTAAGTGCTCCGCCCCAGAGGGGGGAGAGCCCTGGGGACTAAGTGCTCCGCCCAGAGGGGGAGGGAGGGGGACTAAGTGCTCCGCCCTGGGGACCCTAAGTGCTCCGCCCCAGAGGGGGGAGAGCCCTGGGGACTAAGTGCTCCGCCCCAGAGGGGGGAGAGCCCTGGGGACTAAGTGCTCCGCCCCAGAGGGGGGAGAGCCCTGGGGACTAAGTGCTCCGCCCCAGAGGGGGGAGAGCCCTGGGGACTAAGTGCTCCGCCCCAGAGGGGGGAGAGCCCTGGGGACTAAGTGCTCCGCCCCAGAGGGGGGAGAGCCCTGGGGACTAAGTGCTCCGCCCCAGAGGGGGGAGAGCCCTGGGGACTAAGTGCTCCGCCCCAGAGGGGGGAGAGCCCTGGGGACTAAGTGCTCCGCCCCAGAGGGGGGAGAGCCCTGGGGACTAAGTGCTCCGCCCCAGAGGGGAGAGCCCTGGGGACTAAGTGCTCCGCCCAGAGGGGGAGAGCCCTGGGGACTAAGTGCTCCGCCCCAGGGGAGAGGGGGACTAAGTGAGCCCCCTGGGGACTAAGTGCTCCGCCCCAGAGGGGAGAGCCCTGGGGACTAAGTGCTCCGCCCAGAGGGGAGAGCCCTGGGGACTAAGCCCCAGAGGGGGGAGAGCCCTGGGGACTAAGTGCTCCGCCCCAGAGGGGGGAGAGCCCTGGGGACTAAGTGCTCCGCCCCAGAGAGGGGAGAGCCCTGGGGACTAAGTGCTCCGCCCCAGAGGGGGGAGAGCCCTGGGGACTAAGTGCTCCGCCCAGAGGGGAGAGCCCTGGGGACTAAGTGCTCCGCCCCCCTGGGGAGAGGGGAGAGCCCTGGGGACTAAGTGCTCCGCCCAGAGGGGAGAGCCCTGGGGACTAAGTGCTCCGCCCCCAGGGGGAGAGCCCTGGGGACTAAGTGCTCCGCCCCAGAGGGGAGAGCCCTGGGGACTAAGTGCTCCGCCCAGAGGGGGGGAGAGCCCTGGGGACTAAGTGCTCCGCCCAGAGGGGAGAGCCCTGGGGACTAAGTGCTCCGCCCCAGAGGGGGAGAGCCCTGGGGACTAAGTGCTCCGCCCAGAGGGGGAGAGCCCTGGGGACTAAGTGCTCCGCCCCCCAGAGGGGAGAGCCCTGGGGACTAAGTGCTCCGCCCAGAGGGGAGAGCCCCTGGGGACTAAGTGCTCCGCCCCAGAGGGGAGAGCCCTGGGGACTAAGTGCTCCGCCCCAGAGGGGGGAGAGCCCTGGGGACTAAGTGCTCCGCCCCAGAGGGGGGAGAGCCCTGGGGACTAAGTGCTCCGCCCCCTGAGGGGAGAGCCCTGGGGACTAAGTGCTCCGTGCCAGAGGGGGAGAGCCCTGGGGACTAAGTGCTCCGCCCCAGAGGGGGGAGAGCCCTGGGGACTAAGTGCTCCGCCCCAGAGGGGGGAGAGCCCTGGGGACTAAGTGCTCCGCCCCAGAGGGGGGAGAGCCCTGGGGACTAAGTGCTCCGCCCTAGTTGTCATCGAAGTCTTTCTACAACTCAAATCTTTAAAATCTTCATTGAACTGGTTTTCAAATTCAGGGCTTTATAACTTTTAAGACAGTGAACAAAAAATCTGAAATCTTGCCTGGAGCCTGCGATAAGGTATTTGCAGAAGCTTGCCCGGAACTTTTCTTCGCCCTGAAAGTAAAAAATATCTTTACAATGGTTAAAATGTAAAGAAAATTTTTACTCAATTATCGTCTTGCTTCAAATGGAATATAAACTATTCCTCTGTGGCCGAAAAAGTGAATTTAAAAAGTTACGGGAGTAAACTCTCCTGGAACCGACCATTACGAGGCTACCTTTTTTCTCCCCATGCCCCTGCCATTTTGCACAACACAATGAAGCCTCTGCAGAGGAGAGAGGGAAAAGGGGTATTTTGGATGCGAGAGAAGCGCTTCTCCCTCGCGCGCGGTCTCGCGCCCATCCAGGTTTTGAGGGGTACGTTACATGTGCCATACACAAAGCCCACAGTAATATTTCCAAGATGGCGGACGTTGAAATTGTAAAAACGTCACCTGAGAAAACGCTGGAAGCAGCCGATAATTTTGACATGCCTCCACCTTGCATTCCATCAACACTCCAAGAGAAGGCGAAAACGGACAATGAAGGATTAAAAAGAACGTCTTCCATGACAGAAAAGAAGGAGAGAACACCAGAATTGCCCTACAAGGTTCCCTCGTGGAGTGGGGTTCCTGAGGACTTGTACAGCTTAGAAGTTTTAAAGAACGGATGTATTATCTCTAACATCGATCTTACTAGTAAACCATTTCATGTTTTTGGGAGACTTCCTAACTGCGACGTTAGTTTAGAACATCCCTCGGTTTCTAGGTACCACGCAGTTATCCAGTACAAGACAAGCGACAGCTCGAACAGCGAGAAAGGTTTTTACATCTATGACCTCGGTAGCACACATGGAACCACTGTAAACAAGTCTCGTATTGAACCCAAACGCTACTACCGGCTGCGTGTTGGATACGTGTTCAAATTTGGTGGAAGTTCAAGGTTATTTATTCTTCAGGTAAGGAAATACACTCATTGAAAAAAGCTTATATGAAATGAATCATATTTTGAACTGCGGATAAAGATAATTATGAAAGTGTACAGGATCCTCCGAAGTGGAATGAACCACATAAGTGGTTGAAAAAGAACTTGAAAAATCTCAGGCTTTACTGGGAATCGAACCTTAAACATTGAGTGTGGTCATTGTAAAGGTGACCAGGGATCACTTCCTGGTCAAGCCTGAAATTTTGCAGGTTCTTTTTCTACAGCTTAGGTTGTTCATTCTACTGTGGAGGTCATTGTTATGAAATACATGTATCCCAGGTGGGGTTACTCTGGATTTCATTTGACGTAGATGATCGAATGATAGCAGAAATCAAAACCCCCCAAAAATCCTTTGGCCATTTGGGTAAAATTGAACAGTAGGCACACTACAGTCGCGGAATAAAAGAATCGCGAAAATTGGAAGAATCATATAATCGGAGATCTGTCTTTAATACAAGCTTGCTTAATCCCAGAATGGTAAAATTTGAGGAAATCTGTAGTGCTAAATAACTGGAGAAGAATACCCCTAGATCGGTTACTGTGTATACTGTTTTCCGATTTAGCACTTATCCCAATGCCCTCCAAAGCGAAGAAGAAGTCGAGGGTTTGTATAACTTTTAAGAATTCTCCTAACCCTTTGAGTGTTATATATTAGGCTACGCAAACAAATCTTTGTTGGTAAATTTTATCTCAATGCAGGGCTTGACATTGCGGCCTGTGGGGTCGCCAATGCGTCCAGCTTTTACTCAGTGGCGACTAAATTCTAACACCTGGTTGCCAACCTGGCCCCCAAGATAGGTGATTTTCTTCTTTGGGAAAACTTACACTAATGATAATTTGTTATCCTTTCCAAAACTAATGGATACTTAACGGTTTTTCTAACGCTCTAACATTTTGCCCAAACGCTTTAACGGTTTATCTAAATGTTTTAACAATATTATTTGTCTAAATGCTTTAATCATTTCTTCCAACACTCTAATGGATTGTTCTTATGATCTAACAATTGGTCCGTCTAACATTTGACTTTTACTTGAAAGAGGAATGTGAAAATCACAAGTGACTTTTGGGCAAATCGATCGCAATTCTCAACAGGTCGTCCCATGTTTCTCTGGGAATGACTTTTAGCGCAGCGACTTAAAACAGTTTCTTTATGCCGAACATGTATCTTGATTATGGACTTGATAGTAGACTAGTCTGATAAAAGCTTAAGCTATCCAAGAACAAATGGCACTTGTTTCTCAAGCTTTTTGTAAACAACTTTATGCAAATTTCTGTTAAGCAGGAGAGCCCAAATAAAAGTTCGGCCATATTTTATTGACTTATAATGAAGTACCATTGAACTCATGCTGTTTGTCTAACAGACTTCTCGCAAAATCAACTTCTTTGCCCGAAAAGATTAGCGACTTTTCCCCTTTCTGAAGACTTTTAATCACGTGCTAGGTAACTGCAAAATAGATCAAGTTTCACCGACGTTCTTCTGAACATGCAAATACATGGGACACAAAACAAATTTTGCAGATTTTTTTCTTTAATAACCCAAATAAGTTTTTTTGTAATTCCTAAAGCTTGTTTATCTAAATGTGTATTCCATTGCTTGTATACCTGTTTGAGGAGATTTGCGCTTGAGTGTGGGTTCATTATCCGAAACACCGGCTGGTAATCAAGCCTCGAGCAAAAACCGTTTGAAAGAAAGTTCAAAGGAAGTCTAAAGCATTCTTTTTCTGTTAAGGCTATGGAAAAGATGTTAAGTTTATTTCATTCTTTTAGTTCTGAAATATAATTTTTGGCAACTAGAGTACTAATTGTTCTGGTGACCAAAAATGAAAACTTGGGGGCCAGCTGACCCCAACTTTTTTTTCTGAAAGTCGAGCACTGCAATGACAGGTTGTGACTTGATTGAAAGCTTTCTTCTTAAGATTTAGCACTTATCCCAATGCCCTCCAAAGCGAAGAAGAAGTCGAGGGTTTGTATAACTTTTAAGAATTCTCCTAACCCTTTGAGTGTTATATATTAGGCTACGCAAACAAATCTTTGTTGGTAAATTTTATCTCTATGCAGGGCTTGACATTGCGGCCTGTGGGGTCGCCAATGCGTCCAGCTTTTACTCAGTGGCGACTAAATTCTAACACCTGGTTGCCAACCTGGCCCCCAAGATAGGTGATTTTCTTCTTTGGGAAAACTTACACTAATGATAATTTGTTATCCTTTCCAAAACTAATGGATACTTAACGGTTTTTCTAACGCTCTAACATTTTGCCCAAACGCTTTAACGGTTTATCTAAATGTTTTAACAATATTATTTGTCTAAATGCTTTAATCATTTCTTCCAACACTCTAATGGATTGTTCTTATGATCTAACAATTGGTCCGTCTAACATTTGACTTTTACTTGAAAGAGGATTGTGAAAATCACAAGTGACTTTTGGGCAAATCGATCGCAATTCTCAACAGGTCGTCCCATGTTTCTCTGGGAATGACTTTTAGCGCAGCGACTTAAAACAGTTTCTTTATGCCGAACATGTATCTTGATTATGGACTTGATAGCAGACTAGTCTGATAAAAGCTTAAGCTATCCAAGGACAAATGGCACTTGTTTCTCAAGCTTTTTGTAAACAACTTTATGCAAATTTCTGTTAAGCAGGAGAGCCCAAATAAAAGTTCGGCCATATTTTATTGACTTATAATGAAGTACCATTGAACTCATGCTGTTTGTCTAACAGACTTCTCGCAAAATCAACTTCTTTGCCCGAAAAGATTAGCGACTTTTCCCCTTTCTGAAGACTTTTAATCACGTGCTAGGTAACTGCAAAATAGATCAAGTTTCACCGACGTTCTTCTGAACATGCAAATACATGGGACGCAAAACAAATTTTGCAGATTTTTTTCTTTAATAACCCAAATAAGTTTTTTTGTAATTCCTAAAGCTTGTTTATCTAAATGTGTATTCCATTGCTTGTATACCTGTTTGAGGAGATTTGCGCTTGAGTTTGGGTTCATTATCCGAAACACCGGCTGGTAATCAAGCCTCGAGCAAAAACCGTTTGAAAGAAAGTTCAAAGGAAGTCTAAAGCATTCTTTTTCTGTTAAGGCTATGGAAAAGATGTTAAGTTTATTTCATTCTTTTAGTTCTTAAATATAATTTTTGGCAACTAGAGTACTAATTGTTCTGGTGACCAAAAATGAAAACTTGGGGGCCAGCTGACCCCAACTTTTTTTTCTGAAAGTCGAGCACTGCAATGACAGGTTGTGACTTGATTGAAAGCTTTCTTCTTAAGATTTAGCACTTATCCCAATGCCCTCCAAAGCGAAGAAGAAGTCGAGGGTTTGTATAACTTTTAAGAATTCTCCTAACCCTTTGAGTGTTATATATTAGGCTACGCAAACAAATCTTTGTTGGTAAATTTTATCTCTATGCAGGGCTTGACATTGCGGCCTGTGGGGTCGCCAATGCGTCCCGCTTTTACTCAGTGGCGACTAAATTCTAACACCTGGTTGCCAACCTGGCCCCCAAGATAGGTGATTTTCTTCTTTGGGAAAACTTACACTAATGATAATTTGTTATCCTTTCCAAAACTAATGGATACTTAACGGTTTTTCTAACGCTCTAACATTTTGCCCAAACGCTTTAACGGTTTATCTAAATGTTTTAACAATATTATTTGTCTAAATGCTTTAATCATTTCTTCCAACACTCTAATGGATTGTTCTTATGATCTAACAATTGGTCCGTCTAACATTTGACTTTTACTTGAAAGAGGATTGTGAAAATCACAAGTGACTTTTGGGCAAATCGATCGCAATTCTCAACAGGTCGTCCCATGTTTCTCTGGGAATGACTTTTAGCGCAGCGACTTAAAACAGTTTCTTTATGCCGAACATGTATCTTGATTATGGACTTGATAGCAGACTAGTCTGATAAAAGCTTAAGCTATCCAAGAACAAATGGCACTTGTTTCTCAAGCTTTTTGTAAACAACTTTATGCAAATTTCTGTTAAGCAGGAGAGCCCAAATAAAAGTTCGGCCATATTTTATTGACTTATAATGAAGTACCATTGAACTCATGCTGTTTGTCTAACAGACTTCTCGCAAAATCAACTTCTTTGCCCGAAAAGATTAGCGACTTTTCCCCTTTCTGAAGACTTTTAATCACGTGCTAGGTAACTGCAAAATAGATCAAGTTTCACCGACGTTCTTCTGAACATGCAAATACATGGGACGCAAAACAAATTTTGCAGATTTTTTTCTTTAATAACCCAAATAAGTTTTTTTGTAATTCCTAAAGCTTGTTTATCTAAATGTGTATTCCATTGCTTGTATACCTGTTTGAGGAGATTTGCGCTTGAGTGTGGGTTCATTATCCGAAACACCGGCTGGTAATCAAGCCTCGAGCAAAAAGTTTATTTCATTCTTTTAGTTCTGAAATATAATTTTTGGCAACTAGAGTACTAATTGTTCTGGTGACCAAAAATGAAAACTTGGGGGCCAGCTGACCCCAACTTTTTTTTCTGAAAGTCGAGCACTGCAATGACAGGTTGTGACTTGATTGAAAGCTTTCTTCTTAAGATGGCATCCACTGGGGCAAAGGAAACATAGTCTATGCCTCACGTAAAGATGCAAAAATTATGTTAAAACATGTTTAAGCCACTTGTGAATCTGATAACGTATTTTCGCAAGTAGCCACAAAACATAATAAGTGCTGTTCTGACTCCAACATCATTGCTAGCAAAAACCAGCCTTTAGGTACCTTAAGAAGTTAGCTTCATCTGGGATTTGAAGACAAAGATTTAAAATAAATTCTGAGAGAAATTTATGTTTGGTGGCCTCCTCTTTTTTTGAAGGGGCCTGAGGAACCTGAAGAAGCAGACACAGACCAAGCTCCAGCTGAACAAGTTGCACCCAAAAGTGTCAGTGAAGTGGGACGAGTAATGACTGAAGAAGAGTATGAGGAATGGAAGAAAGAAAGGGAGGGAAGCAAGGAACATGAACAAGATGGAGGAATAGATTGGGGAATGGGTGAGATAAAAACACTGAAAACCCTACCTTTAAACTAATGCTTCCACAGAAGCAATCTATTGTCTTCCTCTCCAAATCTTTCAAAATATGATTTAATATTAAATTTTTTGAAGAAAATGAGAAACTGCCAATATTAATGCATTTTGTCTATTGATCCTTTTGCTATATTCCTAAGTAATTAAGCTGAAAGCTGTCATCTGCTTAGGAAGTGGCCATTCATATAAAACCTACAGATCAGTGTTTTGGATTTTGATCATGTGCGACTTTAATAGGCAAGTAACAATGATTTATTGAGGTGTCAAAACATTCAAATTTTGTTTTCAGGAGAAGATGCTGTTGAGGAACCTGCTTATCCAGCTGATTTTGGAGATGTTGACAAGAACCCAGAGGAACACCACTTTAAGGATCCTAAAAAGACGCTGAGGGGTTTCTTTGAAAGAGAAGGTCAGAAACTCAGGTTTTTGAAGTAAAACAAAAAAAACAGCTAAAATTATGGACATTTGGGACACCATCAATTTTGTCGTAAGAAAATCAATACAGAATCAAGAGAAAAGGTTTTGAGAAAATGCTCTGATCTTTTATCAAATTCTCTTAACTAATTCTTTAAGAATATGTACAGAGATCAGTCTGAAGAATTTGCATGTAGATATTGGGGCTTAAAGTATTAAACAAAGTCTTTCAATGACCCATCTTATGATTAGTGAACCTCCAGATTTTTTTGTAAATCTGTTATTTCAAGTAGATGAATACGTTAATTTTTTCTTCATGCTACATATATGTGGCTACTTGAACAGCTAGTCTCTGTTTAAAAGACTCACCCAGTGTATTTGATGCTCTGGAGTTTATCGACAGAAAATATTTTACAATACTTGGACACCCACATAATACAGAAACATTGGGCTGTGTCTTAAGTGACCATGTTAAGTGGTTTCCTCTGTAATTTCTTGGTAGTGATTAATCTTTGCAGTAACCATTTGTCTTAGGATTGGAGTTAGAGTATGATGTTGAAGAAAAAGGTCCGGGACATGCAAGAGTATATCATTGCAAAGTCAAGTAAGTTCAATGAATTGTACACTCGTATTTAAAGTGTGCAGTGTAGTGTTCCTGTGGTGTAGTTGCAGTCATACAGTAGGCTTACACTATTTTGTATTAAGAATACACTGTCAAACCTCCATGTGAAGCCACCTCTCTTGAGCGACCACCTCCCATAAGCAGCCACCCCACCTATCCAAAACGACAATATTTTCCCAGTCAGTTTGCTATAGGTACATGTAAGACCTCTTGTTAAGTGACTGAGACTACTTTTTGGAGAGACAGTGTAAGAATTTTCCATTGCTTTTTATCCACAGACTCAAACATAAAAACTGCATGACATGTCTCTATAACATGATTTTAGAAATACAGTGTCACTCACACCAATTAAGAAAAAAGAGATGTTTTTCTTGGCGGCTGGGCATGAGCTTGTGAAAGAGGCAAGAAATGAAGTTCTCGTGCACTAAATAGAACCTGGGCCTGAGTTACAATTTAGGATATCAGTTTTCACCCTCATCATGTTATTCAGTGTTGTTTCTTGCCAAACAGTGCAACAGTGTTTTCCCACCCTCCAGCCCTTTGCCAGTTCAAAAAAAAAATGTGAGTAAGACTGACCACAGTGTATTAAGTTCAGGAAGGTTTTTCTATATGTTCCTTGTTTGTTGTGAAATGTTTGTGATGGTTGTGATTAAGGTGCTGTTGTATTGTTGTGTGGCAGACAAATGGCATTCAGTGGGTAAGAAATAAGTTATGCCTAGCAGTGCCAGATTTAGGGGAAGGGCTCACTAGTCCCCCTTTCGTTAACTAAAAACAAAGTTGTAAGGCCGAGGTACTGAAAACTGAGGGCGGAGGGTGCTTCCCCCTTTACCTCAAGGGTTAGCTCTGCATTTGTATAATCACACACAGTATTTCTTTCTCACTCATAGACTTCCCATTGATGGTCCAAGTGGAGAGCCACTGTATGCTGAAGCTGCTGTTGCCGGAAAGAAGAAAGATGCTGTGCTTGAATGTGCCTTGGAGGCTTGTAGAATGTTAGATGCTTCAGGGCTTCTAAGGCAATCATCACATGGTAATTATAATGGAGTGGTTGCTGATTAATCAGTGTTTTCAGTGGCAGCCTTATGTCTTTGCAGGGGTTAATAGTGTGATGCTTGTTAGACTACCAGTATTACAAATAATGTGGACTCTTGAATTGAAGGTGGTAGGTTTTGTTTATGTGTACTTATGTGTGTTTCCCAAAAAATGCCCTGCAAGTAGAGGTTTTCTTTCTGGCATGGCTTTTCAGTATATTTTGTAAAGTCTTTTGTGGGACTTGTCAGTCGTGTAGTTGGTTTGTTTATGCTCCAGTAGAAATGGGGCTTATTATTAAATCAACTACCTCGTAAATGCTAAACGACATGCCAGAAAGAAAACCCTTCTCACAGGATAACCCAAACACTTCTCTCCAGCCACTGTCTTTCTCCCAAGTTCAGTTTCATCTCCAACCATTACTTAGGCTTTCTTGACATAGCTCCTTCAACCTGGCTTTCACAAGCACAAGCTGAACAGGGAACACAGACTTAAATAGCGGGGTGCTGGAGACAAGCAACAAATGTTGGTGGGGGATGCAGGGCTTTAAGTAGGGAGTGCACCCCATGTTACCTAGAATATCTTCAAAAGAAGTGGTCTTGAGTCACCATGGCTTGTATATGTTCCTGAGATGTTTCACCCCTTTACAGCTTTCTGGTTGAGTTCATATTTGACAGTAAAATAGCGATCGTGGATGTGAATCCTACCTGACAAACCAAGAGTCACTGAGAAGCTGAGACCCATGGTTTAAAATTGGAAACTTAATGGCAAAAAGTTGAAGACTGTGACATAGGAAGGAAATGGCAAGATTTCGACTTCAGATCTATATTATAATATTTTTTTGCAACCTGTGATTTTCTAGCATTTTGTAGCATAATTATTTCACCATTCCTTAACTTACCCATCCTCGGAGACCCAGGGGCAGATAGTGGGGGCGAGGGAAAGTCTAAACAGGCGGGAAAATATGGCACAAGAGAAAAGTAAAGAACGATGAGAAGAGCCCCTGGGGACAATGTCTTACCAGACCAGTTCCAAACGGTCGCCGCCGTTCTGTCTTCTGATTGGTGCCAGAAAACTTGTGTTTTTCTGGCACCAATCAGAAGACAGAACGGCGTCGACCGTTTGGAACTGGTCTGGTAAGACATTGCCCCCAGGGGCTCTTCTCGCCGTTCTTTTCTTTTCTTCGTGTCATATTTTTCCGCCCGTTTAGACTTTCCCTTGCCCCCACTATCTGCCCCTGGGTCTCCGAGGATGTAACTTACCTTGTTTTTCTGCATATGGCTCTTTTTGTTATGTGATGTATGAATGATTGAGAATTTAATATATAGCTCTTATTTTGTGTGAATAGTAAGCTCAATGGATTTATGTTGTTCATCTTAGAAAGTAAAAAGCACAAAGAGAAGAATTGGGAAGAAAATGATTTTTATGACAGTGATGAGGACACATTCTTGGATAGGACTGGATCAGGTTGGTAAATTCAGCTAAATGTAAAAGTTATAAGAAAAATATTATCATTATGTAGGTGTCAATGTTTGGACAAAAGGGAGGGGGGATTATGGGCAAAAGTGCAGCATGTGAATTTTTAGCATTTTCTCGGTCAAATTCCCCGCCCTTGTTCAAATCCGATAACATATCCCTTTCTGCGTTTAAGAAAACCGCAGTTTGGGGCAAAATTTGTGGTCGACAAAGTGGTTACAAAGGAAGTATTCAAATTCCGCACCCATGCTGTACCCCCCATCTCAGTCTAAACATAAATTTGTACCTGCATCACAGGGCTGTGCTCTGGCAGAGCCTGGTGGCCGCTGGTGCCGAACGTTTGCTCTTGGGTGGCTAGAAAATCTTAGTTTTCTCATACAAATCATATGCTAAGCACCCTAGATTTTACAGGTTCAGAGCACTGGGCTCCCTTAAATTTTCCTTAGATCACAGCCTTGCATTACACTGACAGCTGAAGTACTTGAGAGATCGCGTATGGTGACTACTCAAATATTGCTAAAAGAATATCAACCAGACATAGAATACAGTGATGATTATAGACAAAGACTTGTCATAAACTTGATTGGATAAGTCAGTATGTCCTTTGTTTTGGTAGTGCTTTTTGTGTTGCAGACTAGCTAGTGCAATCACCAAATTATGTAACACCAAAGATTGAAAGACAGGAAACAATACCCAGACCATACCTAATAGCCATACACCAACAACAGTTTTTGCAACATCCTAGAAACACCCTTTGCTTTCAATCAATTCAGTGCCTTCCAGAATGGTATGGGTTCAAATCCCGGCATCGACACCATATGTAGGTTGAGTTTGTTGTTGGCTCTCTGCTTTGCTCCAAGAGGATTTTCTCCATGTACTCCAGTTTTCCCCTCTCCTCAAAAACCAACATTTCCTAATTCCAATTCAACTAGATATTAGGTAGATGAAGGACCACTCAGTGGATGTGCTTCCTCTAAATTGTTATTTATTTATTTATTTGATTCACCAAGTGGTAATAGTATTATTTCATGCCGATTTTAAACTTGAAAGCCTTATTTATTAATAATTAACTGTGAATAGCTGTACACTGTTAAATTGTCAGTTTTGATTTATTCCTGCAGTTGAAAAAAAGAGAATCCAAAGGATGAAGCGTGCTGGTAAAGATCAGCCAACCTTGGAAACTTATGAAACATTGGTGAGTTATTTTGCATTCTTACATACACATAGTGTTATTACCTTCTCTGTTCATCTTCAGTAATGAATGTTGTTGTTTTATTGGCCCCCTAAGGCTCTTTCTCAGTGATACAAAAAATGTGCAATTTTATAAAGTACCATAACATTGCGAAAATAAGCCCCGGTGCTTATATTTTTCAAAGGCCCTTTTTGAGAGGCTTATTTTTGGAGGGGCTTATCTATGGAAGGAAATTTGCGTTTCAAAATCGATTGGGCTAGCCTTATAGTAGGAAGTAAATTTACCATTGTTGCTTTGTTTTACTTTGTATTTGAGGGCAATTTTCCAAGTACAGGCCCCCGGGGGGCTTATATTTGGAGGGGTGATTTGACAGAGGGTTTTTTGCGTTACCGGACTGGGGGGCCTATATTTGGAGGAGCTTATACATGGAGGGGCTTATTTTTGGAATTTTACGGTATACTATTCTATAAACTAAGATTAAATTATGGTTTGTTTAGACAGTTAAGCTTAGAACATTGGACAGTGAAATTCATGACTGTGAAAATAAACTCCACCAAGATATGGCTGGTAAGCTCTTATAACTTATCGTTTTTGTATTCAAAATAATCTGTGGGTTGCGAGCACAATACCTGATTTCCAAGGGCAATGTCAAGCCGCAATCAGTGCCAAAAAATTAGTAGAGACACTTTTTGCCCTAAAGGCCCTTTCTATTGTTTTGTGGCCTTCAAAAAGGGGAAATGAAGCTTTTCCTTCTCTACCTCCTCTATGCAATGTTGTGCTGCTGTTTTAGCCACCTGTAGGAGACAAAACCACACCCCAACTTTGAATGGAGCAGAGTCAGAGGGGCTGGGCGGTGGATGTTGATTGTTTTGTTCTCTGAAGCAACTCCATTTGAAGACAATGTCTCAACAATTTTGTCATGGATTGTGATATCCGGATTAATCAAGGATAGTGTTATCAGCAGAGGCCAAAGGCTGAGGCTGTTAACACTTACAGAGCCCTTGATTATTCCAGATACCAAAAAATCCTGTTACCCTGTATTCAGTATTTCCATAGTATCATTAATTTTGTTGTAATATTTGTTTGAAGCTAAGAGTGGATCCAACTCTGAAGTCTCTGCAGACTCTTTGGATGATTACATGAGCTCCCTTGGAACCACTATGGACAAGAAATCTAGATCACAGATAAGGAGAAAAGTGTTTGACCTAAAAAAGGTGCTTTTTAATTACCAAAAATCCTCTTTTAATTAAGTCCCCCTCCTAAATAATCAGGGATAAAAAGTTATTAACCCCCCTGTCTCTTATGCTTCCCTCCACTCCCCCTTATTCTTAAATGATAGACAGTATTAATACACTTCATGCAAACTGATCCAGTATGATTCAATTTGCTGAAAGTTAGGATTCATTTTTGATCATTGACTGGGGTGATAATAAAGAAGATAATATTTTTTGCCTTGTGATGTAGCATAGGGAAAGAGAAATCCAGAAAGACTTATGTCTCATGAAGAAAAGTTTCAAGAGGGTGTGCTCCGATCAGTAAACACAAATTGTTTTTGGATTCATATTTGAAGTCAATACTACAAGGGGTGCCTTAATAAAGCTTCTTAGTTAACTTTGATAAACTGCTTAAATTCTCCTTTCTATCTGCTATGCATATGCTTTTGAATGAGAGGGAGAATTCATATGGATCGGGATTCACCTGGGGACTTATTGCACTCAGTCACTCACTGTTTATTGTTATGGGGTTGAGATCATGTGGGAGATTGTTGGGGCAGGTGAGGCTCAATGGAATTACCGGTATAGTAGATAAATGGTCAAAGTCATTTATTGATTATTGAATAATTATTTCCACCACATTTTATAACAAGTTCCAGGGTGTTGAACATTATGCATCGGAGATCGATGAATTTTCCGTTTTCTTTGCAGAATTCTTTGTTAAATGTTTGGTAGCCCATGAATATTTTTTTATTTAGACATAGCCTCTTTCAAAATATTCTCCTGTAGCATTACACCTTTCTCTTGATACTAGAATTCGTAAGTCCTCTTTTGTTCATCTGCAGGAAAGGCAAAGTCTTGTTAAACTTTTGAATGTGGCTAAACCAGCAAGTCTGCCTCCAGTTGCAGAGTAAGTGTTATTGAAACTCATTTTAATCTCTCAAACCCCTTGCAGCCAGGTGTGATGTGTTATTCTGACTGTTAACCCATTCGCCCCTGAACCGCCCGTAACCGCCCGTGCGGATCCAGGTCCTTTCTACCCTTTGTGACGTCATCAGTTTTAACGGTCAAGGACAACTTTCTTCGCTAACTTGTGCAGAGTGAAGAGATCTTTCAACCCATACCAGAATGAGCACAATTCAGTCAAGGACACTGGAGAAAGAAGCAAAAAACCACGTGACAAGGACCTGAAAATCTCCATGAAAATCTTGTTCCATTACCCACCTACCTTTCCTTTCACCTAATCCTAAGACCCTAAAAGCTTTCCTAAAAACTCTTCCCACCAAAATGAAGCCTACTAAATGCCCAGCAAGAGAAAAAAAAAATGAGGCAAGAAAAGCGAAAAAAGAAGGGAGTAGAGAAAGCGAAAAGTAAAAGTCAAGACTGCTGTGTCACTTTTAAACCCAAAAACTATGTCGAAATTTTGCTTTCTGCGCATGCCCGAACTTCACAAGCTGATATTTTGCATCTGGATCAGAAGGCCGCCAAGTGTACGACCTGTAAACCGGTTTGTGGTAAGTTTTAGCTCTTTATAGCACGACAGTGACCAGAAAACCACTCGACTAAGCTTCAAAACGCCTTTTTCGGCAAAATCTCTACGAGCGAATGGGTTAAGAATGTGAAAAATAAAGTTCTTTTCTATGACACATCAAATTAAACCTTTTTGGCATATTATTTTGTGCTCTCGTTTTGGGAGTCAGAGTGGTTTATCAAATAAGAGGTTGGTGCAGTAATAGTTTCTTCATGCAACAGTTATCTCATTGAGCTCCAGGTGAGCAGGTGAGTGAGGGTTTCCTGTGGCATAAATGCACGCACTTTTACCCCACCTGCGGACATACATCAACCTACCTAATTAGGTGGTATCTATGGCACAGGAAAAAATAACGGATTCCCATTTTTGGATATTTTAGGGTATTTAAAAAATACCCATAAAAATCCCAAATTTGGCAAAAGTGAGACAAGTCCCAACCGGGGAATTCCCAACTATAAGTTCCCAGATTGGGCTTGTCCCACTCTTCCAAATTTGGGATTTTTGTGGGTATTCTTTAAATACCCTAAAATATCCCAAAATGGGAACCCATTATTTTTTCCTGTGTAGTAAGCATGCTGTAGTATTATTAAAAAATAAAACACTTATTTTGTCTTTAACAGGTACTTTTCAGTAGTTTCTAAAAAAATGTCTTTGCATTTATCCAGGTCACCTTCAAATGAATCAGTTGTTAAAAATAGTAAGTATTTGAAGATATTAATATTAGGGGTGACGAATGGCCTTTCAAAAATGTTGAGTCTCGGCAAATTTAAGCCGAGTCTCGTAATCTCGGCGCTTAAAAAAAGCGTCTCGGAATCTCGGATTTCCCAGAAATATGACGGTCTCGGAGTCTCGGATTTTGAAAATTTGGATCTCGGAGTCTCGGATTTTGAAAATTTGGATCTCGAAATCTCGCCAATGGGACGTTCAATTTTTTATCCATAAGCTTATCTGAAACGAAAATTAAGAAATTTACCCTGCGGGGTTTCTTTGGGGTCCATGCAGATATCTGGCGTGTGAAAGCCGCAAGATGCTGAATAAGTTTAAATAGCTAAGAATCACACGGGAGCCGGAGAAAGTTACGGAATTCTAACACTAGCTAACACTCATTGACCTACTTTAGCTTTCTTTAGGGTGTCACATGTAGCTACATGTCAACACACACGCAAGGAGTTTTTCACTCAGTAGGTGTTCAGCGACGTAAAATATATTTTTTTAGTCCTTTCCACAACAAAAGCTAACAAATAGAACAGTCTATCCGTCTGTCCATTGTCCTTCTATCCCAATCTTTTCACAGTGTAAGACTGGTATAAGGTTGTGAAGTCATTCACCGAAAGCCTGCTTGCATGGTAAAATAACGCTCCAGGAACTGAGCTACTGTGGCTTGTTGCCAGATATAGTCCGAAGTACAACACTACAACATGAACTAAAGCTAACTAAGAGTCTACTAAGCTTAACTAACATAGCTTAACATGGCTGACAGAAACACGAATCGAACAAAACGCATCGTTCGACGACGTTGTTAAAAGCTACAAATAGAAGCTAATAGTCCGATCGACGAGCTGCGACGGTAATAGTAGCTAATAGTAGCAAATAGTAATGCACTTTAAGCTCTAAGCAAGACGATCTTATAACTTACCGTGTTTGCGTTTAATTCCTTTCGTTGCTTCAAAACCCTCTTCTATTTCCTCTTCACTCTCTGCCATATGCAGTAGTAGCTAGTCGAAAGCCGATCGTTCGCAAATTTACGCGTGCCAGAAACCGACAGATCAAGAGATCAGAAGCTATCAGAAGGCGTGTGAATTTTAAACCAGGCAGAATGTCGAATTATTAGTTTAACTAGTTTATAAAGTAACTAACCAGGTTAATAAGTAGACTATAAGCAGTAATGCGTTACTTAATACGTTTTTAATACGTTTTTAAATTTAAAATACGTTTTTAATACGTTTTTAAATTTAATTTAATTTTAATTTTTAAATTAAAATTTTATGTCTCTGACTGGTAGACTAGATAAGTTAATGGTTTTAATACAAAACCAATGTTTTGGGATGAGTGGAAAAATATTTGTTGTGATGCCCACAAAAGCTCAGAGCGCTGTATCTCGTATTTTCGGATCAAGTGCATCTCGGGCTCGGATTTTTGGATCACTGCGTCTCGGGCTCGGATTTTTTTTTAGCGCTAAGTCTCGGGCTCGGATTTTACAAACAAATTTAAGGCTCGGGCTCGGATTTTTAAACTAGGGTCTTGGCGTCTCGGCAAGGCTCGGATTTTACCATTCGTCACCCCTAATATTATAAATCTGAGGCCATGATGTCTGTAACTGGGATAATCTGATTACAAGCAAGGATCATTGCTTTATTTTGATATCTCAAAAATATCAGTGTTCTTATCTCCTTTATCCTCGTTTAGGTGGGGTAGTTACGATGACAAAGTCTGAAACAAGTGATTGTACATCAGCACCGACTGTAGATCAAAATACAGATTCTCGACATGAATCAGTTACTTTGATGGAAGAAAAACAAAAGGATGAAAGTTTGTCCAGGGAAAGCTCAGTAACTTCTGCAAGAATCAGTGATAAAAACAGTCCAGAAAAAGAACAAGAGTTTGCTGTTCCTACATTGCCTTCTTTAACCAGAGGGAAAAATAGAACATCTAAAACAATTTTAACAGAGGAGAAGATAGTGGAAGATAAAGAGACTAACATTAAGGAAAAGACTAAAGATTCTGCAAAAACTGATGAAGACAAAAAAGATGAAAGAAAAAGAGTTGGGTTGAGTGTATCAGCAGATGTAAAGGGTGAGGATTTAAATGAGAAGACTGAAGAAAATGTAAGTATAAACAGTTTTATACTTGTACGTTACATGTACCTCACACTTACAGGTTGTAGGTGTTACAGGTCAAATTTTATCTCAGGTTAATTTTGATTTAGCCTGCGCTCAGACGAAATTAAACTCTGGTTAACTCCGTCTGCGAAACAGCGTCGAAATCCTTGTTCTGGACATCCAGCTGTGTACCCAGATTTGAGTACGCGCCACGATTGGCCAGTTAAAAAAGGCCTTTGTTTTGTTTGTCGAGATAGCCAATCAGGTTGAAGGGGAATTCGCAACGCACTTCCGGTAATTCGTTGAGTCCGTTGGGGGTCCAGAACAAGGATCTCTGCGCTGCTTCGCAGACGGTACTAATCAGGGTTTAGTTATCGTCTGCACGCAGGCTAATTTTGATTTAACCTAGGTTATTTATAAGGTACTGTTATATAGTTGTGCAGTAAGCCATATTACAATCTTATTTGATATATGTTTGTACTACATCTAAGGTAATGCTAGCCACTCGTATCATGGCAGCTGCTCAGAAGAAAAGTCACCAATGGTGCCTAACCATGATCCCAAACAAACAATATTGAAAGAATGACATGTTATTGTTTTCTGCAACCAATCAGGTCGGGAGACCTTACGAGCAGCTCCTACACAATTGATCATATCCTAGTGCAACACTACAGAGATCTGTGGTCACTTAATTTATAAAAAGAAATGTCTTAAGTCTTTATAATTGTTTGTAAATTTGATTAAAGTAACGGACTGTATGAACAAGAAACTTTTAGTCTCCTTCTTCTGAGTGGGTCTGGGGGCTTGCTCCCCTAGAAAATTTCAAAATTTTCAATGTCCTAACAGGCGATTTCCAGCATTCTGGGCACTAAATTGAGTACAAAAGATAACATGATTCTGATCAGAATGGACATGTAATGCACAGAGAGGCTCAATCTTTCAATAAATATTTCAAAATTGAAGCAGAGAGTATGTTGAAGTCCAGCAAATTGAATTTTAAATTACATTTTGATAGAATCTTTCTTTAATTTAATGCTTCATTCCCAGCTTCCCATTTAAGGAAAAAAATTAGCCAACTTCTTTGAGTAAAGTAGCCAACTCGTTTTGTCGGTTGCTGGTGCTTATCGAAACCCCTGTTTGTGCATTTTTGTTTACTAGCTGAGCGTTCTGCTAAGTGAACACACCCTTAATTTGTAGTTAAAGGAATTATTGATTGGGTTGGATGGTCAAAGGCATTTTTCTGCCCACTAGCAGGAGCTTGTGGGATGACTAAGAAAATTCTAAGTTGAATGGAAATGTACAGGATAGGCAATGAGGGATTTTTGTGAAAGATGATAGATATTTTCAAGAAGACAACACAACATCATGACTATTATATTACACCCTTTGTTTGCTTTCTGCAAAACACTTAAATACTCCCCAAAATTTATATGTAGATGCAACTTTTTTTAGAATGAAGCAGTCAGCCCCAAAAAGAAGAAAAAGCGGATGTACAGTGCTCCAACTCAGTGGCAATCGGACAGTGACCCCACTTACACTGCATGGATGCCTCCTGAAGGTGAGATCCCTTGCCTTCTTTGATGGAATGTAATACCACTCATAGCTATCAGTAACCTGCATCACTGACATACTTTAACCCATTCCCCCCTGAATTGCCTGTAACCGCCTATGCGGATCCACGTCCTTTCTACCCTTTGTGATTTCATCAGTTTTAATGGTCAAGGACAACTTTGTCCGCTAACGTGTGCAGATTGAAGAGATCTTTCAAACCATACCAGAATGAGCACAATTCAGTCAAGGACACCGGAGAAAGAAGCAAAAAACCATGTGACATTGACCTGAAAATCTCCATGAAAATCTTGTTCCATTGCCCACCTACCTTTCCTTTCACCTAATCCTAAGATCCTAAAAGCTTTCCTAAAAACTCTTCCCACTAAAATGAAACCTACTAAATGCTCAGCAAGATAAAAAGAAAATGAGGCGAGAAAAGCGAAAAAAGAAGGGAGGAGAGAAAGCGAAAAGTGAAAGTTAAGACTTCTGTCTAAACCCAAAAACTATCTCGAAATTTTGCTGTCTGTATATGCCCAAACTTCGCAAGCTGATATTTTGCATCTGGATCAGAAAGCCACGAAGTGTACGACCTGTAAACCGGTTTGTGGTAAGTTTTACCTCTTTATAGCACGACAGTGACCAGAAAACTACTCGACTAGCTTCAAAACGCGTTTTTCAGTAAAATCTCCAGGAGTGAATGGTTAACCCTGATTAGTACTGTCTATGAAGCCATGACTGTACTTGACTGAATCCTTCATCTCCCTTTCATCTCTTGTAAGCATTTGCTCACACTTTTTGGGCTACCAGTTATATAGTTTTCCATTGTTTTTTAACCTCTTAAAAGTGACTGCTTGAGGCATGGTCTGATCTCTTTGTTCGCTGAATGTACTACACCACTCAGAGTGTACAAAGAACTTTCCTTTACCAAAACTTGAAGACACACATTTCAAACTTAAAAATTGTATGTAATAAATCTTCTTCCAAGACGACGAAGTGGTCGCTTATGGGAGGTTTGACTGTATGTAATCGTTGCCTTAAGGAAACATCAGTTTATAATGCTTTGGATTTCTTATTACTTTCAGGTCAGACAGGAGATGGAAAAACCCATTTGAATGAAAAGTTTGGTTACTAGGAAATATCACTTGCTTTTAATAAGCCACTGCTGTTGGCATGAAAATACAAGCGCATTATTTTAATAGTGGCACCTAAGATTTAAATGCATCTTTCTTAAGACAGGAAAATGTGGATAAAAGACTCGCAAATGATATGACTACTTGGATGCCAAAATGGAAGATAAAAATATTTAAGAGACATAAGTATATCTTGGGACAGTCCTGATTCCTTTTGTGCTCCCACACAGATGAGAACTTCCTGGTCATGTGTATTTAAGAGAAGGGTCTGGGCCTCTCTTGGACCTGGAACTTAAGGTAAAATAAGGCTCAATTTCCAGTTCTCAGAGAGAATCCAGTTGGCATCCTCCTCTCAATGCCAAACATTATTGGAACATGTTTCAGAAAATGGCTGATAATCAAACTAGGAGAAAAATATGATAAGGTTATATGGGTATCTGGAACTGATCATGTGACTTTGTCAGGTGGAGAAATGTGGATAATAAAAGCCTATTTTAAAGTTGTGGGCTTTGTAGCCTGAGTAGTCTTTAAGTGAATGGGAGGCTGAGTTTGACCTGGTTTTCATACGAACTTTTTTGGTTTTATTATGGAAATTATGCACACCACAGAGACCCACAAAGGTTGGCATCTTTGCACATAAGAACACGTGAACACAGTGGTAATAAGTAACTTAAACACAAGGATATTATTGCGTTTTTCAAAATTTTTACTTGCTCTTTATGAAGGGGGACTCAATATCCATACAATTCAACCCCGGCCCCCAATACACTGTTTTCACCGATGTTGTTATGCAATAAGTCTAAAAGAGACCTTGGGTCGAAGACATTGCAGTCAGACTTGTTATGACGTCAAAATTTCCCCCAAAGTATTTCAAGAAAACTTTCAACTGTCCTTATTATCTTCTTCCACCTTTTCCAACAACAAAGATTTTATTCCAACCTTCTGAAGTTCTTCGATCAGTTCTCCGTTCTGATGCAATTGTAGCATGATATCGCAACCACCGAGAAACTCTCCCCCGACATAAACTTGTGGTATTGTAGGCCAGTTAGAATATTCCTTAACTCTCTGTCTCAGGTCTTCGTCCTCTAGAACGTTGTAGCTGCCGTAGGTTTCAACTCCATGCATTTGAAGGATCTGCACCACGGCGTTACTAAAACCGCACATGGGCTGCTTGGGAATTCCTTTCATGAATACCACAACTTTGTCTTTTTTAACGACCTCGTCGAATCTCTCGTTTGTCCATTTCTCTATCTGATCACTGAAATATCTCAGGCGACTTGTAATACGTAAAGTGACAGGACTAAGGCGAAGAGAGTGGTTAACAATTCTTTTCGCAAGAAAGGCAGCCATTTTGAATATTGACTCGTACCAGTCTTCGTCTAAAAATTGTTTACCTGATTTGAGACATTGAACGACGAATGCAGCCCGAGACCGAGTGCATTAATGAGACCCTACGAGAATATAGTTCAAACCCTCTTAAACATAGCATTGTCAAACGTATTTTAGTATTAAAACGGTAGATATAGGCATATTTTTATCCCCTAAAATATTTTCATCTGTTCGGATTTCCTAGCTGAAAATCAGGTGATCCGAAAATTCTAGGGATCAAAACTTACCTTTTCGAAAATTTCAGCCAGAAAAAAGGTTTCCGAAAATTCTAGGTCACCTTTTTAGAGTAAAAATCCGTTAAAAATGGGCGATTCTACCATTTTTAAAATGTTCGAAAATCCTAGGAGAGGCAGCCAAGCAAGAAATTTTACAACAAATGTGAACAGATATTTTCCAAAAATTGACGTTGGGTGCCCCTGATTAATGATTAATTGAGTTTCTCAATACTTGCCAATTTCCTGGTAGGATTTTTCTTTTGATGGCGCGAATATTAAAAAAAAAATTAAGATATCAGAGGTAAGTTGCGTTCACAACTTCATAAATTGCTCTTCGGACCATGTACTTCCGTTTCGCACGTGCAAAGCACGCTTTAAAATTACCTTTGGAAATGCGGAAACCTTGGCATGGACTCTGTGGTTGAGCACCAAACTTTTGGCCTCCAGTAAAAAAATAATGAAAAATTTCGATAATATACACAGTCAACTGACCGTCTAGCCTGTGAAAAGCTAACATGTTTCCTTCAACTTGAGCTTTCTTACCTTCTGCAAACTTTTTAAAGTTTGCATGAGTGCATTGGTGACTCAGAAATAAGGAGGTGGGGAGAGACATTCCATAATGGATGCTGGGTAACGGCTACCCTTTTATGGCTTAAGGGAGAAACGGATTTCACCATTTGAGTTAAAGAAAAAGGTATGAAAGCGGCACTTATGAATCATCATCTCCACCAGGTGATGGGCTCCTGTCTCCACTGAAGACATGCACTAGACTCCACTAGACTGGGTCCACAGTCCCGAGGCCGAGGGGCCGGGGGCGAGGAAAATTTTATGTATTCAGTCTTACCAACAGAAATATCGGAAAAATCTGTTTGAAAGCGCTGCAACGTACTGAAAGCGAGACTGCAGTAACAATCTTGTCGAAATTCTCTTGTCTACCCTTATTTTGAAAATTAGTGATCCATAGTTCCTAGAACTCACTCCATTCCATTCCTTGACTTGAGTGAACTTGACATCATCAGGTGATAACCTTTTCTGTCAGTTGTCAGACTCTTGTGATGTTGATGCACGACCGCGCAACGTGATAGGATGTGCCAGTTCGAGAAAAAAGGATAAAAAAGTTGACATACAGTATTTTCTTTCTATCTTCCACAAACTTCTCTTAAAGCAAAATCACTTTTCGATTAATAATTAAATAGGTGAAAATTCAGTTAAGTTTATTGGTGGTGTTATGCAATTGAAAAGAGGGAGTGTGAGGGGGGAGGGGAAAGGAAACTTATGGACTCGAATCGAAATTTCAAATTTGTTTAAATACAATATTCTTCGGCTAGATTCTCTAGTTAAGGAACTTGTTTATGAGTAGAAAATACCTTCTTAAGTGTTCAAATTCCTGTTGTTGTAGTTGTGTGAGCGTATAACATATGAATAATATTTGAAAGCGGTTGGACAATTTTCGCCAGAATCCCCGTGTAGGGAAGGGTGAAAGTACACTGCGGTCACCTAATCGCCATTTGAATATTTCTCAAGAGCATCGAGGCGTTTCCGTCTGACAAATACCGAAGTTGTTTGGTTTTTACGGTTCTTGCCGGCAAAGAGAGGATGGGAGGACAAGTCTCACGGAATGACTTTGAATGGTCTTACACAGCTGAGCCACATGCTTCGCGGAGAAAGGAGATTTTGGGTAAGAAAATTGTTTCACTGGAGAACTTAATTTGCCCGATTGGCGATTTGATTTTCGGCTTTGTCAATCTGCCGGCAGACTTCTGTCCTGACTACATTTATTTAACTCGCTCTATTACGCTCTTTCTTTGGACTCTTATTATGTAAGCGTTCACTGAAAGTTACTACCAATTTACGAGTCGATGAACTAGAAGCAAATTGTACTTTCCCCTTTATACATATGCGTACTGAGCGCCAGCTGCTTGCTATCAGCAAAGCTGTTCAGCGAACACATGGCGGCCAGTTTGAACAGTACTAGTAAGTAGTCATATTTCAGAGGAAGAATGAAAAAAATAGACTCGAATGTTAAATCCATTGTGGCTCAGAGAAAAATCCCACAATCTTCGCGACGTGCAACTCAGAGCGGTCCCAATTTTTTAATGAAAACAAAACAACCACCCGGCTCTGCTAAACTGTAATTGTCTAAATATTCTTTTAATACCAGCTAGTTGAGTGTGTCGGGTAAATATTCCTCACTTTATTTAAATATATCGTTCACAGAATAGCATGGCTATTAAATGCAGAAGGCAGGAGTTGCTCATTTCATTTATCTTTCTCGTTGAGATCGGAAGAGCCGAGCTAGTTGATTCTGCATTTATAGCCTTCATTCAGACCTCTCCAATGCTTGTTCATACAATAGAAGGCGCTTCCGCAGAATGAGGTGTGCACGTGGTGAAATTTTTTGATATTGAGATTTCTCTGTACCTAAATGAACGGCATCTCCTTCCGAATTACCAATGACTAGAAGAATTGAATGACTGGATGTTCTCTTTTTTCAAGATGTCATCGAGACGGACATCTAAAAATAGCACCTCAAGTTATAGTGCCAATATCGGACACTGCCTGAAGGAATAAAAGCATGACACTTCAGTATAGCCCTCCACATCCTCAATTTTAAGCTGCATTTATTAGTCTCAGTTGCGTAAGCAGCTAGACTCATAATCTGCAATGCGTTTTTGGTCGTCTTTAGGCCACAAAAGGGAGGTCATTGTGCGAGGCATTCCTTGCAGAGATCGTGGAAACTGGGACTAATAATTGTTGCATGATCGAAGCCACACCTGTTTTGTCAATAAAGCTTAAAGGAAAGATTAAATTTAGAGCTCTACCAAAATGTGTGGGTCCACAAATTCTATCGCTTGAAAGCGCAGATTACTTTGGAACAAGTGAACAACACTGAGTGGTCGGAAAAAAATAAGAATCTTAATTAGCAAAACTGTGATGGTCAGGTGTTGTAAACTTTAATTGTATCTTGTGACGAGCATGCAGTTTACTTTCAGCGATGATTGAAATGATGTGCCATGTAAATCACTTTTTTGATCCCTGGCAATGATGTAATTTGTCTAGAATCGAGGCCCTTGAATTTTCGTGTATTTATACATGCATATAACCTGCGACCGCAAAGGTATTTCCGGTCATCACTAACACTCGTACTAAGTCAATTCAGAAACAAATAAAAAGTATCACCTTCGATAAAGTAGGGCGTAAAAAACCTTTAGCGAGTAAATCCTGTTTCGTGAAGAATTAATCACCTCATTTCTCGATCTAATCTCCAAGCAAGCGGACTGAATACTGCTGTAAGAGTGTTCTTGTTAATTAAAGAAATGGGTATTGTGAGTGAAAACTCTGTTGAGCTTTCTGTGTGACTAGTCTTTTCCCTTCTTGATAGTATGTACATAAAACTTGTGTAAAATGGTTTAATGTTTGTCCTTGGTTTTACGTTTACTTTTCTCTGTATTTGTATATATGATAATAAGTTTGAAACAAAAGGAAATAAGAAAGGCAACTGCTCAGTTCCAAACACCCTCACTTGCGAAATAAGGCCAAGCAGAAAACATGTCTTAGTTAAATGAGACTAGGATATTATGTTCATGTTAAAGATTTCACGCTCAAAACCGCTTTTTGAAAAGGAGACTCGGGGGTGACGTTGGAGATGGCTCATTTGAACCAACTTGAAGGATAAAATTACCGAACCACGACAAGTTCATTTTTGTCTTTATTACCTTTAAGTATTTTTTGTGCAGGTTGTATGTTGTTATTATGTAAATTTCTTACGCTTTCCTGTTAGCAGAGAAGCTCAGTGTCAGGGTTCTTCACGAGAAAATGTAAAGTAGAAGGAGAAAAAAAATATTTAAGTCAGCCACAGTAGATGAAATCAAAAGGAGTGGGAAGTTTTGACTGGAAAAGTTATTCATGATATCAAGGATAAATTGCATAGCTTATAAGGTTCCTATCTTCAATAGTCTATAATCTTATTCCTAGATAATATAAATGATAAAAGTTTGAATATTTTGACCTGGTTTCTATGTTGTGTGAGAGTGAACACCTTGGAAAATATCATTGCTTATTTGTTGTTTTTACTGTTCACAATAGTGTTGATAGTTTTAGACTTTCATTAACAGTAAAGTGTCTTGGAAAATTTGCTTGCAAGAGGCAAATTATTGTACCAGCTTTATGGCATTTTCATGTCATTTGTAATGTTTCATCAGGATTTAGTCATAATGGGGTTTGTTGAATCAGGGTTTCACTGTAGGAAAAGTACTGGTTTCTAAAACCTTACTTGTCAGAATGAGAGAAAGGTTTGTAAAACCAAGAGTACATTATTAACGTCAGCTTCAAACACTGGAAAGAAAAGGTCTCTGTTGACGTGAATGAGGTTTCCCTCATTAATGAGAGATAAGTGAGAAATTTTACAAATTATTGAACATGCATTTAACTTAGTAACCTGTTCTCTTTGTTTTCTAGCTAAGTACCCCCAGATTAAGAAGTTGATGGGCTATGATCCAAACTTCAAGTACCAAGTGTTGTTGTTGATGGTGATTCAGTTCACACTGGCGTATCTGATGAAAGATTTCTCTTGGACTATAGTTTTTTTGGTTGCATACACTATTGGTGGTGTCATTAACCATGCTCTACTTCTTGCTCTCCACGAGATCTCCCACAATTTGGCTTTTGGCCATGCCCGCCCTTTACACAACCGGATCTTCTCCTTGATAGTGAACTTTCCTATTGGTGTACCATGTGCCATTTCCTTCAAGAAGTACCATTTGGAACACCATCGCTATCAGGGGGACGAAGAACTTGATGTTGACTTGCCAACGCAGTTTGAAGCCCGGATGTTTTTCAACACAGCCACAAAGTTTGTTTGGGTGGTGCTCCAGCCATTTTTCTATTCCTTACGTCCAATGTTCGTTAACCCCAAAAACCCACTGCCTTTGGAAATCATCAACATGGTTCTCCAGTTTAGTGTTGATGCTCTGGTGGTACATTACTGGGGTGGAAAGTCACTCGTATTCATGATTGCAAGTTCGTTGTTAGGAATGGGGTTGCATCCTGTGGCAGGTCACTTTATCTCTGAGCACTACATGTTCGCAAAGGGCTATGAAACTTATTCCTACTATGGCCCCTTGAATTATGTGACCTTTAATGTTGGCTACCACAACGAGCACCACGACTTTCCAAGTGTCCCAGGCTCAAGGCTGCCCATGGTGAAAGAGATTGCATCCGAGTATTACAAGGATTTACCACAACACAATTCCTGGACCAGGGTTCTTTATGAGTTCATCACTGATCCAGCAATTGGACCATATGCCAGAATGAAGCGCAAGGCAATGGGATACAAGAATGGAGTAGAAAAGGAGGAGTGAACTCCAAAGGAACTATTCCGTAATGGTTGTTAGATTTTTCCTGTTTGAAAAGTCTTATCTTTACCTTACCTTTATTTAAGATTATTATTCCCGAAAGAGGACATTATTTTTTGATCGGGGTAGAGTTTCACCCAATATAATGCAAAATGTTGTAAAGAAATCATTAGTTTGGATTATTGAAAGTTTTATCCTTAGGGACATTTGTTTCATAAATGTTAATGTTATGTGAGGGTCAGAGCAGGGAATAATTTTCCAAAGAAATTGACAAATTGACACATTTTCAGTTTATGTTACCATATTATGGGAATATAATGCCAATTTCAAGAATGTAGGTCAATTTAAGTCGCTTCAAATTTTGTAAACATTAAATTCCATGCTATTAATTTAGTGGAGCAACAATTTCTGTGACCTTAATTTCCGTTATTTTTGTCCCAAATTCCAAATACTCTTTTGACATTCTTGACACCTAAGAAAGAGGAGTATTTTTCAGGGTGGAGATCCACCAGTATCACTGAAGATTTGAAATGTTACCCTAAATTTCACTATAATTTCCTTCATTCAAAAGGCGTTTTTTATTAATTTCCTTGATGTCAAGGAGTGTTAATTTCCTATAATATAAGCTATAGAAAAATGAACATTTTTAGACCGCTGTTGCCACATTTTTGGCTTAAAATCGCCTTGACTGAATTCATCAAATGTCACTAAGTTAATTCAGATTAACAACTGTTCATCTAGAGGATTCCTAATTTGTTTTTTGGGATCCAGCATTCGTGTTATCTGAAGACCAGGATTCGGGGTTTTAAAGCAGACTGTTTTGAGATTTGGGATTGACAACATGCCTGAGATGCAAGATGCCGAGGATAACCATCAGGATTGAAGGAAAATTTCGGTCCAAATGACGGAATTAAAGAATGCTATTGGGGACCCTCTGTCCAGGTTCTCAGTTTGTTATTAGAGAGATTAAGAATCCATTCATGCCAAATAGCAAATGTGACTTTGTAGCAGGTGACCAAGTTTTCCCCTTAATTTTCGTTTACTGTTTATTACTTCTGCCCGAAAATAAGTAGTTTCATGCCAGTTTTATCCATAAGAATAATATTGTTCCGCACAGTTTTTATCTGCTTATTTTCTACTCTGAGAAATTCTCAACTTGAATCTGACATTTGCCATAAATGTGACTCTTAATGTTTAATAGGACTACATGCTCTCCAATTTGGAAATAATTGGGTGAAAAAAATTCCGAGGACAGCCAAAATTATGGCCTCATCCAATTTGGCTGTCAGAGGAATTTTTTGAATTCAATTATTTCCAAATTGGACAAGCATGTAGTCCTCTTACTTATTCATTATATTGCTGGTTAGTTAATCCAGATTTTTTAGCATGTCACAGACGTGAAATATTGTACACTCGCACCGTTTGTAGTTGAAACAGAAACACACTGCAAGATCTAAAAAAGGTTTATTCTTAATGGTGTCATTCAACTTATTCTTTACAAATAAACAAACGCAGAACTAGCATTGCTCTTTCATACTTTGGCATTTTGTTGCCAATTAAAATTTTGAAAGCTCCTTCAATTATCTTAATGATACAGTGCTACAGGTCAAAACCACAATTTTCGAGTACCAAGAAGACAAAGCAACAACGCAAATACTTAATGTAAATACACAAATTATTGAAAATAAACTTTTCATTCATTACCTCAAACGATCTCCACAGACTTTGTCCATTTTTTTTTGTAATGCCAACATCTAAACACAATTATCTTTGTTTTCTTATTCTTGTCCAAAGTTTTAGTACCCAGGGTACATTTTCAAGAATCTATGCGGTGATTGTTTCCTATACAAACTTGTCAACTTTCATCAGTTTGGTCATACATTTTCCTTTTAAATAGCCCAGACAAGAAGCCAAAACAAAACAACATTCACAGCAACAAGAAGCCAAGAGTTTTCGCCAATGAACCAGCGTCAGCCAACAAAGCTTTGTTGGCGCATTGTCATAGGAACTTTGCGCTGATTGGCTAGTTTGCATTGCCTGTGGTATTTTCTGGCATTTGATTGGCTCAGACCAGCTGTCCTATTTGCACAGTTTGCCTATTTGTAAAGGAAAGCCCTATCTGAAACTATCCAAATTAATCCTTAATTGGACAGTTCGTAATGATTAAAGGATAATAGCTTTGCTGACGATATCGGATTAACTAACAGCTATATAATTATGAGCAAAAGGAAAGGTGACCGCAAGGCCAATTCTTGACAGTCTGCAACAGACTAGAAACAGCCTTCATTTCTAGACCTTGCAAACTACAGTTGTTATGATCATTGTTATTGTTATTGCATGTATGTGTCAATTTATTGACTGCACATTGAGAAATGTTAATTGTTAACTGTCAACAGGCAGATGCTCATAATACTACAACTACTAACAAAAAGCTAGCAGTCGATTTCCTTGAAAAAAGTTTTAATGGTTGTTTTGCAAATTACAGTATTGGGGATAGTGATAAATGTTCTTTAAGATTGGGAACCATTACAATTTAACATTCGGGTTACATTATTTTTTACTAATTATTTTTTAAAACAACGAAATAACAGTTTAATATTATTATTACGGAGCTACTATTCAGTGAAATTTGAATAATAATTGTGAAGAAAGATTCAATTAAAATTATGATGTTGAGAGAGGATAAAAAATATTTGGAAAATGGTATTTATTGAAATATTATTAAATCCTCAAATATTTCTTTATCTTTTAAGTCTCAAGGTGACTTGAGCAAGCTAGGATAATAATAATAACAATAATAATAATAATATTACTAATAACTAATGTTATTGTTATATGCAATGATCTTGTTCTTCTCATATTTTAATATATTCTTTCCTTAGTAGTTTACTGTTTGTTTGAGTTGTAAATCAGTTTTTGTTATCTTGTGAGAAGTTAAACAAATGTGACTTAATTCTTTTACACATAAACGTTTTAACGAGAACTTTTGGTGCTTCCGGGTGTTACGTGTCTAAGTAAAGGATTTGATTTGATTTTAGCCCTGCTATTCTCAAATCAATGATTTATATGGATGTATCCTACTAAGTCAGTACTGGAAACATTTCTCTTTTTACACTGCCATGAAAGCTGGTTTTAATATTTTTGTGTACATAAAGTTAATAAACTTTCCTGAAATTTCATTACATCCAAGTTGTGTTTTCCATATAGTGGTATTAGAAGAGGACAAAGTCTTTATAATTGTGTCGTTTTGTAATAGTGAACTTGCACAATAGGAATGCAGAGGAAAGCAAACAGCAAAACCTCATGTGACAAGCATGAATTCACCCTCCTTCAAACAATTAAGTAATTGCCTGGTCACATTTGTCACACACAAATGTTTTGGTGTCCTCTTCTTTTGCCGTCCTGTTGCATAAGCTCATTCATGTGATCATCTTGCTTATAAATGTCCAACAAGTGACTATAGCCACTTTCAGGTTGGTATCATGGCTACCTCAAAATAATATCAAAAGGGGATATAATGCGAGATATTGCCATAACTCCAGGTGTTAGGCTATTGTCTGTACCATGAAAACCAATAATGAAGCAAGTTTCCCGCTTGTCAGAGTTTAAATGTAAATGATGAACCACAGGAACAGCCTTTCTCGGCCTTGGGATTGAATGATATTTTGAATGCCGAGCGAATCAGTTCTTCCTGAAAGTCAACTGTGGACCCTTTAATATATTCCAGTGAAATGTCATCAATGACAACTCTTGCACCATCTTTCTCGATAACTCTGAAAATAAATAACAAAGCATAATAACTAATAATTTTTAATTACATTACTTGCAAATAGGCAAATGATGATCAAGTTCTCAGACTTAGGGGATATAACCTCAAGACTTTTTTGATTCAACAGAGTATGAACAAGATGAACTGGGCTTTTCAGAGAGTGTTACATTGGCAAATTCTCCTAATAGTTACAACAATTTTTTCATGCTTCTGAATTTTGACGCTGAAAGAATTTAGGTAGTCACAGACAGTCCTTTTAGGGCCGGTTATCGAACAGAGTTTAGTTATGTAGACTAAGGTTTACAACAATTTATTATTGAAACTCGGGATCTTTACTGGGTTGTTTTCTTGAGAAGATAAATACATTTGTTGTCTGCTTTGGAAGCCTACTTGACAATAAACAGCCATTAGATTTCTGGATTGGCTAATTTGAAAATGTGAGCTTAAGTTCTTTGGGGAGCCTGAGAAAACAGCCAACATTTTGGGGTGCTATTGGAGGTCTCCCCGTGAAATGACGTCTGAGAAATGAACACAGAAATTCCATGCTAATGATGTGCCACTACCCAGATTTGTCTAAGGTTTACATAAAATTTACCATTGAAACTCAGGACCTCTAAAGTCCTTCATGGTGTCAACTCCACGGTAGCATAATATACACACAGCAACAGACTATGCATCAAGTTGTTGCTTACAAAAGTTTCAAGACAAAGGAAAATTACAATAAACCATTACCCTAAAAAGTGGTCATGGTCGTTGTCACTTACGAGAGGTTGCCTTGACTGCGAAAATTTTGGTGTTTTGAGAAGGTGGTCGCTTATGGGAGGTGATCGAACATGGAGGTTTGACCGTATTACTGTTGCCAGATTCCACTAGCCACCTGCACAATCCAAACAAACAAACAGACAAACCTGTCTTCATCACTGATATCAGTGTCGATGTCAAATGTGTACATAAAGCCTGAGCAGCCCCCGCCTTCCACTGAGACTCGAAGAAAACTTTCTTTGTCATCTGCAAATATCTTATGGAGTTGCTACAACACAATAAATGGCATCTTCAGTTCAGTTCCACAAAACTGCAAATTACGCAGTGGTATATTATAGGCTAAAGAATCATTTATAGAATTTGGACGTAGGGTGTCTGAGGGGAATCTGGTTTCTAAACAACAGCTTTTTAAAATATTTTCACTGCATACATGTACCTATAACCTTGGAAATGTAGAGACACTATTTAAGTTTTCATGCAGTCTAATTTTTTTGTTGTGGTATGGTATGTTAGCTGTATAAATAATTTATTCATTTAGAAATGGAAGTACCTTCAGGTATTTATAAAATTTAAATATAAAACTATAGATATTAAAAATATCTAACTACCTAACTACTAATTTATATTTAGTAATATGATGACATCAAATAAATATTAAGACGTATAAAACTAGAGTGAATTCTGGAATGAAACAAACAATTAAGAAAACCTGCTTTACAAGGAAGCCATGTATTAATGACAGTACAAACAAAAAATTCATGAGCTTTGCAGTCAAAACCAGAGTCAATACTGAAATTTTTTAGCTTGAATTTGAATGCAACAATTGCAATTGCATCTGAGGACAGAAATAGCATTCGCATAGAGAAACAAAAATTAACAATTAGTTCATGCGGCAGCGTGCGTATGTCGAGATATTGAGCACGCGGGAAGTTTGGAGAGCACGAAAGAGGCGTAAGAGTTGCACGAGGCGCAGCCGAGTGCAACTCTAGCCTTTTGAGTGCTCTCCAAACTTCCCAAGTGCTCAATATCTCGACATACGCACAGCTGCAGCATGAACTAATTGTTTTATAACATTATCAAAGCGATCAATGCAGCAGTTAACTGAAAATTTTATTATTGTAGGGCGCGCTCAAAGAAGTACGCGTCAATGATTACGTGACTATATTTTTTTTCCTCACAGTTAATCTTATGTTTTTATCCTGAAACTGAGAGAAAGTGTACTCTAAAATGATTGCAAAATCCATATTTAGGTGCCGGAAAACTTTTAATTTACCGAAAAATTGTTATTGAGAGAAAACAACTTTGCAAAGAATGATCTCACGCCATAGCCCGCACAGCTCGCCGAGATGACAACAACAACAACAACACTCACCTCTTTTCCTTACTATCGGTTAACAAATTCAAACCTTTCCTCTTAAATTTCCTTATAAAACACATGGTAAACGCTTCATTGTCTATTGCTGAGTTATGGATGCACTCGGGAGACTCAGGATTGCTAAGTTCCCAACAACTCGAGGAATTACGAATAGTTTATTGACGTCATCAGCGTGCTCAATAGGAATATGAAGCACGCTCGCGCTATTGAATTTGATTACGCGAATTTTCTAGCTATGTTATAATAATATATTGTTCATGCACAAAAATATTTTCACGTTACCTTTGAGTTTTATGGTTCTTAAACCAAGGATGAGCCAAATTTTCCTCGGCAAAAAAATCTAATTTTACAGAAAATTGTGTCGGGCATAGACAGTGTAGTGAATTTCAAGGACTTTTCAAGACCTAATAAAGAAATCAAGTACTTTTCAAGGACTTTGACCAAATTCAAGGACTTTTCAAGACGACTACTAAAATTCAAGACCTTTTGACGATTGTACGAACTATGTGTTAAAAGGTAAAAAATGCCAGTAAGATACATTGCAGCTAGATGAAATTTAGTGTGAGTTCCTGAATTGGTTTTCATTACTTTTAGTGGACTGTCGCTTTATAATGGAAAAAAATTACCGAATTCATAAGCATAATGATGGGTTTACATGACAACATGACAAAAGTATATGGCAATTGTCAAATGTGGAATAAGAAAAAACATTAATCTTGTTTAGTTTTTCACTGTATTATTCTCGCTTGAAACTATGGTAAACTGACAGAAATTCAAAAACCACCAATAAATAATTGTTTGTGGGTAAAGGATGTCTCCAGAAATGACCAGTATTTACAGTTTTTTCGTTCTTTGTTGTTGAATATATGAAATTATTTTTTTCATTGTAATACACTCATCATTTTGCTGGCACACTTGCTTATTTTCCTCTATAGATCGACGGTCCCCAAAAAGTGACGAAAGGCCCTGAATTTGTCTAATGACGTCAAAACATATATTAGCCTGTCAATTTAATGACCAGCAGAACAAGTGTGGCAAAGAAATTTCGACTAAAAAAAATTCTAAAAACTCTCATTATGTTAAAATCGCAAAACTTTTCACAGAGGTTCTTGTAGCAACGTGAAGATTCAATTAGATTTTTTTCCCTCATGGACATGAAGAGACTATAGGGCCATTTATATGAGGAAAAATAAGACGCGTCTTACATAAGGCTCGTCTTAAATAACACGCGAACTTTACCATTTATGCAAGCATGTCTTATCTAAGACAAGAACAGTTCGAATAAATGGTTCGCGTCTTATCTCTGTCCTTGACTCGTTTTCATGTCAATGTTGCCCATGGCAACAGCAATCCAACATGGGGTGCCAAAAATTAACGCATGCGTACTATGCGTTCGCGTCTTACGTAAGACGAGAAGGTCATTTGCACGAAGTTTTTCTCGTCTTAACTAAGACACGTCTTATCTAAGAACAGGTGTTAAGGGCTGTTCTAAAATAGGACGCGTCTTAGCTAAGTCGCGTCTTATTTTAGACGAAATGTGCCGTTTATACGGAGAGTTCGCGTCTTATTTTTCCTCGTATAAATGGCCCTAATATTTGCTTGCAAAGCGTGGAGATAAAGTTGAACCACACTTTCTTGGAAATTGAGAGCATTTCAACGTTTTATATTTATCTAAAGCTCTGAGGAACTAGAATATAATAGTTAAACAGCATGGAGATTAGACAACCTGACCTTTACGCAGCTATCACTGAGCTCCAAATCTGGCGAAGCTTCTTGATTCTGAGGTATACTTCCTTCCTTTATCGAAGAACACTGTCTAAAAAGCTGGTAATGTTTATAGGGAAGACATACACAACGACTTACGACAGGGATCAAACGGTTTTTTCTGGAAAATGTTGCAAGATTGAGTGACAAAACTGTCCTCCGAGCAAAGAACGTCGCCATTTTCTCTCTTACCAATTGTGCTTGGTAACCACTCCTTGTTTTTCTCCCTTTCGGGTTTTTCCCTCCATTTCATTTCTCCGTGCATTTCTCATTATGACGGACGGCGGAAAGCAGAAGCACGGGAGAAGCGCAAATCATTTTCGTAAAAAGACATCGGCTACAGCGGTTCGGATGGGGGAATACAGTACAGTGAAACCTCTATGTGCGACCACCTCTCGTAAGCTACCACCTATTCAGAACACCAAAATTTTCCCACCACAACATCTATATTTAGAACCCCCGGAAAACGACCACCCCTCTTAAGTAACCGCGACCATGTTTTACTTGACAGTTTTCCATTGTTTCTAATCTCTTGTAAGCGACCACTTGACTGGCTGTGTAGCTGGCAGGATTTGCAGAGCTCGGTTACCAGCCGCTGTTCGAGCAAATGAGCCCGCAAAGACCGCAGCCGGGAGACGGCGGAAACTCTAGAGCCTTCGCATGGTGTGGTATCTATGTTCGCTGTGTGTAACACGCCACTCAGAGTTTACGAAGAAATTTGAGTAACAATATGAAACTCGGGGAACTACACGAATATGAAACTTAGAAATTGCATGAAATAAAATCTCTGTCGGAACCTGTTCTCGGATGAGAGCCCTGTCCCCCATGGAATTCTCGTAAACGACCACGTCCCGTAAGCTACAAAGAAATCTTCGAGTCTGGGGTGGTTGCTTACGGGGGTTCGATTAAAAGCAACAGTTTTTTTGAGAGAATCACTTTATTTCCTTATTTTTTCTTTCAGTGAAATGAACTTGATGATAAATTGTACACTTCATGTTAAAAATAATTATTTTTATAATATTACTTAAATCTCTTGTTTTCTGCATAATTATAATGTTTTAGAACTTTCTAAACATAACTTTGAAAACAATACTTTGGCTCAATAAGTTTTTTCCATTACAAAAGACGTTAAATATGAAAATCATCTTCCCAGCTACCAAAATCACGTCAAGTAGCCTAGTTCTCTCATGTAAGGAAAACAAAATTATCAAAATATTTCTCTTCCAGTAGGGCAGTTATCAAGCTTAAAAATGACTGTTAAACACATAACTGGGATGCTCTTAACAATCACTCAGCCTAATCGAAATTTAAAATGAGAGAAGTAAAGGAAACTGACCTAGATAAATATGTGCAGAATAACGACTGAAACGTAAATACAACTCTGCGTAAGATCAAGTAAAACGATCCTAACACAGAGGAAAGGCATCCGCCGTTTCTTCTGTTTTATTTAAAATGAGAGCAGTAAAGGAAACTGACCTGGATAAATATGTGCACAGTTACGATTGAAACGTAAATACAAAATGTGTGTAAAATCAAGTAAAAATAATGATCCTAACACAGAGGAAAGGTATCCACCGTTTCTTCTGTTTTATTTGTGTTTGGGCTCTCGGGACATCGTTCAATTAAACAAGTAATCCTTGAAAACACAAGAGACGCACTTGTCGAACGTTCTTAATATAGCTAAACAATGTAGGAAGAGCAATCTTCAAAAACGCAAAGGTACAAGGGAAGGCTTCTTGCATCGTGACTACAGTAGAAAATCCTAAGAAGCTGCTGGGTACCAGGCAGGGTTTTTGTTCTAAGAAAAAGCAAGGACAATAACTTCCGAGTTGTCCCAAGCCTCTGTAACTGCAAGTATGAACTCGTTTAAACGTGGCAGAGCGTCCCAGATCGAATTGGAATTTGGAAGTGTTGGTTTTTGCGGGGAGGAGGGGAAAACCGGAGTACCCGGAGAAAAACCTCTTGAAGCAAGGGAGAGGACCAGCAAAGCGAGGCTAAGTGAGAAGCCATTGATATGAAAATAATTTTTTTTCTCATGCAAATAAAACTCATTTTCACGGTAGAGACTTGATTTCATAGCTCAGGTGGCGGTAGCCAGCGGTTTAAGTGAACACAAGGTTTGAGTGGGGGTGCTCAGTCTCGCGGGCTCACAAACCTCCTTTTGAGCTATGTAATCTAGCCATTTCCTATTTTCACGAATGAAAGCTTTTGAACTTAGCCTCGCTTTGAAAGTGAGAGTTTGTGGAACTCAGAAATGGCTCATTGTTTACTCTGCGTCAACTGTGTGAAAGGTCAGTCTCCTCTTGGACTGTGCCTCTATAATATCTTCCGATTCATCAAGCTCATCTAAATCTTCCACATCTTTTGGTCCGATATCATCTTCCTCCAGCTCATCCTCAAACATCTCCTGTAGAAGAAGGTCGGCATTTTTCTTCTGCTGGCTCGGCATTTTGAATCTTAAACCGGTGTCCAGTGCGAGGTGTTCTACTGACGTAAAACCATTGCTTCCCTGATCTTTTATCACCTCATCGGTGTCGTCGAGAGAAAGAATCGACGCCGCTCTATCTTTCACTGGGCACCTAGAACAGGTGATTAAATCGTGCTCAATCAGTTTTTACAGAACCAGGGGCAAACGCATCTTCAATAGATCATTCACAGTTTTTTCACTAGACTGCTTGTAGTCCGCCTTTTGTCTTAAAATCCGTCCAGTTCTTATCTCATCCGGCGCGATTGCAAACCACGATGTCTTAGGTTTCGCGTGCAGTAACTTTGCAAAGAAAAATAAGAGGCTGCTCGCAGTATATTTTTTCACCTTTTCGCTGGGACCAGTTAGCGAAAATCCGTCAACACGCCTGGAAAGAACGCCCTTAAAAGGCGTTGTTACCCGGGACGATTCGCAAAGACGATTTTTAGCGCCCCACAGGGTTGCAATGCTGGAACAATGTTGTAACCATTCGAAACAATGTCGCGATAATGTGGCAACGCTGTGTTGCGCTAAAAATCGTTGTTGCGAATTGTCTCGTGTAACATCACCTTTAAATCAGCAAAGTCGCAAACTTTTGAAAGTGGTTCAGTTTGAAAACGAACGAAGATATAGCTCCCGAAAGTCGCTGGATTTTACAGACGTTGGTATGGTGGCGGGTGGTGAAACATAATAGTATATTACAAAGAATACTTACATCCCCACGCCTATGCCTTTTTCTTGTATCTTTTTGTTGAACACAGTTTCTATTTTGCCGTGCGTGAATGAATATTCCAACATAAAGGCTTCTAAGATGAACGCCACAAATATACTGAAAATCAAAGAAAAATAGTTTCTTTTAACTAATTACAGTCAAAATAGTTTCCCTTGATTACTTTTAAACTGACCTGTATCAAGTGGTCACCTCTATTAAGCGGTTGTGGTCACTTTTTCCGAGGTGACAACGAGTGGTGGGCCAACAACGTTGGGAGTTGTTGTGCCCGTGTTGGTAGTGGTGTGCGAACGGGTGCAACAACTCCCAACATTGGTGGGCGAACAATGTTGGGAGTTGTTGTGCCCGTGTTGGTAGTGGTGTGCGAACGAGTGCAACAACTCCCAACATTGGTGGGCCAACAATGTTGGGAGTCGTTGTGTCCGTGTTGGTGGTGGTGTGCAAACGGATGCAGCAACTCCCAACAATACGCAGCAACAAGCAACAGGGTGTGCAGACGGACGCAACATGGTAAAATCCAACAATGCTGGGAGTTGTTGGCCAACAATGTTGCGTCCGTTTGCAGGGGGGGTTTAGTGGTCTCTTACTCTTACTTTTCTTTTAACGCCATAAGAAGTAGAAACACTATGAAGTCACTTTAAATTTTGTCGTGTGATGGATATTTCGCTTTATTATCTTCATTTTTTTTTATTAAAGCTCCTAGGGTTGTTAAGCCTGTATAATAACCATCAACCTGCATCAACGGTCAGTTAGCCATTCCCACGCTTGGGTGACCGCTTAATACAGGTTTAACTGTAAATGGAGGCAGGCTCAACAGCGTACGCAAACTGTTGCACCTCAAAAAAGGGTTTTTATGTCGTTTCTGTTTAAACAAAAACTGTTGATATCAAGTAATTGACGAAAATTGACGGCTTATAATACAACGCTGACAAGCGACGGCTATATCTAAAAAAAGTACTCACTTGAGAACCACGATAACACAGAAAAGATGAAATGACAGGAAATAAATCCTCGCAAACTTGTTTGTAACACGAACATAACCTTGAGTTATAACTGGAAGCATGTTAAAGATATAATTAAAATGGTGAAGTCACAGAGGAATAAAAGAAAACAAACACGGCTATACAGAGTTCAAATGACCATAACGAAATTTTCCCGCGCTTTACATATGTTTACCGCGCCCGGCAGTGGGTGTGGACTGCCTCTTACCCAGACGTCTCTCTGTCGATGAAAATGTGCGCGCAAAGGAAGGCGGGAAGGAGACAACGGGCGAGACGTGCGTCGCCTGCCGTCTGTACCCATCCCACGGTCCCTTGCAGTGCATCACCAGTCACTCGCGTTTCGCGCTCGCCTCTACGATGCGAAAAACGAAGCGCCTGGGGAGGAGGCTGGGGTGTAGGTGTACCCTCTTAATAAGTTTCCAAACATTCTCAAAAAAGCTCTAAATATTCCCGTCGCAGAATTCCCTAAAAAGAGACCTTAAGCAGCGACGACGTACCTGGAGCTGCGCTATTCAATAACGAAACTAACTATAAATTCAAGTTTAATCTAAAATAAATAATAAAAGTAAATTGATTCAAAGGATACTGTGCCATTGATTTACAACCATCAAATCAAACAGAACCTTGAACGATCTCAGAATGTCATTAAAATTGTTATTACAATAGCGATCCGCATAAAAGTCGGAACCATTTAGCTTGATATTGCCACAAAACTCAGTGACATTTTCTTCACTCGTTCCGTTGCTATCAGATGAAGGGTAACTGCCTTCCGATTTGATCAAACCACCGAATAACTCCATTCCCAGAATGGCATACATGTAGTACAAGACCTACAAATAATATAAACGAAACACATTTTAGAACGGAGCGGCTCCAGAAGTTTTAATAAGGGGTCCAAACATTTCGCTAGGTTCGGTGGTGCCGACCACTAACATGAAAATGAATAGCCTGCGTAGCAGGCGCTTGGAAGTAGTGGGCGAAAGAAAGAACGAGCGCGCAAGAGGGAGACACGCCTATAGCGTTTCCGTGCGGTCTCGGAGAAAAGAACGAGGAACGAGAGTCAAACACCGCGCGAAAAATAGCGCAAGTAACCCTAACCATCCCCCTCCTCCCCCAGTTTCATTTTTTGGCTCTCGTCCCATGTCTTGTGCGGCCAAAACCGAAAGTCTCGTTCCTCGGCCTTTCTTTGCTCCGAAACCAAACGGAAACGCTTGCTATGCAGGCTACTTTAGGGTCAACTGGGACTGTTACTGGGGACAGAGGAAAAAATGGCCAATAGCTGACCAGTGCGTCAGTCTCCGATAGCGTTCCCAGAAGTCTTTACTTGAAGCAATTTCCTCCTCTTTTCTAAAATGGCGAATTGCTGGTTTACAGCTGACGTCACGGCGGCCATGTTGGTCATGTTTTCACGCAAATTCTGCGGCGAGAAATTATATTTTTTGGACCTGTCATCGCTCCCATGCCACGTGGAAGCAAACAAAGAATATAAGTGAAAAGGTGCGCACTTGAACCGGGCAAAGGTAAAACGAGAATGACCTGAAACCTTCTTTCTTCGTAGTAGTTTAACATATGTTTTCTGGGAAGATTCGAAAGGGCCAAAGGACGTCATTAAGCAGCATATTTTAAGAAGTGACGAGCAACCCAAGTTTCAATTTTAACGAAAATTTACAAGCATTTTATTTAATAACACAGATATTATACTTACGAACATAATTGCACCATACGTGCCCATTGCCGGGCCAATCTGCATGACGGTTCCAACAACGACCTGAAATCTGGCCAAAAAATGACATGAAAAAACGAAGAAGTAATACAGTCAAACGTCCTTTATGCCGGGACCTTGAAGGGGCCATAGAAACTGTCCGTATCAAGCGGGTCATTATTATCAGTTAAGTAAAAAATACAGCTATTGTTTGAAAAAAATACTAAAAAAATAAAACAGGACAATAGCATTGTCCCTAACCTTCACAAAACCATCATTCAGAGGACTAAGTGGGCATGTTTGTAGGCTAGGTTTGATTATATTTCAAAAACAAATGGGAGCGTTTGACCGAGCTACCAAACACGGAAAACTGAAAGCAAAAGGCCTCAGAGTGCCTTCCTTATTTTCGAGTGTCTTGAAACTCAATGAAACCTTAAGGAAGAGTCTTTAAACGAACTTCTCCAATAAACATAACTAGAATACGTAATTGCACAGCCTTATGGAACTTAGGCGGACATTTGCCATATAAATTGCTTGTCTGTTGAATTCTCAGTCTTCTGTAAACATCACACTGACACAGTTGCCGTGTGTCTACTGTGAGTGAACATATTATGTTTGTTCATAAAAAAGACGGAAAAGAACAATTCAATTTCAATTCAATTCAGTTTTATTATTCATACTTTAGCAGACGGCTAAATTTATTTTTTGAAGAAAAAAGAAAGAAAAGTTTGTGTGGCAAGTCCTACTCCGAAGTCTGAACATTATAAAAATAAATTGGCAGTTAAGAGTTTTGAAGAATAGCAGAAATTCCTTTTTGACAAAGTACACTGATTACTTGGACCTGGTGGCCTCAAAAACTTTGAGTGGCATAACGACAAATGTATCCTCCGAAAACAAGACGGTTTATGTCATGTATGGATAAAAATAGCTGAAAAGTGAAAAGTTGGATTTGACTGCGCTGAGACGCGTCAGATATTTATTACATGTAACAGCTGGAAATTTTCAAAAAGAAATCCGACAAACCGTTTAATTTGACCTATGATCTTGACTAATCTGAGAACTCGAAGGACCATGAGAAAATCCAACACGCCTTGACTCGATTGCACTATAAAAAGAGAAATAACAAATATATACAGTCAACACTTTTTAAGTTGGAAATGGTACAAGTGACCGTCTTATATTAGAGTGGTGTCCACCTAATAGAGAGTCAAAGATATGGTTATATTGAGATTGAGGATCAAACTTTCTTTATTTCTTATTGTTTTTTCCGTCTTTCTCCCTTTTAGTCTTAACATAGTAATTTTTCATTTTAGATTTTTCAGTCACAAAACTGTGGGTCAAGTAGCAAGAAAAAGCGGCCAGTGAAACAGGCTGCAAAAGGTCGTAAGTTGAGACGGAGTTGAATGAGTTATCGTGTTAAATGATTACAAGTATATCACAGTTACATGAAATCCACCTACACGATTCATAACAAGTTTCAATAATGAGGGCTAATGTTGCACTGCCTATGACCAAAAAATCAAATCTGAAAGAACAAAATATAGAACAGTCGTTAAATAACTTATTAAAATGGAGATAAAATCGCTAATTATATTTCAAGTGTCTGTCACTCTAGAGTGACGTTTACGGCAGACAGCAAACGTCAGATTCAAGTTGAGAATTTCTCAATAGAAAACGTGCAGCCAAAAACAGTCCAAAACAATTGTTAAAGACTTTGAAGACAAAACTAACGTGAAGGTACTAATTTGGGGGTAGAAGTAATGAACAGGAAAGCACAAGAAGAACAAGTTACATGTAAGGGAAAACTTGGTCACGTGGTATAAATTCACATTTGCCCAGTTCCAGTGCCGTAAAGCGCTACTCTAAAAATTTCTATTGACCATTAAAGGAAAGGATAAAGTGTATTTTGCTGGCCAGGAGACTAAGAGAAGTCTGAAAAAACAAAGTACAAACTAGTAACTTTGAGCACAGGAGATTCAGTTGAAACAACAGATTAAAAGTGAGTGAATACTAACATGTTCCAGTATCGAGAGAAGAATTCCTTGAAGCCATAAGTATACAGCTTAAGTAATATTTACTTCGGCGGAGCGCGAAGTAAAGGTTTCGCGACGCTCAGGAATGTATCAAAGTTACAATTTTTTGACAAGATTGGGCATGCAAAGTCTGTAGGTTTTCGGTTTTATTCGGCTTTTTGACGAAGTGACAGCCGAATTAATTCGAGATATCTCGAGATCCCTTCGATTTTTTTTATTTATTCTTTAACTTTTTCGAGGAAGAAAGAATTATTATTTTGGCTTTCCCGGGGTTTGAACCGACTCACCTGTGTGACCCGTCAGATCAGAGGAGATCCTAAGTCAGAGGGATTAGCCGATTGCGCTACTGCGACCCAAGGTAATTTGGGATATGAAAAATAGTTATGAAATGATGCACTAGTTTCGGGACAAGATTGGGCGTGCAAGTTCGTGACTTTTCGGCTTGTTTCAACTATTTCACGAAATGAGACCGGACTACTTCGTGATATCTTGAGATCACTTCGAGTTTAGTCTTTAATTACTCGAGGAATAAATAGAGGATATTTCATGGCCGCGCAGAGACGCAAAATTTCTCTTCGAGTGTTGAAAAACATTTCACGAGTGAGCCCTCCTTTCTAACTGTTTTATGATGAATTTAAAGTTACAAAATGCTGCAAAAAGACATTTTGTCTTTGTTGAGTGTTACGTAGTAAAATTGCTTTCATGCGTTGCGTGACTTTCTCGTTTTTGGATTATCCATGAATAATTAATTAGGGCACGTTTAGATTTCAGCATGAGTCAGCAGATTTGCATCAGTTACTGAAATCATAAAATATGTCGAAAAGCTACGACTATTCGCCTGCTGTTTAGTATTTTCTAGAACCTTATGTCAAACGGTATACAAGTTCCAAGCGAGTTCTTTTGAAGAACTAAGTTTTTTCCCACGAGCTGGACTGCTGTGTTTAGTCAAGTGTGACGAAGGTCGATTTTCAGGTATTGTGTTTACAAGTTCGCGGAAGCCGTAAGATATCTGAAGTTCAAGTGAGAGTTTGTTATTATTGGTAGAGGCTGTTTAGTTTTACTCAAAGTTCAAGTCAAGTTTGTGTTGGTGGATGCTGCGTTTTAAAGCTCTGTAAAGGCTATGTTCCTTTCGTATTAAACTTCCTTGTGTTAATCCGACATCCGTGCGTGCTGATAGTCAGTGAATAATTATCCTCAAAACATTCGAACTCGTGACTCTGAGTTTTAGCCAATTCCATGCTCAACGTAATTGACTCCTTACCCATGCCTTACATATCTTTAATCAGTACATGAGACTGCTATGCTGTTTTTGAAGCCTGATGTGACTAAGAAAAATAGAGAATTGTTTTTTTAGAAGGATTTGTATGGAGTCATCAGAGTATAGCTGGGCTAATATCTCGGAGACAATTCGTCCCGAAATGCTAGTTTTTGGCAAATAGGCCTCTTGGATGTTGCTCTTTTCAGAATATCCTGACAAATCCCATAATTTCACAAATTAACACCTTCCTCTTACCATATTTGATTTCTTACTATTCCTGCGCATTTACAATTAATTAGTTTCACAACCACGACGCCGAAGTGTACGCTCCGTAGCGTCTTGTTCTATATTGAATAGAACCAGGAACAGAACTTCCGCATCGTTTCGCTCCAGCGCGATGAAAATGGCATTGGCAAAGATTACTAAGTCAAAAAAATACACAAAATACCTGAGCAAAAAGAAAGAAATGAAAAACCACATCAACATCTACATTGTATACCTGTCAACATTTTAATCAGATAACGCACTGATCACGTTGAGTGTTCAGTACCTTATTTAATTTTTTGCATAATCTACCAGTCTTGTTATGCAACACCTTAAATTTGCGGAAACAGTTCAGAGGTATGCACTAATAAGGCATGGGTGTTCATGCAACCGCGCTATAAGGAAGAGGTTGAGATGATTAAAGAGGCTGTTCACACTTGATTCACTAGCAATAGCACCTTAGTACCAGCGCAAAACAGTGTTGTGTCCACACCTCAGAAACCCGATATGTAACTGTGAACATATCCTCTTCATTTCGCCCTGACAGACGCCACATTGAAAACTGATCGTAGCAGGGAGTCATGGGTGTGGTATGCACAGCACTGGGATACCAAACATGTGCACACAGGTACCCAGTGCCCTAGAGCCCACATCAGGGCGAGGGGCGTAGCCTGCTTTTCGACTATTTGTAGGCCTGGTTGACTTTCACTTCCACATATCCTGAAAATTGCATGCATGACTTGTACGCACTGACCTCACCAACACTTTGAACTCTTAAGCTTTTTAGCTCACCCCAACAACACATAATTTATTGCAAGCGGCAAAGTGATCAAACCAAAAATTTGTAGGCCCGGGCCTACAGGTCTATCGCCTGGCTACGCCCCTGCACTTTACTGCCCAAGTACAAGATCTCAACCTTGTGCTCAGGCACCGGTACCTTCTGGCGTGATTACTCGGGTTCAGTATTGGCTTGGTACACCAACATGGCCACTGTTCCATTGTTTTGATACACCAAGGCGACGGCAACGAGAACAGCAAAATAGCAACAGGCTTAGATTAGCAAAATAACAACCGTTGGAATTGCAAATTTTTTGCTACCGTTGCACGACAACGAGCAAAAATTTTCTAATTTCACGCAGTTTTATGGCGTACGTGAACACAAGATAACGATCTTCTTTTTCTTTTCCTTAACTAAAATTTAAGTCCAAAAAATTCGCCAACATTTGACAAAATGAACTAAATGGAATAAAAGCGATGACGTTTAAAACAGCGCGAATGCACTTTCTGAGTGACGGTTTCCCTGCCGCGGTCACCCCCGTGGTTGCTTAAGCTCCCTATTACGGGCACCGTGAAGCAAAGGTGACGTTACACGAGACGATTTAGCCTGCGTAGCAAGCGTTTCTGTGCGGTTTAGGAGCAAAGAACGAAGAACGAGAGTCAAAGACCGCGCGAACAATTTTTTGGCTCTTGTTTCATTTCTCGCTCGGCCAAAGCCGAGAATCCCCGTTCTTCGACCTCGGTTTTTCTTTGCTCCCAAACCAAACGGAAATGCTTGCTACGCAGGCTGGAGACGATTCGCAACGACTATTTTAGCTCAACAAAGCGTTGCAAGATTGTTGCAACTTTGTTTCGAATAGTTACAACATTGTTCCAACATTGCAACGCTGTAATGCACTAAAAATCGTCGTTGCGAATCGTCCCGTGTAACATATCACCTTTATGGAGCTTCGACTACTGACATGTTTACAAATAACCCGGCATTTGAAAACGCCGTAACACATGCTTAGAACTAACAGGAAATGAAAGACCCAGGTAATAGGTCATTTCAGTTCGGTACAATCGTTTTCAACTTACTTGTGGCAAACACAAACGCGAATCTTCGCACTGACACGGGAATTATAGATTTTTGGAATGACCCTCTCCAGTAGGGTGACTTGATCTTTGACTTCAATGACTTTAACATTCATAACATCAGCCGCCATAAGGAAATCCTTTTTACCTATAAAACGAGAATTGGAAAAATAATTGTTTTATCATATATTTGAATTTGTAAGCAAAGGACTGGCGATAATTCAGGAATAATTTTTCAAAAGTAAGAAAAAGAACAAAAGCCGAACCAAAAAGTGTTTTTTGGACGACAAAAAAGCCGAAATTTCAAACACATTTGGGAACAGTCAAGCATCAACTTGAAAGGTATTTCTTTTTTTCTTTCGTTTCTGATATTGTAAAAAAAAAACAGATCACAGAAGGTGTCAAAATGTGGTAAGAACGTCATTCAGTGGTTCACTCGCCGCCACTTCTTTCTCCTTGCCACATTTGTGCACAAGGAGAGATTTAGAAACATGTTAGCGCAAACGATAAACGTTAAAAAAATATGACGTTTGCCCAAGGCGTGATACTAAATCAATCTACTGTTTACAATGAATATATAGCGTTTTCACATGATGTCACGGCCACCATATTGGTGTTCCAAAACAATGACACGCGGCTATGTTGGTGTTCCAAACAAATCCTGTGGGAGACGCTTTTCTTAAGCAAACGCTTTCTTTTGTTCCAAAAAAATTTGCAAAGATGCTGGCCACGTGATTGAAAACACTCTATACAAATACATGTAGGAAGTCCACAGACATCGCTCCTTAATAACCAGTTCCCAGCGTCTCTCTTCCTCCCATCCAGTGAGGCTCTGGGAACGAGGTTGGCTTTTGGTAAAGCCAACTGGCAATGCAAGGGAAAGTTGATCTCCAGCATACCTATCTTGCCATCGTTATTGTCGTCAAGGACTTGCCATAACAAGGCTACTCTTGCAGGACTCCATTGCGGACAAGCCTCTTGCATGAGTGTTCGCCATCTCTGCTCTGTGATCACCCATTTCTCATCACACCAGACTTTTAACACATCATATGCCTGCTTGAGCTGTCTGCGTTTACGATAAACTGATGCCCGAATTTCATTCTAAAGAGATAAGAATTAGAAAATTAAGAACAAACGTAAAGCGGCTTTAGTCAGTGAAGCGGGCGATTGACAAAAAAATCCAAGTTCTCCCAAGAAGAAATGAGCCAATGACCTTCTGGTCACTAGTGCAGCCAGCATTCTTTTTTCCCAATGAAACTGAGGCTCAGTCCTCACGCCGGGCGTATCAGTTTTTATTTAACTCGGAAATGTTTTCTCCGGTTTGGTCTACCGTCCACATGTATCCGGTAAAAATGGTCACCAAAAACACATCTTTTCTCTCCAAAGTGAAAAATTTTTGAAAACGCCGGTTTCTCGTTTACCTATGGACAGACGAAGACGGAGGTTCTCTCGGGTAATGCATACGAGGAACAAAATCCTTAACCAAAGGGCGGTTGTCATTCATACGGCCCCAACAAAGACAGGCACAACTGTTTTGCAGTATACTTTCAGATAATTATGTCAAAAAGAAACTAGCGAGATAACTTAGGGGTTTAACACTCTCAACGCAAACCGTCCATAAAATTGGCCGGGGATTACTGACATGCATGTAACAGAGGAAAACTGGCCTAGAAAAATCGCAGCGGGGAGGTAAATGCAACCAGTGCCTCATGCCATGAAATAAACATTTCTTGCACTTTGGCTCCGCTTGTAGCCTTTTTTCCGCTCTCCACCACCTGTTCTTGTGGAACAGGCTACCATCTAGCATATGCACATTTTTCGTTCTTAAAACATGTCGCGCTGAAGGTTTGATTCACCGTTTACCAAGTATAAACTAGCACCTTGGTTCTAAGATGCCTTCTAGTCCTAAATCGCGGGTGCCGAATATATTTTTCCCCGTATAGCACTAGGGCGGATCCAGGGGGAGGGTTGAAGGGGATGCGGAGCCCCCTAAATATTTGCCAACCTCGTTCCTAAGATTCTCTCCTTGGAAAAGAGTTGAATATATTCGTCAAAACCTTGAATTCGTAGCTAACTACCGAAATATCTCCTGAGACGTCACTTTAAACTTTCATCTTCTACCTTAAAAACTACGCCGGGGTTTTGATCGATTTGATTAAATCTGGACAAAGTTATTCTATCGCTTAACACAAGGGACGATTGTAGAATGCCACATGTAGTGGGCGCATGATTATAGCACGGGTCCACGTAGTATATGTAACGGCGTGGAAGAACCAAGTTATGTTGACATAACTTGGGTGCACAAGTTGGAACCTCCCGAACAAAAATACGTGGATCCGCCCCGTGGATCCGTCTACGTAGTCAACAGGGAGCTCTAGCAACGACGACGGTGACAGCAATGAGGACGTCAAAAAGCTTCAAAAACGCAATATATAGGTTTAACAAGCAAAACAATATCACTGCACGTGCAGCACACTTTTTTTAATACAGTTCTTTGCCGTCACTCCATGACTACAATGTGAAACTCCCTCACGGGACGTTTTATGGAGCAGAAGGACATAAACACACCACCACTAGACTACGAGCAATCTCTTTTTTTTCTAAGTCCGTGTAGCGACACGCGCAAATGACCAAGTGCGTGACTGAAGGCGCGAGACGTGAGAGTGCGTGCACTCCCCTCACTAAATCTGAAGAAAAAGAGAGACTGCTCCCAGTCTACACCATCACGAGTTTTTCTCTCTCCTTCTAAACTTAGGTTCGGTCCTCAAGAGCTCAATTTCAGTGAAATTTACCTGTAGTACATTTGGCATTTCAAGAAAGCTGAAATAATCGCGACAAACTTTGAAATAACGCAAAGGCTTTTAATACTGACGTTTTCGCTGCCTTCCCTATTCTTTGGTACCGCAACCGAAATGGCAGTAGGGTATTTTACAGTCTAAACGAAGAAATGAAAAGGACTGAAGAAATAAATGCGTGGAAGGGAAGAAAATAATACCCCACCATAACTGCAAAGTAGACAATATTTAGAAAAAATAACGGCAATCTACCTTTAAATGCTTGCGGTAGTTCTTGTACACAACAGCCAGAAAGATGCTGACAAATATGTACATGCAGACAATGATGAAAATGACAAAAAACAAACTGGACCAGGGATTGTTGTCATATGCAGGCATCCTGTTCAAATAAATAAATAACGAAGTTATTTTCACTGGACTTTTCTTATGACCGGTTTGATATTTTTTGCCTTAAATATTATGAAAACTTGATCTCTCTCCTATAATTCGCATTTCAAAATGTAGCAACTTTATAGGCCTGTTTCACCTGTCAAACGTCTGGACACCACGTTCCAAATTCATTGCTTATGAGTTTGGAACAGTACATTTTACTCAGTAACCTGAAAGTAGACACCTACGTAGATGGCGTTTTGATTGCCGAGTGCGCATATGAGCGGAAAAGCGCGAGGAGAATGGGGAGAAAACACCTTGACACTTGTCCCCATGTGTTGGCGTCTTTTCACGGATTTTTTTTTCCCTCTCGGAAAAGAAACCGCTAACCACTCAGGCTGCCCTCCAGTGCTCAAGTTTTACTATGAAGATTTGTGTTGAAATAAAAGGGTGGTAAACGTATAACTACAGTATGTTATGCGCTTTTGATTACATTAGCATGGAAAAAGGTGCGTTATAAATTTTGGTTTCACGTTGCACTGTTTTGCGACATAGTTGAATGATTTTGAACTAAAAGTGGTCTCGTTCTTTGGCAAAACATTTTGATGCGTGTACAGAACGTAAACAAAGCAAATGGATTAAAATACCACACCCCTCCCATCCCACCCCTCTTTCCAACCTCACCCTTCCCACCCCTCGCCTTTTTCCATGCCTATTTCTCTACTTACAAGTGACTAGTAAGTAATATTTCAAACTTACATAACATCTGGGTTGTTGGCTGTAGTTGTCAGAACATACAACAAAAAAAAGACATCTAAGTAGTTTGTGAAGTATGGCTTTCCATGGATGTCTTTAAGATTTCTACAACAAACCAAAAACACAAACAAACAAATTCAAAGGCAAAAATAAAAGAACCCAGGTGTGAAAAACGATTGGGCCTTCTTGCAAATGAACTAAAAAGGCCAATGTGTGACACGATTTTTAAAAGGAATTTGAATAAGTTTTTATGTGATTTGTCTCAGGTTAATTGTTTATATTTTTATCATAGTTTTTAATTTTTATGCTACTCACTGTTTTTAGACTTTATCCTAGAGGATTTTTCAGTTATTTGTTTCTGTACTTTCTTTGAGAGGACCCTCATGAAAACCACTTTAAGTGATGGAGGTCTCCTCTTAAAAGAAGACTTTTTTACTTTAAATATTATTATTATTATTATCATTTAAGAGAAATAATACAAATGGAGGGAAAGGACACATCTATCATTCTAAGTAAAACAATTTGTTTAGAAATTATCTCAAATGTTGCCCAATTAGAGCCTAGTTGTATCTCTCACAAAAAACCAACTCCATACAAATCATAACAGCTGACAGATATAAAACGCTATGATTTGAAATACCTTTTGCCAAACAGCTTACATCCCAGCAAAGTAAACAATGCAATCATAAGAAGTAACAAAATAAGAACATTTGCAATCTCTGGAAGTGTTTTCCTAATGTTTCTAAAAGCTCTTCTAATCTGAAAGAGATCAAGAACATCAGAAGACAGTCATGTACAGTCAACTCTCTCTTAATGGACACCTTTATAAGATGGACACCTCTGTAAAACGGACACTTAGAGTTGGTCCCTGCCTTTCTTTTCTCCTTTTATTTGACTTTCTATAAGACGGACACCTCTCTAAGATGGACACTTAGTGCTGGTTCCAAAGGTATCCGTCTTAGAGAGAGTTGACTGTACTTATTTTTAAAAATATGAAATAAAAAGGTATATTTTTAATATTATTATATTTTCAACATGGAAAGCCTAACCATTTGAAGTGATGACCTATCTTTTTTCTTACCTGAATCTCTATCAATATAAATTTAATATTAGTACTATATACACTATAGGAAAGGAGCAGCAAAAAGTAGAAGGGGCATGAAAAAATGAAAATGGGGGAAAGGTTGAGAGTTCCCTTGCCACTCTCCCCAGTCCCTCTCTATTTTTCCTTGCTTTCTTTCCACCACCACCTATTATCTGAATGCCTGGAAGAGGCTATAACAATCTTCACCTGTCTCCCCTTGCTGATATTGACAAGAAAAAGAGGACGAAACACACGAGTCCATCTTACAGCGTGAACTGGGAGTTCAGCCTCTTTGAAGATGATGTACATAATCATGTCAAGAAATGTGAGCTGAAAGAAAAAAATAGTGTCAGAAAGAAGCCGATTTCTTCATGCGTAAAAATAACTTGTTATCTCACACATGAAAAGATTGCCATTGCTAGGCTACATAATAAATGGCAACTTTCACAGTCTTCAAAAAAATCTTAAGTGAAATGGTTTGGTATTTCATTGGTATTTATATAATAAACAGAAAATTACATGGCCACTTGGAGATATGAAATTTCTCTTAATTCTCACGCTAAAAAATATTCACGACACTCATTCACTGCACTTTGACACCTATGTTTTTTAACACCGGCAAAGAGAAATTTCTTAACAGCTCACACAACCCAGGCTCATTACCAAATCAATTAAGAAAGAACATCTTATATCCTTTTTTTATCTTTATAACATAATAATAATAAATAATTATAATAAAGCCAATAAATGGTTTATTGGCATAAATTCATGAAAAATGGCTCCTCTATGCTATATAACTAACAGTACCATAACACTTACTACAAAAATTTAAACGATGAAGAAATCTACTTCAAATGATTGGTGTGGTTGCTATTGTATTGGTGTCTACCCGTGCCACTAAGTCAATAATTTTCTTTTGTTTAAAAATACCATTTGACATTACTTTGCATGTTTGTTACCTGGATCACATACAATCCCTTTATCAATGCACTATCTGAAATAAGTTTTCTTTTTGGTCAGTAAGAATCTTACCACAATGATGGATAAAAAAATAACATTCTTCTTGTCTCTCCAGAATTTTACACCAGCAGCAAAACACCAGACATGGAAAAGACGTAGAATGAAAACAAACAAGCAAAAACATTCCAGCAGCATTGTAGCCTATAAATAATAAAGATACACTGGAATTAATATTTTAAAGATTATAGGCAGTTACTCTGAATATATAACAAAACAAGAGACAAAGTTACTATAACACGTTTGAGAGAGAAGGTTGTTACTCCTCTAGGGGGTATGGAAACCTCCCGGGTGGTTTCTTAATTAAATGCAAAAGTAAGGTAAAATATATTATAAAGACCTCATTTGATGACATTTTTGCTCATGTTTTAGTTGCCACAATAAGGGGACTGCCATTGGTCAATCATTGAGCTCCTTGTTAAATCGTCATCATTATCATTTCCATCTCTCTGTCCAGGCAGAGAAAAAGGTCATTGACCAAGTTCCTGGCCTTATTTTGCTTTTTTCCTACTATATTTTAGGATTTAATAATATCTTGACTTACCCAGTATGGTAACCCCATGCCAGGGACAGCTGGGTCTTCAAAGAATGCTAAACAGAGAAGTAACCATGCACAGAAATACACAATACCACGAAAACCTGGCTTATTATACACCTTGTAAAGCCTACAAAAAAATCCAGTGAAGAAAACATAAGCATGACCAACGGTTGAGAAATGCAAACAAAATGATACATGTCTATTTTTCCGTTTTTTTCTTGGTGTTGCAGAGTTTGTGGGTGGTCAAGGTACTGTTCAGCCTTTTGTTAATCGTCGCGTATCATTATTGAGTGCATCATATCCACAAAATCCAATGAGTTGCACTATGGGGTCTTCGGAATGAGCACAATGATTTCGGCAGGTCTAAACTGGGGGAGGGGGTAAGTTGTAGGGGG